GACCCTTCTACGCAATTCCTCTGATGCATTCATGTCGAAGCTTGTCTCCGGCCCTTCTCTTGCAGCGGAAAGACATTCTAAGGACGAGGCTATCATTGTACAAGCCCAAGTATCATCTCGCCCACTTCGCTCACCCACCCCTATCGCTTCTCCCGATAGCTCAGCACCTCCGACAAGCGAGGATCATGCACGTCTTGATGCGTCCAAGATATACCCCGTTACCACCCAGCTCAACCATACCCTTTCCGAGATCATCGCCTCTCTCGACCACACACACCTTTGGACCATATCATGTATTCGCCCGAATGATTCCAATTCACCAAACTCGTTTGACAAGCGCCGGGTCAAGGCGCAGGTCCGGTCGATGCTTATACCTGATATCATTGCACGCAAGAGTATTGAGTTCGTCGCAGACTTTGAGCAGACCGCGTTCTGCGACCGCTATGTGCCCACGATGCGGGGGTCGGAAATGGAGCGGATCCGTCAGTGCGCAGCAAGCAATGGATGGAATGAGGGGTCAGATTATGTCGTGGGTCATCGGAGCATCTGGCTGTCGTACGGCGCATGGAAGACCGTGGAAGATGTTGTACGGGCTGCTGAGAAAGAACAACAGAGGCGTTCTGGAGAGGAGGATGAGGATGAGGAGAGTGTTGCTGCAGATGACGTTACGGACTTCACCCAAGCAGATGTTGTCCATGGAGGATACGCTAACGAGAGCAGGGATAACTTGTTGGCTGCTCGGGCAAGCAGTGGAGGGTCGCGATACCAGGATCCCAATCGTTTGGCGCCGTACGGAAACGCCGGGTTACCTTCCCCTGCCTTGGGGATCCCTGCCTATGACGACAATGATGCTGAATCATCATCTGAGTGGGACAAGAAAGGCGGAAGCCCTGGCATGGGGTCGCCTCCCGTGTCCAAAGAGGGTGAGATGATCGTCAACAAAGCCCCAACCGCAGTCGAAGAAGTTCCTTCAAGTACCTCACGCCGATGGTGGCTCTTCCTAGTCTGGGGCCTCACTGGCTGGATACCTTCTTTTGTCCTTCGCTACGTAGGCCGCATGAAACGCCCAGATATCCGGCTCGCTTGGCGCGAAAAACTCACAATTTTCCTTCTCATTTTTCTCATGAACGCGCTCGTGATCTTCTACATCGTCGAGTTCGGACGGCTTTTGTGCCCTAACTTCGACAAGGCGTGGTCACCAACGGAGGTCTCGGAGCACACTGGAAACAGTGACTGGTGGGTTTCGGTGCAAGGGCAGGTTTATGACATGTCAAACTTCATCCACGGTGACCATAGCGATATATCTGGTATTGCCAGTAACTCGGCAAGCGACCTCGAGGAGCTTGTAGGGCAGGACTTGACAAACTACTTTCCCCCACCGCTTACGCTGGCCTGCCCGGGCCTCGTCACTCAGACCTCAGTGCAACTTGTCTACAAGAACTTCACCCCTATTGTGCCGCTCGCCATGCACATGTCTGGTTCTGCAGAGAGTACGCAGGGAACCGCACTTGACAATGCGGGCTGGTACACTGCAACCTTCCAGCCGAAGATGAAGAATTATCACAAGGGGCCTTTAGTCTGGACTCCCAAGGAAATTGCTGCACAAGCTGAGGACCAGACCATCCAACGGTATGCTTGCATGTTGATAACCTAGCTGGTTACTTACACGACTTCTAGTATCTGGGCTATCTGGGAAAGTGGCATATATGACTTGACTGACTATGTGAACACCGTGACGATTAACCAAGGCGCAACGAATCTCTACCAATTCCTGAGCACAGACGTGACAGATGTCTTCAAACAGCAAGCTGGGCAGGACATTACGAAGCCGCTTAATACTGCTCTTGCGGGTCTCGATTCTGACACGGCGGCAGCCAACGTCAACTGTCTCAAGAATATGTTCTATCTCGGCGAAACTGACTTCCGGGATACACCTAGGTGTCTTGTTCAGAACTACCTGTTATTGGTGTTTACGAGTATCCTGTGCGCGTCTATCGTGCTCAAGTGTATGTCCCTCTCTTTCAGCTGGTCGTCATTCGATTAATAATGTTCCCTCCCAGTCCTTTCCGCACTTCAACTGTCGCCCAAGCGGTCGCCTGAGATGCAGGACAAGTTCATCCTTTGTCAGATCCCTTGTTACACAGAGGGTGAGGATTCTTTGCGGCGGACAATCGATTCCTTGGCGTCGTTGAACTACGATGACAAGCGGAAACTGCTTTTCATCATCTGCGACGGTAACATCATCGGCAGTGGGAACGACCGCACGACTCCCCGTATTGTGTTAGATATCCTTGGCGTGGACCCTAAGCTTGATCCTGAGCCTTTGTTGTTCAAGTCGATCGGTGAGGGCTCAAAACAGCTCAATTATGGCAAGGTATACTCGGGCTTGTACGAATTCGAGGGCCATGTTGTTCCGTGCGTGTCTGTCCCTCATCCACTCTAGTGCGAGTCTGAGAGTTGATTTACAGGTACATGGTGGTTGTGAAAGTCGGCAAGCCTACTGAGCGTTCGAAGCCTGGAAACAGGGGCAAGCGTGATAGTCAGATTCTCCTCATGCACTACTTGAATCGTGTCCACTTCGATGCGCCGATGTCGCCTCTCGAGCTCGAGATTTATCACCAGATGAGGAATGTTATTGGTATTGATCCTGCTTTCTACGAGTATATTTTCACTGTCGACGCTGATACAGTGAGTTCATCGTCTTTGTTTCCTCATTTACGCTGATGTCGTTTGCAGCAAGTAACATCCGAGTCTCTGAATCGACTAGTTGCGTCTGCCGCAGATGACTCAAGTATCATTGGTATCTGTGGTGAGACCAAGCTCACGAACGAGGAGGGTTCATGGTGGACGATGATTCAGGTTTGTTCACCCCTTTACCTCTATTGTTGCCCGAGTTGACATCGAATATAGGTATATGAGTACTATATCTCTCACCATTTGTCAAAGGCCTTCGAGAGTCTGTTTGGTTCAGTGTCGTGTCTTCCTGGATGTTTCTCGCTCTACCGAATCCGCACCGCAGACAAGGGTCGGCCTATCATCATCTCCAACCGTATCATTGACGAGTACGCCGAGGGAAACATAGATACACTTCACAAAAAGAACCTGTTCTCTCTTGGTGAAGATCGTTTCCTGACGACGCTCCTCCTAAAGCACTTTCCCACGTTTAAGACCAAGTTCATTCCAGATGCAGTCGCACATACTATGGCTCCTGAATCTTGGCGTGTTCTGTTCTCACAGCGGAGACGGTGGATCAATTCTACAATCCATAATTTGTGCGAGCTGGTGGTTTTACCCGAACTTTGCGGGTTTTGCTGTTTTTCGATGAGGTTCTTCGTTTTCATTGATCTCTTGGGCACTATCGTGAGTGGCGCATCTTTGCATCCGTGGTTCTTGACCTAGATTTTCTTCTAGATCCTGCCAGCCACGGTTGTCTATGTGAGTCTCAGTTGTATCGAATTTGACATGCATTTCCCATCATATTATACAGTTGGCCTATCTTATCGTTGTCGTTGCTACTGGCAATGCGGCTCTGCCATTAATTTCTATTATCATGTTGGGTATCACATATGGTTTACAGGTAAGTCGTGTACTATCACACAGGACTTGACTTACTGTGCATCACAGGCTTTGATCTTTATCATCAAACGTGAATTCATGTTGGTAGGATGGATGGTAGTCTACCTCCTCTCGTGAGTGCCTCGTGTGCAGCATTGCCATGCGTATTTACCTTTGTTGCAGATATCCGGTGTACAGTTTCTTCTTACCCATTTACTCGTTCTGGTGCATGGACGATTTCTCCTGGGGAAATACGCGTATTGTCATTGGTGACGGAGGTAACAAGAAGGTTGTCATGAAAGAGGATGAGCGGTTCGACGAGTCAATGATTCCGTTGAAGAAGTTCAGTGGTAAGTGATCTCGACGCTTATTTACTACTCTTCAACTCACATTTGATTTCCCAGACTACGAGGCAGAAGCTTGGGAAAATGGATCACATCGTTCTGATGAGACAGGTTTAACCAAACCTCGTTCCAATCGTCCTTCTCGCCAGGGGTCTCCGCAAAGCTTCCGTCCGTCTCTCACCGGCGATTACTATCGAGATACGAACATGACCAAGAACAACTCAAATACCAATAACCGCGGTCCCCCCTCTCATATCAGCCATGGTTCTCGACAAGGGTCAATGCATGACGGAAGGCAGCCATCTGTACCACAGTACAGTATTCCGCAGATGCCATTTATGCCGTTCAGCGGTGGAGCAGGTTCAGTACATGGTTCGGACTATGGACACATGCCTATGATTCCGCCTCTGGGGTACCAGCACTCTGGCAGTGTATACGGTGGGATGCCTCAAGGTGCAATGATGATGAACATGCCTATGATGACGGGAGGCTCTCAGACAGGCGGCTTTGGCACGCTACCTGCGATCGGAGGAGATGCACGGCCTCTGTCGATGTTCTCCATGGCGACATCCGTCAATCCATTCGCTGGCCCGAGCTTTAACCCCAATCCTACCGACGATGACCTCTTCAATTCTCTACGGAACTATCTCAGCACGCAAGATTTGATGACAGTCACGAAAAAGTACGTCATGCATTGTCCTTTTACCATCCGGTACTGATTGTTTGCAGGACCGCTCGTGAGGCGATCATGGCTAAGTTCCCCAAAGCCGATCTCACATCTCGGAAAGACTTTTTGAACGAGTCGATTGACAAGATTCTGTCGCAGTCATAGAGGAAGCAACATTTCCATTGCGTGATCTCCATAATATTCCTTACTTCACGAACGGCGCCAACGTGCCTTGAACATTCCCTCATCATCGTATTTCATTCTATTTCAGACAATCGTTTGGTCGCATATATGGACATTGCCGCTCGTCCTGAGAATTATCACTGCATCGTTGTATCATCCTTCTTGGACTATGCACTCGTACGTACTATAGACTTTAACCTACATAATTAGGTCTCCAATACACTCTTTCTCTTAAATTAACGTCGTGAAGAATGTGACTCTTGTTCATTGCAAAGTCATTTCAGCGTTACGTTCAACGTTCCACTTCAGTCATGTCCATAGGCGAAATTAGCTCACAAAATACTCTTTCGAACATCAACACACTGTGATAGAGAACTACTACCTTTCCCTGTTACCCAAGATGCCTACAGACGAATCCGCATCTGCTCCCCGCCAGCCATATGATTACGTCCGTACATTTTCCAAACCAACTGTCGAGCTTTTTGAGGCTGCGCTTCCCACATTGAAAGAGGAGTCTAGACAGTACGTCCTGACTACTTTGACCATGCTAGAATACTGGAGCTGTGCATGGTGATGGTACTTAGATGCATCGAGAATCTCTTGAATTATCGTGCACGACATACACAAGTCAAGTTCCCTCGGAGTCAGAGCGCGGCAGTCCTGGTTCCATTGTTTATCGGTCGTGCGGGGAACCTGTATGTGTTATTAAGTCGGTGAGCTCCTGGTTAGCTGCGTCCTGTTTATGACTGAATTGCTGCTAAAGGCGGTCAGCTAGCTTGAGGCAGTATGCGGGTGATACTGCACTTCCGGGAGGAAAGGTGGAGCTCCAAGATATTACTGTTGAGGATACTGCGGTACCCGTATGGAATTCCTTTGTGACCCTTGGTCTGACTTGTCTGTTTGCAGAGGCGCGAGACCTTTGAGGAGGTACAGAACTGTAATCACACGGGTTCTTATACTAGCACTGATGTTAGAGGTATAGATTGGGCTTATTCCAGACCGGGAACGAGTGCCCTTGCTGTGTGTGATGGAGCCCTTTCTTGCTGGTAACCAGATGGTAGTGACTCCGTGAGTGTGTCGCTGGTGTTTTGCGCGGACTCACACAGTTGTCTAGAGTTGTGGTGCTCATTCTCGACAACACTATGCAGGTATATTGAACCTATGTTGGGGGTATCATTAGATGTTCTAACTTTCTTGGGTCATAGCCTAGTCTCAACGAGTCGGAGGTGACCTCGATATTCTCACAACCGCTCGCTTCCTTCCTCGCGTCATCTTTCCCTTTCCACCCATACCGTATTCCAGATCCTTCGATACCCTACCACACGACGGCAGAGTGGGAATGGAGCGGAGGTGGTCGAATCCGCATGCATAGCTTCCTCACCGGACGCGAAGCAGACGGCGTGAAACCTGTGTTTGGGCTTACTGCGTGCGCTTATAAAACAACGACTCCACAAATATTTACACTGATATTAGGAGCATATTAATCTACGTTGCCATCTTGGGCTACAGACACGCTCCAGACTTTGAGTTGCAGCCGCCAAACGCGCCTACGCAGGCTCAGCAGATCGCTTGCGCGCTCCTCACGCCTTCGAATCCACTGCGGCTGGCATGCGAGGGCGAGGGCATTAATGCGAATGTAATGGCTGAGTCTATCCTGCATACACCACAGGAGCTGAACTCTAGGCCTGATATGATTGAGTGGGACAAGAGCGGTAGAGAAAGGGAGAACGCAGGGCGCCAAAGTGGCCAAAATGAGCGCAAGGACGGTGACGCTAAACTCTGATGTTCAAGAGTGAACACCTCACTGATGCTGATTATAACTCATATTGTATTGGCGACTGGTGTCGTAGCCGGTTGCTTACATGCCAGAATAGATGATTTATTAGACGAATTTGTATTTGGTTATTACGTCTGAGCCTCGTCTTGGTACCAGTATGATGTGGGTCACGCATATGTAGTTGAGCGGGTACAGCGGCACGCTCGCACGAAGGACATATAGCAATTCTGTGCTGATCGATATATACTAGTACAAGGTTACTGAGACAGCGAGAATCAAATACAACAGTCTGTCAAATTATGAGCCAATCAAACAGTAACGGATTCAGAATGAAGCTCTGCTTTGCCCGTCAACGCAGCTATGCTATGCACGAGCTGTTCAACCTGTTTCACAAGTGCACTAAGTCGGAGATCCTGTCCTACGAAGCGAGATTCCACCATCGCAGCCAGCTTATCGACTCGTAAGGAAAGCGAAGCAGTCTCGTCCACGTTAACCAAAGGTTCGTCTGACGCTTCGATGCCTGTATCTTGAACCCGGTCTTTAATCTTGACTAGCCAGTGTTTGTAAGGGTGGTGATCTGTGGCCACGTTGAACACATCGTGAAATGCACAATCGCCACATAGGGCAATGGGGGAATGGCTTTCTGTGATAATTGTCAAGCTTTGTGCCCCGTTAGACGTATGAAAATCTGACCTCCGCAGTTAAAGCATACATAAAAAATGCCCTTCATCTTGACGTCGCATTCAGCACAAGAATAGGCATCCTCATTCGCGGCTGAGGTTCCAAGTATCCTCTCTAATGCTACTACCATGTTCCCATTGAGCTTCTCACCACCTCCCTGCAAATCGTCAGAGGTGCAAGAATCATCTGCTCGAGTGGCTTCTCCATCTAATTGCGTTGGGCATACGTCTTCCGGCGGCGTTGTGGTGGGCAGAATCTCAGATAAGAAATTATTGGCATGCCACCGAACCCGGCTGCAGCGACTGTAAGGTAGCACCATGCGGAAAACAAGCAAGTTGTGCGTCGCCTTGTGGTTCGATGGATATTTGTGTTTTGAAATCGGTAGAGATTGGCATTCTGAGCACAAATCATACCCGTCTAGATGTGATCAGTCGTATTGCGCACCATAGATATTTTGATCGCACTCACCATCCTCGCAGTCTATACAACGGTAATATACATCAGTAATAAGGGAGTGACACGCGTCGCAGCAGCACCTGAACACCAGATAAGTAGATGGTTTAAGAATGATAGCTAACAGAAGTTGGACTTACTCAAACAATCGTTTGCGTATCTCAAGTTCAGCTAATGAACTCCAGCGCTGGACATCTGATTCAGGCAGCCCTTTGGACAGGGATTTGAACCTTTGTTGTTGCTCAGGCGATAGGTAAGGTGGGATTTCCAAAGGGAACGACTTTCTCTTATTGTGGAGCTTATTCAAGCACCACAAACGGATATATTCATCCTTGGGATCTTCAGGCTGCTGGTTGAGGGTATATGCGACGAGCTTCACAGGCCTTTCTATCAGTTCCTGGTCCACTGTCAGACTGAAGGGACCAAGTTTCAACGCCGTCGTATCAATCTCCAGCTCAGTGTCGTCAAGTTCGAAATCATGGGCTTCCCAATATTCAGCGTCGTCTGCGGTTCGTTCTGGGCTGTACCAACAGTTGTACTATTGCGGGGCGTCAGGGACCGGAAATAAATATACTGTTGCTGTCTCTACGCACCAAGCCGTGTGCATACCACGTGAACCTCGCTTTTGCATCTGTTCCTTGCTGGCGAAATGATTCTGTTGTAGTAGAAGGAAAAGTGCATCACAACCGTGAGTTTGGGAGCGTACCTGCCAGTTGTTCAACACGCAGATCCACCGCTTCCAATATATTGGCAATCGTTTGAGTTGCACATTCAAACTCTCTATCCACCAGAATTACTGTCCTGGCGAGTTTCATGATTTGTAAATGCCTCCTCGTTACGAGGTAAAGCACTGGCAGCAAGAACTGAACAAACATTCATGTGAGCATTCGGTACAAACGTTGAGCGAACGACGACTCACATTTTCAATGCGATCGGATCCGAAAAGTTTGAAGGACTCTTTGGAGTCGATTTCATACTTTACAGTGTCAAGTCTTTTCACCAAGTCCTTCTCCTGAACGTTGCGATACCTATCAGACAATTGCGTGAGATCTAAGTCTGAGTCCTCTGGCCCAAGTTCTGCAAGAGAGCGCACGAGCCGTTTGATGCCTGTTTGCATGTGTAAATATCCGCATTCAGAGGTGAGAAAAGCGCCAAACCTTGGATAACATCTGAATCCAAATACAAGGCGATACACCTCCTGTTTACTGGAAGTACGTCTGCTTGCGCATGAACCATGCTGTGTAAGACTTGTTCAATTCGTGTGTGGTAATGTTGGCTATCCACTCTCCAACCTTTGCTGATGTAAACGCTCCAAGTTCGACCTGACGACAATGACTAAAATACTCACCTGCAGCCCAGTATGCAAGTGCTTGAGGTACACTCAAGCCCGGAAGTATCGCGGAAGTAAAGGTATTAACTTCCCTTACGCTGATCAAGCCATTTGCGTCCTCGTCGAAGACTTCGGATAAACTCGAAATGTAGAAAACTGATAGATATTTCAAGCACCACTCGTCTGTAGGGTCGACTGGAGGAGACTGAGTGTGGGGTGCGCTTGATGCCACTTTTGGGCGTGGAGCATCATTATGCAGGTTGGAGAAACGTTGCGTGAAATAGTCATGGAGTTCTGCGATGAAGTATAGTATCTTGACACTTGTTGACCATTTCTTGAAGATGATAAGTATGCGCTTCGATCACGCTTGCACAAAGACGTACCATCTCTTTCCAGATAAATTGAAGGTGCTGGTGAAATTGACCGAGTTAGTTATGCATAGGGTCGAGTTTCTTAATTCTTACCGGATCCCTGACTCGTTTAAATTTGCCGCCGAGGGCCGACATAATGCGTGTTTCAGAATCCTTGATGGCATCTTTGATCTCGGCTGTCTGTTTATCGAGCTTGAACATGAAGAGCGCACGATTCTCGTCGAGTAAGCTGACTACAGGAGTGCGCAACTCGTGGAGCAGCGAAGCATCAAGGCGATACTGCTCCGCGACCGATCCGTTCGCCGATGGAGTTTGTAAAGGAGGTTTGTTGACATCTTTGGACGGGGCATCAGAGCGTGCTTGAATCTGTGCTTCCTGTTGCTTCGCGAATTTCACTAGCTCCGTCAGTTTGTCTTCGCTTTCGAAACCTGGATCCATTCCACCGCGCATGATCACTTCTTTCGCAAATCTCTTTTCGCGTTCAGTTTCAAAATATTGAGCCATTGCACCGTGAAATTTCTCTCCTTTCGCGATTTTCGCTTCGCGTTCACCTAGCATCTTGGTGAGGTCCTCCAGCTTTTTGATCGCAGTGTCGACTCCCAACGCCGTCCTGATAGCCAAGGCGTCCCGAAGTTCCTGCATACACGTGGAAAAGTTCCCGCTGATCGCGAGGAACTTATCCGCCCAATGGGATGACCTAAAGAATTTCACTAATGATGCAATTCTCAATCTGGCGGGAAACCTAAGAATCCGAGATCAACTGACCGACGAATTTCGACTTGTAGTATTTGTCGATGGCATTTCCGCAATCCTCGACATTGTGCTTCATTTTATCCAAGACGCCATCCAGTCGGCCCCGAATAGTGCCGCGAGGTCCCACAATGTCCGGGTCTCTAGTATCTTTAAGTCTATCAACGGATCGAATCAGCGAAATTTGTATTGAGTGGGCATCAACCAACGAACTGAAGAAGCATATTCATCATATCAAATGCTTTCGCAAGCATCAAACAAACTGTACGATCGTTCTCTCTTCTCCTTATTTCAAAATTCACGACAGCCTTGAAAGCGATTATAGCCACTGCAAGTTATGTTAGCCGAGGTAGTAATGTCGACAAGTTGAATACTCACCACTAACAAAGGGATGGATCTGTTGCAGAGTATCCAGGGCATCCATCACCTTCTTTGCCTCTCCAAAAAAGCCGCCCATATTCTTCTTCAGGAGGTCCGCAACCATCTGGTCAGCTGAGGACTGCTGGATGACCGCAGCATTGTCATCGTATAATGTGCGCGCTGATTCAACTTTCTCAGTGGCCTTGGAGATTAAGTTCCCTATACGAGGACACGATGATCTGATTATTTAGTGGGTGGATGAAGTGACAGCGACGAACCGGCCTGGTCCACATGTTTGACTATTCTGGCCGACGTCGATTTAGAACTTGTTAGGGCATCATACAATGCCTTCTGCGCTCGTTCCGTGGTAATAGCGGACATGACTTGCTATTAATGAACCTCAGAGGTTCTGTAGAAGAGAAAGAGGTTGTTAAGCAACAAGGGCAGCTGAGTGAAACAAAAAAGACGATCTATAAACGAGCTCACTAGTCGGTTTATATCCATAGAATCTGATCTGATGCTTATAGGCGCTGAACCTCGTGTTCTATCATAGATAAGCCTTATTCTGCATAGCGGCGGCGTCTGTACAATCACTAGGGAGTCAAGTTGATCCCACCATTAGCATAACCTGCAAAATGGTCTCCCCTAAATGAATGAAGATAGTCGTACAGAAGATCACTGGTATGTAAATTTGAGCGAGTGCTAGCGCTTGGGGCTTCATGCAACTCACCAAAGTTTTAGCGTCAGAGGGAGTCTTTTCGGGTCATAGACCATATGTCGTCATTCACATCTTTTTCTTTGGATATATGTGGTTGATGCGGCACATCGTGACACATACTCGAAGTGCCGTCCGGCAGGACGACGCAGGTAAGCATAAAAGGAACACTGCGATGGAAAGGGTCAGTAAATAAAGATTAGAAAACTCGGTGATCTCGGCAAGTTTTTTACGACAGAATGGTTTCTAGTTTGTTGCCTCGGAACCAGAGGTGATCGTTTCTAAGATGCGCCCAGGCTAATGATTTGTGGGTAAGAATGAAGTTGCACAACACTGATCTGGCATAATACTTAAGCTTCATGTGACAAGGTACAATTTGCGATGAACGTGATCGTCACCGAGTGTCTGAATTGCGCGAGGGTACTCCCACCGATTATGCAGCATTGAAACCCGTCGTTTAAAAGAACTTGGCCCTGACAGGGTGGACAGACCATAGGCGAACGAAAATACGTAGCCGTTCGTTCTCTTTTCGGAAATAGATAATGCTAATCAGTGCTCACAAAGGTCAACTTTCAGCTAGTATACACGGCCACCCGCACAGAGCCGTGGTCATCAGAAAAGCGTGGACCCAATAACCGGTGACATTGTACAACTTGAAGCGCTACATATGTTAGGACAGTTGGGTTATGACAAGGAAGTCAGCGCTACTCACCACGCATAACGCAACCGTCTGCTACAACAAGAATGCAAATCTCACTTTGGGAGGTCACCGGACATCGGTGCAGACTCCAAGCCAAGGGTGCACGAATATAGTGGATGTAATAGTATTCTTCAATGATATGATGGTCGTCAGGTTGTCACTAGCACTGGTTCTTGAGTTCAAAAAGATGAGCACCTTGAAATCAAGTCGGCTGCAGCCACACTACCGCGTCACAAACCGAAAGTATCAATGGAATTTAGCAATTGAGGTCTTCAGTTCAAATACTCGATATCCTGGTGACGAATGATGCATAATATGGAATGAAAAATGAACAAAGTGGAAAAGAGACTCGTCTAATTACCGATTGACAGCGAACTTTTTCCACGCTACTGTCTACATCTACCAAAACAACCGTCAGGCTTTCGCTGTCCTATCTCAGAGATTCAGTCTTGAAATTTGCTTTGGTTACCCCAGTGCTGTCTCCAAAAAGCAGTGGCCAGTCACCTGCGCATATACTTTTCGACGACCGCAGATAGGATGTGGGTATTACTTCACCGGTTATCCATCAGAGCCCCTTCTGTCTTCTGTCGCAGCAGTTCTACTCCATGGAATTCCCACAAATCTGAAGCAGGCCTTGAGATTAAAGGTTGATGGTGGGATGGTCGAGATAGGACAGAGCGGAGAGTTGGCCAGCTGCTTCTTGCTACATCTGCAAGAGCCCGCACGGAGACGGACCCCAGGCCACTCTGAAACAGACCGCAGTGGCTGCGTATCGAGATAAGCGAAACTATTCTTGGGCAAGTCCTGCACGGATCTGTCTCTCGGCAGAAGGAAGTACCGTCCCAAACCATTCGGGCCGATACAAAAGAGTCCCGCTAATATTGCACCCAGGTAATTGCCAGATTACGCCGCTATAAAGATTATTACAAGATTTGGAAGATATCGAATTTCAGAGATTGACATTCACCCCGATGGTTTCTTATCTCGAGACGCACAATATTGAATCACTATACTTTGACTGCGTTTCGTGCTCAGCGAGAGGACAATATTATTCTGAACACTGAAGGAATCTCCACTCGTGAAATACCACTCAAGTTTATCATTTCGTTGAGTATGAGGCGGCCAGGATGGGGAAGGGAAGAATTTGTAGGGGGTGTACCATACCAAATCATACTTGCAAGCTAGAAAACCAACATCAAAAACAGACTATTCGTATACAGTTCGCAGAGCACCGCGTCACTGCAAGGCTGAGTTGGTGACTCTACTATCATGCTCACCCATCTTTGCGTGCTTTTGGCCCTTGGTACACGTTGATGCCGTGTTGCCGGGATGACTTCGAGGTAACTTCGCTTCGCTTCGAATTCGGTTGGTTTCGTTGTGTCAATTCGCTTCAGTTCGCTGCCGGGTATGGCTAAATATAGTTCACATAAACGTTCGTGCGGGCCGCTGCTCGGTAGTCTGTACATACTTATAATCGACTGTCCTACAGCCTCGAGGCTTCTTTCGACGGGCTATCATGGTCAAAAACTCTGGGCACCTGCTCGTCCTTCCGCTGTCTGCTAATTCCGGCAAGCCTGCTGCGGTCTATGATGACTCTGGTCTAACATTTTATCGCCTACCCCCTAGTTCTTTTCCAATCAGGAAAGCAATTTCAATCTTGCTCGCACTCTTCATGACAGTCTTGCTATCCGGACATTATTTCGACCTTGTTCCGCAACTTGCATCCGAAATCAACAGTCGTATTCTTTTCAGCGAGTCACAACAATTCTGGGGGCCGTACACTCCATACTATCCTGTCGAAGAGTACCAGCACCCTCCCAATGGATGTAGTATAACCCAGGCAAGTACACTTGTCATAGATGAGTTTAGTCTTTGATAACCACTATTCGTATCGCTCCAGGTCAACATTGTAAGTAGACCCTGGTCGCCAGTGACCACCAGTTCTTTGCTTAAAGCATCAACAGCTTCAGCGCCACGGGGCACGTTATCCGACCAGCAGCGCCTCTAAGAGAATCCAAAGGAGTTTGCAGAAATTGTTGAACGCTTCCAAATATGTCGACCCGAAGCTGGAATTTCTTCGTTCATACCAATGGCACCTTGGTGTAGCTGATCTTGTGCCCTTAGGCTCCACACAGTAGGACTAACATTACGAGCTTCTAGCCATGTCAATGCTTAAGGATCACGTTTAGGTCATTTCATTCGGGTGCAGAAACATACCGTCGGTACAGCCATCTTGTTGACGATCATATGTTACCCTTTGTCAGAGCGTCTGGAGGAGATCGCGTAGTGATGTCTGCTGTTAATTGGACTGCAGGTAAGCATACAGTTGAAGTATGAAACCTTTCTCGACCATTGCAATTCCAGGTTTCGCCGATGCAAGTCGACAGCTCTATCATCCATCAGTCTCAGTCATAATATCCGAAACAGAGACAGTAGGATGCATATCTATCAAACTGAATTTGCCGATTGCTCATCTACGGTCTTCTTCTAGTCGAACAATACCTTGAAGAACAGCATGTGTCCCAACTCCCGAGCATCAAAAAATGAAGCGAACACGTGGCGAGATATATTCTCAGCTTCGATCGTAGATCGCCTCAATACAGCTGCTGTTGGAGCTGAGATTCTCAGCCAGGACATTCCCGAACTAATGTCGTTGTGTGCATTCGAGACTGTATCTGAGGAGAAAGAAAGCCGATTTTGTGATCTCTTCTCTCTACAGGAGTTCCAAGCCTATGAACATTATCAAGACCTGCAGAAATACTACATGACAGGGTGAGTAACTCATCAACAAATCATTTTGACGCTCACACTGCAACTGTGACAAGGTACGGAAATCCTCTGGGCCGTGTGCAAGGTGTCGGCTACGTGAACGAGCTTCTTGCGCGTCTCAAGGGGACACCTGTCGAAGATCACACGCAAACCAACTCGACTCTTGACTCATCACCGATCACGTTCCCACTCGATAGAACGGTCTACGCTGACTTCTCTCACGACGATGAAATGGTTGCCATCTATAGTGCACTTGGACTGTTCCCTCAGACATATCCTCCTAGCCCCACAGAGGCTAGCCCGCAATCGACATGGGTAGTTTCTCGTCTTGTGCCTTTCTCTGGGCGGATGATTACGGAAAAGATGCAGTGTTTTGAAGCGGGGATACCAAGAGATTTTATTCGAATTCTCATCAACGATGAAATCCAGCCTTTGGCGTTCTGCGGTGTGGGTGACGGATTGTGTGGGCTGGAAGCATTCGTAGATAGCCAAATCTATGCTAGACGCAATGGCGCTGGTGATTTTGAAAAATGTTTTCTAGAGTAGATTGTGACCCCCGTGTGAGGGGTTATTGTAATATTAATAGCTGACGTAACCGTATGTGCCCTTGGATCGAGACGACACATCACATTACCTTCCGATTCTGAATCTTTCATCATGCCCCAGCTCTACAGGCGAGAATCACAGAGTAATGATGTGGAATCTTCAGAACACTTGGTACCAACAGATGTGGACGATTCCATCGTCCTATCAGATCTTGTTCGCAGCGGCGAAGCATCCAGATTGCGGAGAAGAGGCGCAATGCGACTTGATCATAATGTCGTCAACGCCCAGCGTGCAGAAGCTGGACGTGTCACTCCGCCATGGCCAGGAGTGAGGGTGGAAAGGTCGCCATCATGGATTGAATCTCCTAGCGATGACGAAGAGTCAAACCAGAACTGGGAGCAAAGCTACGATGCGCCGCTGTCGCCGCAGACGGACTCAGTTGCTGCGGTAGGGCCAGACCCATATTGCCACATATTATTTTGTGGTGGGGACGAGCAGCAACCATGTTTAAACAGGCCCTCGACCTATGTTCTGTCGCCGCTTCCGTCATATCCACCGCCACCGCTTCCGAGCGGCTATCAGTCATCCAGATGGCAAACCAATGGATGTGGCGCTGTAGTTCATATGCGAGCTTCGCGCCGGGGCAACACTGGTGTGTGGATAGCTAGGAACGATGCAACATCTGCTGTCGTTCCATTAGACACATCATACTTTGAGCGTGCCGCGGTTATCCGAATGGTTCGCAGTGCATGCGGATGTCTTCGTGAAGGGGTTGGATGTGCTATTTGGTGAGCCAGACATTCTATAGACGACTTATAACACATCTGACTGCAATTTCAGCGGAAATCCGTTAGGGTCTAGGTATAAACCATGCCAGGCTGCAGCAGAGGGTCTCTTTGCTTCTCGACATCACCCTTCGGGCCCTCTGATTCCTGAAGGTCCTAGGTATTGGCATGCGCACTCATCACCTCTGCAGCATGCACAATCCTACGTATATACCTTTTTCGCCGAGAACGTGACATCTACACCGACACACATGACGGCTCAGGACGACTGTCCGTCTCCCGCACTACAACAAGATTTCCTGTCGCCTATCGATAACCCATATTCCACGTTTTTTGATCAAATTGTCACCACTTCGCCTTCACCCATGTCAAATCGTGGGCGTGATAGCCCTGACTCGGATGCTTCGTCGCACGCCGAGCAACAGTTTGATCCAGACGGCGTGTTCATCGCTGCTGATCCTGGATCACCAGACAAAATAGGTACTGGTTTGACACTCGCCCCTGAGCGGTGATACCTTCCATGATAACTTCCACGACGAACTCTCTGTTTGGTATTGATATTATTTGGCGGCATTGGACGCTCCAGCTCATTCTCGCATTTTAAATGTATCTTATTGGATCTGTTATCATTACCCAAAATCTATCCGCATTGTAGGGTTATTATCATCATATCATGCACACTTCGTTTTCTCCCATCGTGTTTTTATCATCTTGTACATCTCCAGACACCAAAATTTACTGATATGAATTCAATATCATGTTTCTTACTTACAAAGCGAGTGAACATTACTTGCTACCATACACTTCTGTCGTGTATTTAGTTTCCTACGAACTTTTCATAGAAACGATGTTGGTGCTCCATTATAGAGCGAGCTTATCCGAGGTGGCGATTTCCGATATCAACGGATACCAGTGCACCCCTGCCCGACATTTAGTGCCCCCGTGACAGCATGGAGCTTAGGCCGCCACCAGAGAACCGATGAGTCCTGTAGGGTGCGTTACGTTGAATCTTTCGGTGACTACCGAATGTATAGCGCCGAAAGCCAATGACACAGTGATATTACCTGATAGCTTGTAAGTCAAGAATCTAAAACATCCCGTGAATCGACGTGGAACTTACCCTATTCTTCACCTGCATCACGTAGGGATGGAAAACTATCGTGGTGGGAGAGGGCTACGTGGGATTAGCGGGAGCGGGATCTACTGCGCGATTGGGTGGAGAAGGCTGAGTATTCGAGGTACAAAGTATGAAATGGATACTTACTTGTGCGTCTTTTCCCCAACACCGCTCATGACGACCCTGAACCCTCAACGCTCCCCCCATAGTAGCCCAGCAGCGTCTCATATGCAGAGCGATTGGTGAAGTGCTATCGTGGGTGTGCAGCAAGATGTATCTGTATTCGAAAATGTAAGCAATATATATGGCCATGTAGAAGCGCCGCAATCAGCATAATCGCTAGCAAGAATTCACCGGTTCGCCGATTTGATGCTGGCGAGTTGAGCTGTCACATTGCATATTTACGAGTCCCAGACGATGTCCGTATTTCTAAACACAAATTTCTGGTTTACTACCAGCAGATCAATCTTGAATTCTGTAGATGAGCGCTTGATCTCAGCGTCAAAGAGGATCGGAAGTGACGGTTCTGAAATAAGATAGTTGAGATGTGGTCAAAGACAAACACACAGTTTGCGAAACATCCATGTCTAGAACATTGGCATTGCGGCGTGTGCATGTACTCGGAACAGTATGATATGATAGGATGAGGAACTTGAAAGGTCGCCTTCGTAAACGTTCACGTGTCTAGAGCGAAACCGATGAACGAGCAATGATGAAGTTTGATTGAGTACTTGTGTTTGTGGCAAATCGTTGAGTGGGAGAAGGGAAACGGTTTTGACGCTTTAGTCATGGCGTTCGCAGTGACTACATGGCTGTGAGGGGAAGCGAGGAAAAGTAAGTGCGACGGATACAATGATGCAGGGTGAAATGGCACAGCTGCCATGTGGTAGGGTATATACATGCAAGGCGTTGCCCAAGGCCAATAGTTGCACTCACATGCAGGAATTCATCGCTCCTCGAGTTCTTCGCTTCTAAAGCGCCAACCTCTCGGTAACACCAAATGCTCGTCTGTATTGCTAACGCAGATGAACTGATGTTTGACTTGATCAGGGAGCCTATCTTCAAAAATCACTGCTAGCGTCAGTTATACAATGCACTGATAACGGAAGACCTCACCCTTGCAAATTTGAACGCTCCCCAAGAATACTTTGCTCGTACTATTTCACAGTTTTGCTGATGGAGACGCAACCATGGCTTCCGCGCAGAGATCGAAGGCAGCTCCCATGAGGTCGAATTTGACACCATCAATGATCTTAAAGGGTCATGGAAACTTGATTCAGTCCATATCCTATTTTCCAGACGGTCAACGAATGGTCAGCGGATTTGAGGACAAGACCGCTCAGCAATGGGATCTGAAGGCGGGCAAGGAGGTTGAAGATTCGTGGAGTATTTGCGAGAATGAGGTAAGAGCAGTGGCGGTATCAAGGGATGGTCGATGGGTTGTGACTAGCACTGGTGGTGGTGATTGGAGTAGTGCCGAGTTGAAAGCCTGTGAGGTTGAGACGGGGAATGTGAAAACATTCAAAGGACACTCACGGTCCAAGGGATGGTCGATGGATTGTCACTGGTGGTGGATATTTGAAAAAGTGCCAGGCTGAAAGCCAGCTGTGAGGTTGGGACTGGGGTTGTGAAAAAATTCGGAGGACACTCAGATTGGATGACATGCATTGATACCTACATATTATGGATCAAGAGCATCTTAATGCGACGAACCTGTCCAATAGGCTTTCAATATTAATCATATAGAAGAAAAGTTCCAGATGAAGTTCGCAAGTTCTGGGGTGTTAGATCTGGCCGAGGTCGAAACGTAAATACCTTATCTATATAGGGCAAACTCGGACACTGACTCGGCACGAGTCAAGATTTGGTGCGTGTGACAGGTCACAGCGGACACACCGAGCTCCATACTAAGTACTACCAAAGTTCAGCCTGATGATTGTGATGCAACTTTCGTTGTGCCATACATATGTATGTATTTACTTACTTGCACCCATGGATATCAAGGTTGTTGCATGATGAACAATGCTAAAATTTCTCGAGCGCTTGCACGAACCACGTTCCATTACTCTAACTTGAACGTGGCTGAATGATTAGCGCTGCCTTGAGGCTTGTAGACCAGTCAACTTGTGGTCCTACCGAGTACTCTCCCCTCCCTCTAATTCTCGCATTGATTTTCCTCAAGCTGATCTCAATTTTTGACTGTTCGCAATGAGCCAAGACCACAGGCAGGAACCTCCTCCAGAGGCCAATGAATCCAGAGAACCAACTGTAACTGCTGGCGAGAGCTCGGTACGTGCCCTAATGACATCGCTGTCGACAAGCGCTGATGACATCGTCGCTGCCTCGCGCATCTTTCATCCAGAACCAGCACCGTAGCGGCTGCGGTCTCGGTCAGGCCCTGCGGAAAGTGAAGAAGAATGTGACTAAAAAAGTTTCTGTACGTCGGCCTGAATGCTGAAGGAGCTAGAATATAGCTGATATTGTGCAGAAACGCTTCAAGCGTTCCCGCCGTCAAATCCCTACCGTCCAGAACGCCGATCATGGAGGTGCTTCATCGAATCAGAATGTCGAAGTAAGTAGTTATTATTTCGATCTTGGACTTGTCTGAGGGTCTACCAAGGATGCGTCGCGTCTGCATCCTTCCGATGGCGACAAAGCCGCCACATCTGAAATCTAAGTGGCTGTGTGATTGAAGGAGCATCCGGAGAGCCTGCTTCAAAGGTATCTACGCCAAACGATCTAGTTTTCATTTCTAAATTTTGGTGGTCGTGCAGGTCCTTAACGCCCCTCTTGGCGTGGAAGAAATTCCGGATCCCCAATCAATTGATGATAAACTTCGGGGTACCCGTGAGGATATGGAAAGTGTGAGACTACTCGGGGGACAGGTCACTTCTGCGTTATCCAAAGCCAAGGATGGGTCAAAAGATCTCGCTGCCGCAGACGATTTCCAGGCCACATATATTCAACCACTCGAGATTTTCAACACTGTCATCAAGAAACTTGCGGATGTACGGGCCGTTCTTCTTGGTTGGAAGCAAGCTAATCAGGTTGTTTAGGTACATCCTTACGCAAAGATGGTGCTGGGTATGCTGTCTGCTGCATCCAAAGTACGTGTAGTTTGCCCTCCTGTTCAGCAGTTGTTGACTCTATGTAGATCATTCTCGCTCAAACGGAACGCGACCAATCGATACAATCTCTTTTCGAGAAACTAGAAGAAGTTTACCGCTTCATGTCACTCAAGGACACTCTTGGCCAGATTTCATCCCAGCGCGTGATCGCTGGACGAATTGCTCAACAGACTCTAGATTGCGCGCGTTTCATCAAAGACTACTCAAAGGACAAGAGCTTTTGTAAGTCATCGAGTTGTTGCATTCCGCATATTGTGAATCTCGAACCATTATGACAGGGAAGAGACTCAGGAAAAATGCTGTCTCAGAGGCGGATTATCTGATCACACGGTACAACAAGACTTTGGATGAGCTTATGCAACAATTTCGGGACCAAGCCCTTCGTGACATAGCCGATCTTGTCCAGTTTACGAGTAAGAATTCGGACGTTCTTCTGACTTTCCATCCGCTCATACGCCTTCAGATGATGAACTGGGTGAGAAACTGGATCTCAGCGATATGCCTTATGCAGCAGACGCGGGACTAGACACCACGAAACAATGCCTACCAGAGACGCGCACAACCATTCTCTCGCAGATCACTGAATGGATCAACGACAGCAGAGATACTGCTGAGCGCGTGTTGTGGCTATCTGGCCCTGCGGGCACGGGCAAATCAGCCATCGCTCACACAATCGCTAACTGGTTCAACGACTCGGGAGGTCTTGGTTCGTGTTTCTGCTTTGACAAGCGCTCTGGAGCAGACGAGCGTCATAAAAAAGTCTTCTCCACCATTGCTCGCGACCTTGCTGACCGCGATCCGGAGTTCCGACGAACATTGGCGAATGCAGTCGGACATACCAAGGCGCTCAAGAATACGACAGATATCATCCAGCAGTGGCGCAAGCTGTTGATGGAACCGTCAAAGAAGTTTTCCGGGTCGAGTGTGGGACCCGTCTTGATTGTGATCGAGGCGCTGGACGAGAGCGGCGGCGTCGAGACGCGGCGTAACCTTCTTCGCATACTTGCCGGTAAACTGGAGGCCGAAGGTCTTCCCCAAATCACCGAACTCCCATCCAACTTTCGGATTCTTGTTACCTCTCGCGCGCTTCCTGATATCACTTCTGTATTTCAGGATACTCCACATATTAAACAGTTATCCATGGACGACATTTCAAAAAAGGACTCGAAGAAAGACATCCGTACTTTTGTGTCCCACGAGCTGAAAGAGGTGTCCGGTCTTGGGAACGAACAGTTCGCAGCCCTCGCTAACAAAGCTGGTGGGCTATTCGAGTGGGCGCGTCTTGCATGCAACTATATCCGAGACATCCCTACTGGCTCACGCGCAATTGATCGTTTCAATGATGTCGTGTCCCACGATCATGGAGTGCAGGAAAACTTGTTGTATGGCATGTATGAATTCATTTTAAGAGAGAACATGCGGAAGGACAAACACATGACAGAAGGTGGTTATCAGCAAACGCTAGCGAAGTTTCATTCCGTGATGGGACAAATACTTGGCTCAGCCGAACCGCTCTCTTTAGATGCCCTGAATGCCATGCGGCGCCATTTTCGAGATGAAAGCGAGCGTTACGAAGTGGAACTCGTGGTAGCACACATGGGATCCCTGCTAAGCGGGACCACCAACTCATCCAGCCCCATCCGACCCCTTCACGCGTCCTTCCGCGAATTCCTGACAAACAAATCATCCAGCGGAGACTTTTTTGTGGACATGTCGAACTCGCAACGCAATCTTGCTTTTGCGTCACTTCGAGTGATGGAACAAGACCTTCGCTTCAATATGTGTGATTTAAAGTCTTCGTACCTCCCCAACAGTGAGGATACCGGGCTGCCGGACAGAGTCGCAACACACATCTCCTCGCACCTGTCCTATTCCTGTCGATTTTGGGTCACGCACGTCCGAGCAACAGACTTTGACACGCAGCTCGCCAAGGAAATAGGATCATTCCTCGACAACGAGCGATTACTCTTCTGGATCGAAGCACTCGGCCTCCTCAATGCACTCAGCAGCGCAGTCGCTGTACTTCCACTCATTACCCAGTGGCTGAAGGTGAGAACAGAGTCACCTGGTGGCGTCAGGCGAAGTGCTCACGCGCAAACACAGGGCCAATCTGGATATGAAAATGTCTTGTCCACTGCAACGGATGTGCAGAGATTCGTCCAGCTTTTTGCCAGCATGATTTTGTACAGCACGCCGCATCTATATGTATCAGCGCTGCCATTTTCCCCTACAAAGTCCACGATAGCTACAACGTTTGCTGCAAGATTTCCGAACACTCTTCGTCTGATGGATGGACGTCTCGTGAACTGGACGGCTATTCTGACCGTGATCAGTGGGCACACTAAGCCGGTTTGGTCAGTCTCGTTCTCGCCCGATGGCACTCGCATCGTGTCTAGTTCAAAAGATTCCACTGTCCGGGTGTGGGATGCAGCAACAGGGCTGCCATTGGGTGAGCCCTTCCGAGGGCACACTGATGAGGTTTGGTCAGTCTCGTTCTCGCCCGATGGCACTCGCATCGTGTCTGGTTCAAAAGATTCCACTGTCCGGGTGTGGGATGCAGCAACGGGGCTGCCATTGGGTGAGCCCTTCCGAGGGCATACTGGTTCAGTTTACTCAGTCTCGTTCTCCCCCGATGGCACTCGCATCGTGTCTGGTTCAAGAGATTCCACCGTCCGGGTGTGGGATGCAGCAACAGGGCTGCCATTGGGTGAGCCCTTCCAAGGGCACACTAAGCCGGTTTGGTCAGTCTCGTTCTCGCCCGATGGCACTCGCATCGTGTCTGGTTCAAGAGATTCCACTGTCCGGGTGTGGGATGCAGCAACGGGGCTGCCATTGGGTGAGCCCTTCCGAGGGCACACTAATTCGGTTTCGTCAGTCTCGTTCTCGCCCGATGGCACTCACATCGTGTCTGGTTCAAGAGATTCCACTGTACGGGTGTGGGATGCAGCAACGGGGCTGCCATTGGGTGAGCCCTCCCGAGGGCACACTGATGAGGTTTACTCAGTCTCGTTCTCGCCCGATGGCACTCGCATCGTGTCTGGTTCAAGAGATTCCACTGCCCGGCTGTGGGATGCAGCAACGGGGCTGCCATTGGGTGAGCCCTTCCGAGGGCACACTAATTCGGTTTCGTCAGTCTCGTTCTCGCCCGATAGCACTCACATCGTGTCTGGTTCAAGAGATTCCACTGTACGGGTGTGGGATGCAGCAACGGGGCTCCTATTGGGTGAGCCCTTCCGAGGGCACACTGAATCGGTTGAGTCAGTCTCGTTCTCGCCCGATGGCACTCGCATTGTGTCTGGTTCTTGGGATTGCACTGTCCGGGTGTGGGATGCAGCAATGGGGCTGCCATTGGGTGAGCCCTTCCGAGGGCACACTGATTCGGTTTACTCAGTCTCATTCTCGCCCGATGGCACTCGCATCGTGTCTGGTTCAAGAGATTCCACCGTCCGGGTGTGGGATGCAGCAACGGGTCTGCCATTGGGTGAGCCCTTCCGAGGGCACACTGATGAGGTTTGGTCAGTCTCGTTCTCGCCCGATGGCACTCGCATCGTGTCTGGTTCAAGAGATTCCACTGTCCGGGTGTGGGATGCAGCAACAGGGCTGCCATTGGGTGAGCCCTTCCGAGGGCATACTGGTCCGGTTTCGTCAGCCTCATTCTCGCCCGATGGCACTCGCATCGTGTCTGGTTCACAAGATTCCACTGTCCAGGTGTGGGATGCAGCGACGGGACTGCCATTGGGTGAGCCCTTCCGAGGGCACACTGGTCCGGTTTGGTCAGTCTCGTTCTCGCCTGATGGCACTCGCATCGTGTCTGGTTCAGACGATTCCACTGTCCGGGTGTGGGATGCAGCAATGGGGCTGCCATTGGGTGAGCCCTTCCGAGGGCACACTGATGAGGTTTTGTCAGTCTCGTTCTCGCCCGATGGCACTCGCATCGTGTCTGGTTCAAGAGATTCCACTGTCCGGGTGTGGGATGCAGCAACGGGGCTGCCATTGGGTGAGCCCTTCCAAGGGCACACTGGTCCGGTTTCGTCAGTCTCGTTCTCGCCCGATGGCTCTCACATCGTGTCTGGTTCTTTAGATTCCACTGTCTGGGTGTGGAATTCAGCGACAAAGCAGCGATTCCAGGAACACATTAACATCCACCCCTCCGCATTCTCTTCGGGCATCCACCCCAGCACGCCTTGCAAACGCGAAACTATCGTGTCAACCATTATTCAGAACCATCCCACCATTTGCTTCGCATCAAACTTAGAACATGCACTGCAAAACCCTGATGAGCTACTCGAGGATTCCTCTCATCTTAATTCAAACCCTGTCATGCTGAAAGATGGATGGATGAAAGGAGCCCACCATCGGCTGTTTTTCTGGGTACCACCCCCTTCCCGAGAACGACCGTTTTATTATCCTGGGATTGTGTTCACAATACCCCGTGCGCAACAGATTGATTTGAGTCGCATGGCCCATGGAGAAAACTGGTCGAATTGCCGAGATGTGTGAGTTCTTAGCCTTGACTGTCCCTTGTAGTTGCTGAACCAATATTTCTAGCGCTACTTTCAAATGATCCAGTTGCAGTAATACCAGGTGTACGGTTTTGTTCTATGTCGATTCTATATCTGCTATCGAGCTTGAATTTCCAGTTGTTCGCTATCGTCGTGGTTGCAGAGTGGACAATAGCATCGCACAAGTTTCCCAAATCTAGTGTGCGCCACGATTAATGTAGAGTGACGATGGCGCGTTGAGGCCTTGGTATTTGCTGCTCTAGTGCTCTTCCTTGTTCCTCAGGATACCTAAACATTTGTCCTTCGTAAACATTTCTCATCGAAGACAAGTAACAATATGATTCTTTGATCTATACAATGTCAATTACTAGTAATTTTATGTGGATACCAATTATTGTTTGACAGGCCTTAGAAGTCCTCCGGGTCCACGAAGTTCTCCTTGATGCGTCTCGCCGAAAGGAACTGGTAGAAGATGGCTTTGTCGTTAGTTTCACTCGATCGTCCTCCTCCAAAGGGTTGTTGACACACGACCGCGCCAGTGCATTCTTCGTGGTAACAGACGTTGCCAGCAGTGTTGCGTAGCTTGTTTGCGAGAGTCAGAAGGGCTTTGTGGTCTGCGGCAAAGCTGGAGAAGAGGTTGTCAGTCAACGCATATCACAGAGACCTTAAGTGCGACCCTCCTAGAGCCAGTCAGTGTATTAGGCGAGATGTTATCGATGAGTTCCAGAGTCTTCTCATAATTCGCGTCGTCGTATACATAAACCTGAGAAGTTGTTAGTACATCTGGCCGCATTGTCGAACAGAAACCATTACAGTGATGACAGGATCAGATATTTCTTCTTTCATGGTGATTGATTCAGGATCTTTGGTTAGAATGCTGTACGGAGTAGCCCTTGGAGTCATCACCTGTAGGATCATGAGAAAAGTCGCAGGTGAGTCATACTATCTGCCTTACCGGTGCCTCCGATAAGAACATCCCCTGCCTCATCGTTGACTTTCTGGATGAAGCCAATTATGTTGTCATGAGCCGGACGACCTCTGCGAGATTATTCAGTGACTGACGCCAACACAGGTCACCCCGCTAGAATGGCGCGACCGGCAGCAGACGTAGTGGTAGTTAGCTTAATGCGCATCTATATAATACCACTGGATCTTCTATACCGGTATGGACACTACGGTCGTTCGGGTTTCGTTTCTGTATGACACCCTTACACGGACTGGCCTCACGTCCTCGGTCCAACACTCGCGATAGCGCATGAGATTTCTAATGGTCCAGGACATTCAATTCAGTTGCTGGTATGTGGTCTGTCACGCACCAAGGTATTTTATGATATGTTCTTTGACAAGCCCAAGGTATACAGCTGACAGCTGTACATAACGGTGAGAGTACAAAATTGTAGTTATACCGCTTACCTGTACATCAAACAAGTACAAATACAGGTGTTGAAACCACCATCATGGTCCATGATGTGCATGGCCATCGATGTCTATCTACAAGCGCCAGTGCGTCCATCCTATATCTCATTTAGTGTCCAAGCAGTCGCCTCATCAACCTGTTTATCTCTCACACTCGCACGTTTGGTACGCACCAGCTGACTGATTCAAGCACTGACTCGATGGGCACCTCACAGGTTATTGATGTTGCGTTATCAATAAGCTCGGTCTCGAATCCTTCTCCAACCCATGAATGCACCCATGCCAACTTCCTTCCTCCTTTTGCTGTGGACCGCTATGATCCCGTATGTCTCTGTTCCAGTCTCACTACTCTCGCCCACCTCTGATTCGCCCTTTTCTGTAAAGATATTTAGCATCACTGGAAAAGCAGAGGTGATCGATATTGAACGTCGAGGAGCCCAATTATGGACGATAAGGTGTTTTAAACCTGATCCGAAGTTCTAGCGTGAATGAACAGTCCGCTCCAGTCAAGAGGTGAGTGGAGTATCTCAAAAATCACCATCGTTGTTGATGTGAGGGCTGCTCACCGGCCGTAACGCGTTACGGATTAGCCTTTAGGGACCAAACTCGAAAATCCTCTCTCGACATCGCTTCCAACAAATCAAGCCCAACAACTGATATAAGGATGATACAGGTGAGCACATCGATGGCGCATCGCATTGCACCATTTATGATGTTCTTACGTGTTCAACGCTCCACCAATGACAAACTCTATGACACTAGTGAATGTCCTCGACGCTGATCCAGCTGATCCCTGTTCTCTTTAACATTTCCTTGCGGTGAATATATTCCGTGAGTGTTCAACTTGCTGTCTCATTCTCGATTGCGCACTGTGTGCGTGATGATATTTGTCGGGATCTAGTACTTGCAGGTAGAGATTTGTTATGATATACGAATGTATGGTAATGTCGACCTTGAATTCTATGAACGGACGTCTCAAATATTGAAGCTTTTGTGGATTCAGAAATGATTGAGGGAAGCAAAAAAGCCTTGGATGTGCATGTACTCAAAGCAGTTTGATGTCGTGGAATGAGGAAAGGTGATCTCGCTGAGTCCAAATAGGAACTGACAAACGAGCAATGATGACAACCAAAGTTGGGCGGGACGAGGAGATTTGACGCTTGTAATAATACCGATGGCTGTTAGCTGGGACGCGAGGAGAAGTAAATGCGTTGCATAGAATTGAGGAACAGTGCACAGCTGCCATCCAGAAGGGGCGTGTCAGGGTAAATATATGATAATGCAAGACGGCTACCAGCTGTTCTCACATTCAAAAATTCATCGCTCTCCAATGTCTTCACTGTCAACTTCTCGGCAACACCGAAATCTCTTTTAGACTTCAGTACGGATAGACTGTCTTTACAAGGGGGCTTCAAATCACTGTCAGCGTTAGTCATAGAGTACATCTACACCAGGAGGCCTGGCCCTCGCACCGTTGAACGCATCCAAAGAATACTTGTTCGTACTTGACTAGTACTTCGTGGTTTCACTGGTAGAGACGTAAGTCATAGCTTGTACATCTAGGAAAGTAGCCACTATGGAATCCATTGCTGACACCATCAATGATTTTGAAGGGCCACGGACAATGGATTGCATCTATGTCCTATTTTCCAGACGGTCAGCGAATGATCAGCGGATCTGATGATTGTACCTCTCGGCCATGGATGGCGTGGGTGGCAGGGCAGTATCAAGGGATGGTCGCTGGTGGTGGAGATTTGGAGAGTGCCGAGCTGAAAGCCTGTGAAGTTGAAACTGGGACTGTAAGAACATTCGAAGGACACTCGTGGGAGATCACCTGCATTCAAGATATCTGTATGTACAACACGTTGCTTGTGAGTAGATTAGACGATGAAACAATGCGAATATGGAACTTAGATACCGTCAGAGCGTCGATTTGGTGGGAGCAGTTCGAGATTCGAAGAAGCTTGCAACGATCGTAAATCTGGGATGTCCGATCAGGATCTGTTATCATCTATCCGCATTGTAGGGTTATTATCATCATGTCATGCACACTTCGTTTTCTCTCCCATCGTGTTTTTATCATCTTGTACATCTCCGGACACCAAAATTTACTATTCATATGAATTCAATATCGTGTTTCTTACTTACTAAGCGAGTGAACATTACTTGCTACCATCCACTTCCGTCGCATATTTAGTTTCTTACCAACTCTTGATAGAAACGATGTTGGTGCTCACCATAGAGCGAACTTATTCGACACGAACGGATACCAGTGCACCCTGCCCGACATTTAATGCCACCGTGACAGCATGGAACTTGGGCCGCCACCAGAGCACCGATGAGTCCTGTAGGGTGCGTTACGCTGAATTTCTCGGCGATTACCGAATGTATGGCGCTGGAAGCCAACGACACAGTAAATATTACCTGATAGCCACTAAAACATCCCGTGAATCAACGTGGAACTTACCCATTCTTCACGTGCGAATGTCTGCATCGCGTAGGGGTGGAAAACTATCGTGATGGGAGAGGGCTACGTGGGATTAGTGGAGGCGGGATCTACTGCGTGATTGGGTGAAGGAGGCTGAGCATTCGAGGTACAAAGTACGAAATAAATACTCACCTGTGCGTCTTTCCCCCAACACTGCTCATGACGACCCTGAACCTTCAATGTTCCCCCCATAGTAGCCCAACAGTGTTTCATACGTAGAGCGATTAATGGAGTGCTATCGTGGGTGTGCAGCAGGATCCGCTTTTGAAATTTCAAAGCAATATATGTGGCCATGTAGAAGCACCGCAATCAGCATACTCGCTATCAAGAACTCACCGGTTTACTAATGTGATGATGGTGAGTTGAGCTGTCACATTGCATGTTTCTGGGTCCCAGACGATGTTCTACAACGTTGGCATTGCGGTATGTGCATGTACTCAGAACAGTCTGACATGATGGGATGAGGAAATGTGGTCTTCGTAAACGTTCACATGTTTAGAGCGAAACCGATGAACGAGCAACAATGAAGTTTGAGTGAGTACTTGTGTCTGTTGCACTTCGTTGGGCAGGAAAAGGAAAACAGTCTTGGCGCTTTAGTCATGGCGCTGGCAGTGACTACCATGGCTGTGAGGAAAAGTAAGTGCGGCGGATAGAATGATGCAGGGTGGAAAGCACAGCTGCCATGTAGTAGGGTATATACATGCAAGGCGTTGCCCAAAGCCAATGGTTGCACTCACATTCAAGAATTCATTCCTCCTCGACTCGGTTCTTCGCTTCTAAAGCGCTAACCTCTCGGTAACACCAAATCCCCGTCTGTATTTCTAACGCAGATGAACTGATGTTTGACTTGATCAGGGGGCCTATCTTCAAATCACTGCCAGCGTCAGTTATACAGTGCACTGACAACGGAAGACCTCACCTTTGCAAATTTGAACGCTTCCAAAGAATACTTTGCTCGTACTATTTCACAGTTTCGCTGACGGAGACGCAGCTATGGCTTCCGCGCTGACATTGAAAGCAGCTCCCATGAGGTCGAATTTGACACCATCAATGACCTTGAAAGGTCACGGAAACTTGATCCAGTCCATATCCTATTTTCCAGACGGTCAGCGAATGATCAGCGGATCCGAGGACAAGACCGCTCGGCAATGGGACTTGAAGGCGAGCAAGGAGATTGAGGATTCGCGGAATATTTGCGAGAATGAGGTAAGGGCAGTGGCGGTATCAAGGGATGGTCGATGGGTTGTGACTAGCACTGGTGGTGGAGATCGGAGTAGTGCCGAGTTGAAAGCCTGTGAGGTTGAGACGGGGAATGTGAAAACATTCAAAGGACACTCACGGAGGATCAGATGCATTGATATATCCATGGACAGCAAGCTGCTGGCGAGTGGATCGGATGATTTTATAACGCGGATATGGAGCCTGGGCACTGGTAAACTCGTGGCTGGTCCATTCAAGAGCATCGATTGGGTGGGCGCAGTTCGATTATCCACAGATTCGAAGAAGCTCGCAGTCAAATCGTGGCTGGGAACGTATATTGAGGTCTGGGATGTCGAATCGCAAAAATTGGATGTCAGAGTGGGGAGATATGAAGTAGGAGGGCACGTCTGCGCCAATGTTCTGGACAAACAACAACAAAAACATCATAGCCGCATTCAGCTTCACCACGGACGACAATGCTAGAACAATCTACGAGTTTGACGCGTCGACGTTGAAGACTGTCGGACCTGCCTTTGAAGAGCACACCAAAGATGTCACCGGCCTAGCACTTTCATTTGACCATGCACTCCTCGCTAGTGCTTCCTTCGACAATACCATCAAGCTCTGGGATTGCGAGTCTCGCCAACTCCTCGCTTCCTTCAACGTTCAAAATCTTCTTAGACTTATCCTCTCACCCGACTCACGCCAATTAGCTTACACGACAATCACCAAAGACGACTGCAAGATCTGTATTTGTGATATTCCACCCGAGGTCCTCGCTCAGGCTTGTGTACGTATTCTCCGCAAACATATCCTGCTCATATACTAACATTCCCTTCCAGAATATTGCATGGCGCAAAAAGGTAATCTACTGCATCTGTGCATCTCATTCTTTTACTCATGACCCCACTCAGCCATCGTTATCGTTGCAGTCAGATAGTACTCGTCGTCCTCCTACTGGGCATCGCAGAGCACCAATATCTACCTTACCTGTGTCGCAGAGACCTCCACCTAAAGCAGACCCGCAGCAGCCCACTTTCCTTCGCCTCCGAAAACTTCTTCGCTTTCCACGCACGAATGCATCACAGCCAGGTCGAAAGGATCAATTTCGTGATCCCTTAGATGTATGTATCTTTCTCTTGTTTATTTCACAGTTCACTCAACGCTTGCGCTGCAGTTTCCTGCTACATTACCCTTACCTTCCTATGGCCGTCATGGAGACAGCTCTCCATCGACTCTCTTGCCTGATGGCGGGGCCCTTTTCAACTTTATTCGGTCGTTATCAGACAAGGGGAAGCAAAAGGCGCGTAAATATAAACAAGGAACTGCGCAAGTTGTCGATGTCCCTCTGGGACAAGCTACATACGTTTGTTATCTAAAATTTTGTTGGGTCATGTTCTGACTGTGTCACTCGCTAGGCTGATGTGGTCGGTGTAGACGACGGAAACCGACCATTTGTTCTCTTCTTTTGCCTCAACTGGTTCCAGAAAAAGGAGAGGAACCAGGAACCACGACCTGTCTATGATGACGAGCTCGAGGATGACGAAGAGGATGAAAATGTTCTTGATCCGGTCAGCTTACCTCCTCCCAGGTACATGAATCATATTCGTTCACGCATTCACTTGCTAACGCAGTCTTTTAGGGTCCAGCACGAAGACATTGAATTGGCAACGGTGTCACAACCAAATTTAGGACCCTCTCGCCTGGTCGAAGTAGCTCTGCCACGGATGACTGAGACAGCGCCGATCCAACCAGGTTGTGTCACTTTATAATTAAGCCACAAGGGAGGTGCAAGTTTGTGTGAGTTGGTAGGGAAGCCAAAATGCCTTGGATGTGCGCATACTCCGAGCGGTGTGGGGGGATGAGGAAAGGTGATCTCGCCAAGTTCAAAGCGAAATCGACAAACGAGCGACGATAAAGTTGGGTAATAGATCAATTGATGATTTACATAATAACCTTCAAGGGTCACGAATATTCTATTAAATCCATATCCTATTTTCCACACGGCCAGCGAATAACCAGCAAATCTGCGGACAGGACTACTCGACAATGGGATCTGAAGGTAGGCGAGGAGACTGAGGAAGCGCGGGATGTTTGCGAGATGATATTGGCTGTGGCGGTATCAAGAGACGTTCAGGGACAGCAACTATGTCGAGCAACAGATATCAGGACCTCGAGGCGACAGGTAACAAAATACCATGGAGGAGCAAGAAGGCGAAGAAAGGTGCCACTGACCGCGTCAGGCTTGAGATAATGCCCACAAAACTGCGCAGTTACTCATTAAAATAACATTGTATGCGGAGGAATCACACTACAATGCAATATGAAAGATAGTTGTTGAAACAATGTATGGGAGACCTGACTCGCAGACCGGCGAGTACTGTGAATCTCAATGATATCGCCTGACCGTGGCTCTGGGAGCTTGGATATACATAGAAGGAATCGGAGCACGCTCGAGTCCATGGCTCATTTGGCATTGGGAGGTTCCAGTGATTAGCAGTACATCAGTGAATTGATAAGTCCGTGATATTGTAGTCGTGGGAACTATAGAGGGATGTAATTCTGCTCCTGTTAAACATAACTATCTATACTGCAAGAAATTCGAGTTGTTGGTACATAGCCATGCACATCGGGGTGAACGATATTTAAAAGAGGTTTATATGTTGTACAAAATGTGAAGACAATATTTAATATTTAAACTAACATAAAGATGGGTGCACGACTTCAAATTTTGGTGGTGTTTTGTGTGTAATCCAAAATATCAAATATTCACAACCATATTCCCACAGACAATATGTCAACAAACATAAGAAATATAGTCAGATTTTTCATGTCTGCTTCAACTTAAAGTTCAATTTCCATGTAAAACTTTGGAGAAAACTTGAAGTTTTACAGATGACATGACATTAAAACTCGATTTAAATGTCAAGCTTTGGCAAAACTTCAAGTTTTCTCCAAAGTTTTATGTAAGAATCAAACTTTAAATTGAAGCAGACATGGAAAATCTGATTATATTTATTATATTTGTTGACATATTGTCTGTGGGAATATGGTTGTGAATATTTGATATTTTGGATGACACACAAAACACCACCAAAATTTGAAGTCGTGCACCCATCTTTATGTCAGTTTAAATATTAAATATTGTCTTCACATTTTGTACAACATATAAACCTCTTTTAAATATCGTTCACCCCGATGTGATGGATGTATGCAAATATAGACTACAATAAGGAGTCACTGACAAGATTGTGACGTTGCGACATCACGGCTTAGCAAGGGATCATAGCATAATTGTATCCGAATTATTAAACGTGCTTATTTATCGTAATTTAATTTTCCGATGCCAAAGTCATCCATGTCTTTATCGTGAAAAGTAGCACTAGCAATGGTTGTGATATATATTTTCACATTGCAGGATGCAACAATGTTATGACAGTGCATCACCATGGCTTGAAATTGAATGATAAGTCATGGTGCCTGATTTGTTGAGAATCCGCATTTTCCATTATTTGGGTGTTGAATTTTTTGGCGAGAGATCGCTCTATAATTTGTGTAATATTGCTACCGCTATGTAAGGTTTTCGCCAGTGTGAACAGTATTGAGAATGGTACTAATGGTCACCCAGAGCTGCTTACTACTGTATGGACAACTAAAGTACATCGCACGCGAAGGGAACGACGCAGGCGACAGCGGGAGGAAGAAAACTATATTTAGGGTAGCTGTGAGTAGATCGCTGTTGTATATGTTACTTATAGTCGTAGGGGTACTATTACATATCTTTCCTTCTTGAAAATCAGGGTGCTTGCCTCGAAGCCTGCTCAAAGTCCGCGATGATATCATTAATGTGTTCGATGCCCAGACACCTGCCCAAATAATCAGTCAAATTTGAACATTTCCATCAGACGCATCACGCACCCGGATCAAATCAGGCATGACCCCCGAAGACAGCTGCTCCTCGTCACTCAGCTGTTGGTGCGTCGTTGACGCAGGGTGGATGACAAGGGTCTTGGCATCGCCGACGTTTGCGAGATTACTAGCCAATTTTAGGCCGTCGACAACCGTGCTTGCCACGCTAACATCACCCTTGATGCCGAAGCTGAGAACACCACCAAAGGCGTTTGGGCGGAGAAGCTGCTTCGCCCTTTGGTGATACGGGTGACTCTCTAGGCCAAGATAGGAAACCCATGCGACTTTCTCATGTCTTGACAGCCACCTAAAACAATAAAAATTTATGCACAGATCAGTGCATGACAACTTACTGAGCAAGCGCTAAAGCATTTTCAGAGTGCCTTCGAGCCCTCAAGCTAAGCGTTTCAATACCTTGAATGAGCAAGAATGTGGCGAATGGGTTCAAGGCTGGTCCCAAATCACGGAGGAGCTCGACACGAAGCTTGATAGCGAAAGCGACAGCACCAAATGTGTCGTGAAAGATCAGGCCATGGTATCCCTCGGAGGGAGAAGTGAACGACGGGAACTTGCCGGAGCGTGCCCAGTTGAATTTGCCTGACAGAAAAATGAGATATGCAGATTGAAAGCATCGTGAAGTGAAAGCACCTGAATCGATGACAACACCTGCAATTGTTGTTCCATGACCTCCGATCCACTTGGTTGCACTGTGCACTGATGACCATCCATGTGAGCCGCGGATCACCTACATGCTCACCAACAATGTCTGCACCCAAATCGATGGGTCGGATGAGGTATCCTCCAATTCCAAACATATTGTTCACAATTAAGGGGATGCTGTGATCATGTGCAACCTGTTGATTTGACATGAGCAGCAGTCCATTGACAATGATTAGCATGCGCACTTTCGCCATGATATGGTAGTAAGACGCTGACAGGTGAACCTTTGAACTGGTTGTATGTCTTCAAGCGACCTCATCAGTTAAAACAATCCCTTGACTCCTGAAAATAATAGACTTACCCCTCCGTAGAGATATGATCTGTTGCCGAGATGTCAATCGGGGATCTGGACCTGAGAGATTGGACCTTACGTTGAAACGATGTTGTCACCTGCACTGGCTATCGTGGAAATAGCAAGGAATTGCGCAGACTGACTCCCGGAGGCCGTTGCGACAGCTGCAACACCACCTTCAAGGGCAGCCATTCGAGTCTTGAAGACATCCTATATAAATAGAAGTACTTGGTTGTAGAGGAGGATTGATGAAGGAATCACATACGACAGTGGGGTTGCCAATACGAGAATGAATGTGTCCAAAGGCCCTGTATACTAATGTTCCGTTGAGTTCAATTCGCTTGTCATACCCGATGAGGCTGAAATGCTCTGCGCATCCACATCTTCCTGAAATTCGGAGGGAAGGTCAGAGAAAGAAACCTATTCACTATAATGCAGAGAGGTAAACTAGTAGAGACCGTCCTGTACTTTAAGTCGGACTCGAGTCTTTGAAGAAAACATTCTATGTCTCGTGACCGTGACAGCAGTCTCAAGGCTTTAGAATTCAATAAGTACAAACAACCATCGCGAGAACAGGTACAACTTGAAGTTTGCGATCTGAGAAAAAATGTCTGGCAGTTCGTAGATCTGCTAGTGCGTTACAAGTAGAATATAAAAGAAAAATTAAATAATAGCCGCGACAAGACTCAAACTCTAAAAACTTAAACTCCTAGTAGTACTATCAACCACCAGGCCGTACTTTCAAGCTACTACTATGTACATAGTAGCACACGCCACTCCGGAAAATGCCGGAAACACTATAAATATATCTTTATCCAAATCGGGATGGCTTGCCAGACGCTAATCGATAACTCAAGGACCAAGGCAAGTGAGGATTTATTCACTCTCGATTCCATTTTTACATCTACCATTCTAGTACTATGGATAACTACGCTAACGCTAACGGAGGAGCTGGAAACGGAAATGGAAATGGGGATGGAGATGGACATCAAAATCACCAGGTGCGTTGGGGATTTTTTTACCGTGGCTACTCACCAATATCTTACAGATGCCTGAACACTTCCTCCAATACCCACTAAGGCCACGGAACGTAATGTTCATGATGACTCGACGGCAACTCGTAAGTCACTCACTCATTCGCGAGCTACGATACTGACATTTTTAAGGCGTTAATGTATGTCACTTGGGCCGCCGCTCGAGTGTGCGTGCGCCAACAAGTGTATGAACCTGCCTTACCACTTCCTCCTAATCCGCCACCTCTGATCTGGACAGACGAGCTGCGCGCGATGATGGTGTTATGGATCGCGAGGGAACACCGGATGTTCGAAATGGAGGTGCGGGAACTGGAATACCTCCTGGGACTCAGAGAACACCGCTTCTAGGTAAGCCATTTAGAAATTACAAGATTTCGGACGGACTTACAAGTATTAACAGATCGTATGGGTTGCGAATCGAGGTCGTCGAGGTCAGCGTGTGATGCCAGAGGTGTCCTCGTAGTTTTCTCGGGACTATTATAAATTTGTAACATGGGCGAGAGAATAGAGTAAAATTCGACAACGTACCTTTTCATGATAGTGGTGACAATGAGGTATCCAAAGTTAAGCTTGGCAGGGATAAAATGCTAGGGGGCTCGAGCCAGGTGACTCTCTTTAGACATCTTGAAGGTGAGGCTTGCGCTATGATGAGCGAGGAGTACCCAGATCACAGATGCTGCGTCGAAATCAGCCACGAGCTTCACGTTGAATTCTCGGACGCCAATGATCAGGCATGGTCCCAGAACAAACATCTGCACGACCCTCAAAATCCGAAGAAACCCAGAATAAATCTGGACGTCCTGTAAATCCTATGGAGACGATACACTGTGGTAGCACGCAGGGGCAGCGAAAGATTGACATACTGTTGACAATCTTGGAACAATGAGCTGGAGGCAAGAAACAGCAACAAAGCTAACACGTCTGACCCTTTAGTGGAAAAAAAGAATGATAATCACGATATGAACTTACCTCGCAAAGTAAAGCACGTGAGTTTTCATTGACACCGTGAAACAGTCCACGATAATCCCTCCTGTCGGATGTTGTCGCAGTTCACGGAAATGTTTTATTGCGATCCAGACTGCGAGACACAGTGTCCACACAGTGCTGAATATTCATATAATGGCAGTCAGAAGTGGGAGATCTCCCCCAAAGCCAATTGAGCACTGATAGGTGCCGGAGAGATAGTATTCCTCTGGTATTCATCAATGAGCCCCACTGGTGCACGTTTATTTTCATCCAAAATCAAGTGTACCCACTGAAGCATGTACCGTTATTATTACGGCTGCCACTCCAATGCAGATGGCATTAGCCAGCAAGGTGACAATGAGCAATATCAGGGTCTTTCTGGATCATTGATACATGGCATATAACCGAGTGATAATGATGACTAGCAGCATGTTTCAGTCAAGTCAATATCACTGAGAGCTCGCAAGTGCCAAACTCACTCCACAGCATTCCAAATGCCATAATACCCGTCCAATTCCATATGGCGGACATAATCCAGCCTGACGAATCCGGTCAGTGACCAGCCTCGGTAGCGCACACTCCAAACAGACTCACATCTGTGGTAGTATAGCGTGGCAGTCATTAATGAACCAAGAAGTTAGTAAAGAACCACACCCACTCCTACAAGGCACCACAGTTAATTGGAGGTGAATAGCAGGCATCTGTGCAGAAGACTTACTGTATCTGTCAGCGAGATGGTCGGAACATTGACTGTATGCCATTGGTCAGAAGAAGAAAAGACAGCGAAACTAAGGAGACATACGCAGCATGGTCAGGCTGTTTATGAGAGATAGACGATTGTTTAGCTTTCCGAATACACGCAGCAAAGAAGATTCCAAGGTAGCACACCTAGGATACTTTCAAGTCAGCACAACATGGCAACCACGACAAACAAGTTACATACACTAAGATACAGAACTGTCACTAACGACCAGCGTTGCCTCTGTAATTAAGTGTATTTTCATGCGTGTTCCTTTGACATGAGACATTACTTGCCCAGACCAATTCAACCTATAAAAGGATTCTTAGCGAGATGGCTGCATCGGTCGTAGCATTGACATACCTCCTGTAAAAAGTCAACAAGCCGAAAAGAGCATCGTCTACTCGAAAAACACCACTACGAGGCGCATGTTCGTGCAGGAAAACAAGGGTCGGCCGAGGAGATTGCGAAGGCTGTATTGGAAAAGTTCGAAGAATGGGAAGCAGCTGAGAAGAAATCCGGTTTGTAGAAGAGATCGGAGGGATGTGTGGTGGGTGGTTCGAGGTTATCAAGGCTATCGAGGCATCTTGTTGAAGTCCGTTTTCGATATGATCTGGGAAGGAGCAGCAGAAGCCTTGGCATCACCCTCCACGTTTTCCATGTTGGCTGTGTCCAATGTATCGCGGACTCGGGAATTCCTGCATATCTTACGATCTTGGTATTGGAATTCCTAAGTGTGCCGTTCCGATCCATTTCAAGTATGGCACTTATCGGGGTCTCGTTAGTGGTAGCAGTTGTGAGTGTAACACTATCACTCAAATTGCACAGTAAAGACAAGGCTTCGCTGCAAAAACCAAAGGTCAAGACAGTTGAGGTCCTCAAAGGCAGCAAGTTTGAATGTGTGATGCTTCGAGCGATGAAGTGACAAGTGACATAGATATCAAAAGGACGAGACTTACCGACACCTTCATAATCCTTCAGGACTATGCCGCATCCATGTCGATAACTTTGATAGACATGAGCCCATAGTTGAGAAACCGAACCTCTTCTAAACATCAGTTGGGTACACAGGCGTCAACTGAGGACGTGACACACTGTTGTTTCACAGTAGCACAGGTGTTGGCAAGACTGTTTTCGGCAAGTTCTTTTATGTGACTGCTTGAAGGTTGATGACTATCTGACTAGAGATGATCCAATGCACAGAATGACTGTCGATTGCTCTAGGCTCACAGTAAGTCATTCTGGCAAGTATGGAGTCGCGACATGATCATGATGGGACCTGGGCAGTATTTTTTAGTTGTGACTTCTAGCCGTCACAAAAAAATTCTCACCAATTTTCGAAGGACTCTGAGTCAGACCGGACTCATGGTGCCAGTACCATGGCAGTCATCATACTAGTGCCATCTCTCGCTTTCTCTGGCTACCACTGAGTCCTGACAGGAATCATTCTGTGAAGGGACTTCCATGATTGCCAACTCGGTGAGTTCATTTGTTTGTTCGTTGTTGACAACGCGTTGAAGACTTGCCAATTCGCCACGACAATGATCAAAGTTCCTATCAGGGCTACTGATTCAGAACTTTATTGACAAACGTACACTCACAAGTCAATCGATAAAGTTCACGTGTTGTTGTACGAGCCTGCCTTGAATCCAAGTCAAAGTTCAAGATGAGTAAATGCAAATCTTAAATCTTGCTAACTATCTCCACCATCGATAGTACCGCAGCTGACTGTGATCATCATCATGAACTTCAATGCCTCTGGCATTGGCCCCAGCCGGCACAACCATGACCATAGCCTGTCAAACGAGCTTGAACAATCACTGGCTGCGTCATCAGATGCCCTCCACCTCGATTGCTTCTTCAACTTTGACAATCCTCAGGCTGGGGCTCAAGTTGGTCACAACCATGCCAATCATCAACTTCCATGGATAATCGGCTCTACTAGTGGGTGGTGGCCCCCCCAAAACGTGCCCCCAATGGGACTCTACCATGATCCTTACCGTGATTATCGTCACGCAGAACTTCAGCGTCAGTCGTTACCCTCACCACAGCCTGTCGTGTCAAGGCTTGTGCTGGGTCAACCGTCATCAGATCATCATCATGGTCAGTTCCTGCCCCAGTGGGCTCCGGATCAACCCCAGAATCTCCAACTTGACGAAGTCATTCAAACCTCCTTTAACGCGGTTTGGCCCAGAGAGTGGCCCTCCCATGATCAAGACTTCCAAATCGCATCCAATGATAACCATATTCCCAGCCCAGTGCCCAACAGTGGGCCATCACCATTGCCGGGGCCTGGGATCACCGCCCAGCCCACTGTGACTCCAAGTCAAATGTCTACGCCCCCCCAGTGGGGCCGATCCAAACGCACTGCTAAAACTAGTACGCGCACATCATCCCGGCGCCTGAAGGTTAAAAGTGGCATTGAGCCAGAAGGGGGCGAAATGCCTGTTCAAAACTACATGTTCGTACCTTCGAACTCTGGAGATGCTACAGTGGACTTTCGTGAAGAGATGAAATATTCACTTTTCAATGAATCACTCTTACCTACAATGCCCGAGATTAAAATTATGGTATGGACCTCTTGGGAAACTGCAATCAGCAGGCAGCCAGGTATGTTTCCTCAAGTATCCGATCCGAAGATGTCGCTAACCAATTGAAAATAGCGAACCTTCGCGAATGGGCTGAGAATTTTCGCTGTTCTCTGGAAAAGGGCCTCGTAAACATCGTCGACTCTGTCAGAAGTGACATGAAGGATGTTGCGAGGTTATTTGTTTATTTCTGATACGACCTACAAATCTACCAGATGAACGTCTTGCACCTTATCAATCGCAGGATCCGAGTCCTGTACTTAACGGAGGACGAATCGAGATTCCTTGATGTCACACTAACGGTAAGTCATGAATCGGTTCTCGATGTCAATCATGTTCTGATTTCGAGGCTTTAGATCAACGGGCGTGTCATTACTGTCCTTTTTGGAAACCCAGCCATCATGGCATACATTGGATACCTGCTGTACGACAGCAGGTATCAATATCATCGCTATATCGGCAGTGGCTCGGCTGAACCATCTCCCGATGGTGTGTCCGCAATGACGGTCGAGAAGTTGCGACCGCTGTTTACTATGACAGGCACACTCTTTCGCTGGGCCTTAGAAGAGCGGCGAACGGGTACGGTGATTGACAGTGAGTTATGGGTCAGGAACAATCATAGTTACCACACGACGCTCGTTAACAGATTTAATAATATGACCCCAGAGCAAACGGCCAGCGTTACAAACTTTAGTCGACCAAATTGCTACTTGCCCTTTGAACTCAGACTAGTCCAATTTTGCATCTATTCATTTACACGTACTAGTACTAGTCAGGCGGCTGGCTCATCATCGTCTTCGTTTTGTTATGCAAACGGGAGTGTCCTCAAAATACAAATATATTTGCTCTCAATGTCCCAGATATGGTGAGGTTCGCCTTCTTTGACACTGGAGCCAGCGTAAGGCGAAGGATACACTGGAAGAGTCGCATCATGTTCCTGCCGAGAACAGTCAGCCTTGTGTATCTGTCGGAGTGCTTGACAACCATATCGAAAGGTGTCCCCGGTCAATCTCTCTGTTAGATAATCATGCAGAACCGGTGGGCAGAAGTGCACCTGGCTACGTCGCATCTGCCTTGAGATAGCCAAGCTGGGTTTGAAGGCAGTTCTGCATGGCTATGCATATCACTGCATTGAACACTTTCTCCGTATGAGACCAAGAGCATCCGAGTCAGCGCTGGAACAGCTCCAGCCTAACGAGCGTTAAGCTATCGTAATAATGCAGTCAAATAGTATGACCTCACCCTTAAATTCCTCGTGAAACAATTGGCAGCACGGATACAGAGCCTGCCTTCCCTCGACTGCGTAGGAGCGATAGTCGTGGCGAAGTAGTACTAGCCTAGATGAATTGCTTGAGGTCAGTAACAATAACTAGTACACGACCAATTGAACTTATGAACTTTGGTTCCGCTGATATAGTAGGGTTAGAGGCGACTGCAAAGCAGGCGCTGGCAGGAAAGATGGGGAGGGGAGGAACTGGCACCAGGTTTATTAGTACCGAAACCTACTACAGCAGCACCAAAATGCATACTAACATGTGTCAATGTTCTTAATCAGATAATGTTACGTGTTGTGACATTTAAGCAGGTCATCACAATCGCCAACCTACTAGTAGGCTCGTCGTCTCCCACCTATTCACTTTATACGTCATACGTATCAAGCAATACCAAGCCTTACCACGTCCTCTTCTTTGCAGTGACTACTACCTAGTAGTAGGTCATCTGGCTGCATCCTCAGACTAGCATAAGCCGCTTGCTGGCCCGTCTTCCGAATTTAAATCCTCTTAATTGGCCACTCGCCAGACCAACCGTTAGGTTTGCACAACCAATTGAACTTCTGAGATATCAGAGTCAGTCATAGTACAATCAATGAAGACTTTGAACGAATCGTGTTCACAAATATGGTAACCGGTTCGTTATAAATGCTCATCTGTAAGTCATCATGTTATATACCGTGACACCCGCTCAATTGAGATACTTGTTCGGAAGAGAACGAAGTCCTGACAGCGCTAGTGTCAGGGTCGCATATACAAGGTTGTTTGTCGAGCCTTTTTTGGAACTTACCAGTCTCCTCTTTTGTGAGTCGACCTACTACGCATGAGAGTAAATTATGACCACTCCGTTTGACCAGAATATAAATGCTCGGAGGTGAGCAAATCCGTCCCAGAGTCATCTTAGTGCATGATGCCACCCAAATCAATAACTCTGTCTTCCGCGCCCACGCAGGCTTGTGATCCGAACTGCTCCTAAGTGGGTCAGGAGTCACCTCTCTCAGCAGAATATCAGCAACTCCATAAATTCTATGCTCTCTGCTCGTCAGCGATCTCGGGTGCAAACTGCGGCCTACTTACTGGGCGTTCGCCAAAAACTACCCTGATGTAGATGGCGAAGAAATCAACCGAATCCGTGCTGTTCAATCAGCATTAGCAGGAGCTCAAGATATCGGAGCAGTGCAAGAACTTCCTGCACCTGCAAAGCCAGAGCTCGAGCCTGAGCGAAAGAAAGGTGACTCTATGGCACTTGCCTGAGTAACTTGAATACTAATCCTGGCCACACTACTGTAGTCGAGTTTCGGATTCCTTTGAATAGCATGGAGACCGATAAATGTACGACATACGTGGGCCATTTATACTCCGAATCAGACATGAGTGCCCAGGACCTGTTAGACTCCACAAGGGCCACCATGGACGTCCCAAAGACATACGAAAATTTGGGTTGGCGCCTGTCTACAGCCCGCTGTAGATGAGGAATCTTGACTAGACGTGAAAACACTTAAAACAAAAGGGTGCTCAACAGCAAGACCGGGATATGAGACAACGACTCGACCCAAGGGACAACCACTGAGAGAAGTTCCTCGAAATAAAGTGGAGGGAAACTCTATGAGCTAGGCGGGCGCTAACAGGTGCGAGAAGATAACGCGTGCGAAGGTGCGTGTACGCGAGGCAAAGGCGCGCGAAGCGAAGGCGCGCCTTGAGCGTTAAGGGAAAGGTCCTATTGAGGAGTGAATGCCCAGATGGATGATTGACAGGAGAATAAGATCTTATAACAAGTGAGGAGGTGATCTATACACTTTCCAGTACACAAAGATAAGGGGAAAGTAAGTCCCCGAACCAAAGGAAACCCTTCTGTATTTAAGAATGGAGATACGCTAGCGGCGCGCTTCCGAGCGCGCTCCCTGAACCGAGTAACCATATCAACTCTAATTATAACTAAGTTTAAATAAACTTTCTATAAGTAGCGCGGACGTCGGACCGAAGATTTTATTAGTTCAATGGATAAGATAGAAATAATGCACCAGCGAATCAGTAAGGACATGGGACGAATGGACGGACGATAGCGCGAAGACCTATGAGGAGGCGCGCGTGCCGTGCGTAGGTAAGGCGCGCCTAAGTGCACGCGAGTTCGGATAAGGCGCGCGAGTGCGCGAGACTGGTACTTAGGAGTAGAGCTGTAACATATAGGAATGTATGGGTAAAGGCCATATATTCGGCATTGAGACGCGCGAGTCTCTACACCGCCGCACAGACCCACCCCACCGGCTTCTGAACTCGCAAGATATCAGCAACACTTTCAGAGCTGCACGGGAGCAGATGTCCGGTCGGAAAAAGAAGAACATTGCTATCGAAATTGTCAATACCGTAAGTGGTTTATTCATCACTGAGGGTCGCCGGCACTCAGATGTCAGGGTAATAATTGACAATTGCAGAAGCCTATAGTTAAGGGAAAGTCAACAGAATGACGGGAAGGTGCTATGTCGCGGTGTCCTGCAGGGGATCAGAAGATGGAATATAAAGCATTGCTTCTGCCATATGAGCAGGAGTTACAGATTGTCCAGAGCAAATTGCAGTTGCTCCGAGCATCGACTTGGAGAGGACGCCGTATTCTGTTGGGTGGATACATCACAGCCAAGCACAAGTCCGCACTATCCATTGTGTACCCGAGACCTGCAGGAGTGGGCGAAATATTTGGTACGTATTAGCCTGCGAGCGTCACATTGCACCATGCTTATGACTTTTAGCATGAAACTCGGGATCCAGAGGATGCTACGTGTCTTACATTACCTAGCACACCTCATTTTGACGAGTTTTGGAAGACACGGAAGGAACGAACTGTGTCGTCACTTCAGCGCGTGCCTACCAAGCTCGTATCACCTGTCATCCATAATCACGTTCACATCTCACCTGCTATCAACGACATGCTGGCTTCTAGTAATGGCCCACCTTTCGGGCAACAAGACCAAGGCCCAAAACCACTCAAGAGGACATATGCACTCTACATGGAGAGTGACGAGGAATCGGACGATGACTGGCAACCGCCGCAGAGCATTGATGACGTCCTTGCAATCATCCATGCTCGCTACCCTGATATGAAGTTCCCACAGTATGTGGATAAGCTGAAGGATCGCGGCATACTTTATTTGGTGACGGCAGCACATTTTAGTATTCAATTCTACGAGGAGAAGATCGGGATGCCAGAGGGTGCTGCATACATGTTTCACGCTAGTGTTCACAAAGCTCATATGAAGGAGCAACGCGTGAAGATGAGAAGGAATGCAAAAGGGAAAAGGAAGGCACGGGTGCAACCTGACGACAAAGACAAAGAAAATATTCATAATCTAAAGTAACTTAAATGGATGGTTGCTTATATTTTCTACTAATACAGTTGGCAGCGCTGGGGCCCCGGGGGGCAGGAACGCCGCAAGGTGCTTCTTGATGTTTATTTGAATTTGTTTGTTGATACTTGGACCAAACTTAGACTGAATTTCATTAATTAGATTCTACTATCTGCTATAGTACTAGTAGTCTTTGTCTAGTCACAATTTAATTTATTGCCAGACCCTCCCAGCAATCGCCAGCTGATAGGCTGACCTATGGGTGAGCGATTGAACAGTTTAAGGAAGGTCAGCTGGGCATTTATCACTATGACATGTTGAACTGGGCATGACGCGGACCTCTAGTTATATATAACTAGCAATGCAGTGTATCAAGACAAAGACCTGGTGCAGTGATACCTTACTTAGGTTGTTCACTGATATTTTTCGGGACTATGCTCCCACCAGCAGCTCCTAGGTACCAAATACGGCATGGCCGCTTTTAAACACCGCCGACTTATATAATCAGGCGGAACGATTGTAGTCAACATGACCGTACTATGGCCAGCATCCCATATACCAGCATCCGCGAAGTTCTTAGAGCGCCTTCAATGAACACTCACAGAGGATCCAGTCCTGATCTTCACCATGTAGCACATATGGCTGACCATATCCTGGCTAAAACCATGCTACCGGACAGCTCCGAGCCATCCAAATCGGACGAGGTGACTGACTCAGAGACTCCCAGTAATCCCCATGGTATACTTCTAGACTCCATCACTGCAGCGACATCATGACTCCGATGTCCCATTGTATGCACCTCCATCTCTTCCCTCCGTAACCCGCCACATGCCTTGTTATGCAATGCGCTCGGCCAAAAGATTCCGGCCTGCAACGTCATGTCATGATACTCCCAGTGCACTAGAGCTCCGATTTGTTGAAAGACATTTAGGGAAGTACTCTGGCGAGACTGATATGAGTATGATAGATGTCCAGAAGGTATTCTAGCTTAATTTTGACCACAGATCATCTTATGTTGACAGGCATTACAATAGGGTTTCGATGTCTTCAATCGTGGCATTGATGCTTTGCCTGACAGCGCCGTCCGTGCAGCCGTCCTAGCAAAGTGATCCGATCGCGAATCTAGGCGCTTGCGAGCTCTCACAACAGCTTGGGAGCTCGAGACAACCGAACGACATGCTATTCTTCTCCAAGCGCTTCTGTTGAACGACGCCAAGAAGTATGCTGATAGCGTAGCGGAAGCTTCCTTCTTTGAGAAGCTTTTGGTCAAACGTAGTAGGAATCAACTCGAAGATGACGCGGACTTTGGCATTGCTGCGTATACTCATGATTTCATGGAATACACTGTTGCAGATAGCCAACTTGAACAACTGGAGGGTGTTGCCGATAAGCGCAACTTGTCACTACCCTTCGATGATCCAGCTCCTGAAGATCGCTTGAAGACATGCTTGGACACCATTCTTACAGATAGTACGGATGGTCCTATGTCCCAGTTGGCTGTCTGAGGTAGAGTGATTAATTGAATTTTTGCAGATGTTATGATACTGACCGTGTTGCGAATGACAGTACATACCATTTCACTTGTGTTCTTGACGTTGCAAGCGTTCCCAGATCGATCCATAGTAGATGTATATGTGTACAAAACGTCATGACCAGTGCAGTATGCAGCCACGGCAGTTCAAGGTGAAGAAGAAGCGAGAAAGATTCAGATTATCACTGTATCCAACAACTACTAGTAACTCATTTGTTTGACTAGCGTACTAGTATTGAAGTCACTAATGTGACTGATCTTGAAGTTCTTCCTGCATTCCAACCTTAGAATGACTTGAAGTGCAAGTTGTTGAGCCGCGGCCGTGGTGCTGAGCAGTGACTCTGCTGGAGTCGAACCTTACTAGTACTAGTACGGAGCCCACCATACGTTCATTAATAACGACTCGAGTCCGCTAAACAGCTGTTCGGCGAATGCGCAAAAAGTTGATTCTATGGCCCGGGCTCATTCTTCTTTGGCTCTCAGTCATTTACTACTATTCGTTGATGGTGTCATCTCAGGCTTGCAAAGCTCCAGGTTGCTCCTGGGAGAAAGCAACCGACAGTCAAGGGCTTAGTAGGCATCGTGCAACCTGCCAATCCTACAACAAATACAAAGTTCTAGCCAGTCAGAAAAGACACGAGAGAGCAAAAGAGGCAGCCAGATCTCCACTGACTCGGAATGGTTTCATGGTGCAGCGAACAGTTGCCAATTCAACGGAAGGCTTAGCTTGTCACGGCAGTTCCAACTCGTTGGTGAGGAGCCTTTTCTGTCTCATCATGCAGTTATAACAGGTCAGCGATTGAAAACATATTTCTAGAACACTACCGTATTGCAGCCTATTCAGCATGTGCCAGAGGGTCATGGTGACCGCTCAAAGCCCATTGCCTCATGTAAACCGTCCATCAGGTACAAGATTCAGATTGGCCATAGAAGACCGTCTTCTAGCACAGCGGAAAGTCATGGGCACTTCCAGAAAACTTCGCAACAGCAGCTTGATATGGCTGATAGCTTCAATGACACAGAACCTGAGATTGATCACCATGCTCAGTTGGGTACTAGTACTAGTAAGTTTCCTGGCAGCGGTGTGTTCCTGAAGTCTACTGATCCTTTTTTTAAAATACTTTTCCTAGGAGAAGAACCTTCGCACCATCTGCCAGTGAGACGGATACCCAGGCCCTATGAGGATATCTCTCTTCCTGATGAGGACGTCAATATCTCCGAACATGTTGATCATGGCGCTCGAAATGTTGCCCCGCCTCAATCCAGAATAAGGAGAGTTCTACTGACATTACGAGACACACTTCAGACTCCCTTCAATTCTCTTGGACTTGGTCGATTGTACCCCCGCCGCCCATCCTTCAAACCAGATAAATTCATCCCATCCCAGCTACTTTCAACAACGTGTCCAACTATGACGCAGGAGACTGATTCACCTGGTATCCTCCCGCCTCCTTACCCCTTTTCCAACATAACGATCTACCGGCTCATGTCTTGGATGAACTCAGGAAGTAACCAGAAATCCGAGACTGAAGTCGCCCGTCTCGTCAAGGAAGTAATGCTGGCGAAAGATTTTGACATAACGCACCTAGAGAACTTCTCGGTGAAGAGGAGTTTGCGAAAATTGGATGACGACCCCGGCAGCAGCAAGAATATCAAGCTTCCAGATGACTGGACTCAAGCCAATGTCACCATCGATATTCCTATGAAATTGGGTGAGGGCAATGCTAGATCTTTTTCTGTTCCAGGGTTCCATTTCCGTCCACTTGTTGAAGTGATCAAGTCGGCCTTCGCCGATATCCAAGCGAACACATTCCATCTTTTACCTTTCAGGTGTTTATGGAAGGATCCATTGGATGGTCACAAGGAACGAATCTTTGACGAGTTGTACACGTCTGATTCGTGGTTAGATGCCCAAGACGAGCTGCCAAAGCTCCCAAGGGAGCCCGGGTGTTCACTGGAACGAGTAATCGCAGGCCTGATGTTTTTTTCCGATGCCACACATCTGGCAAACTTCGGAATGGTGAAAGCCTGGCCTGTTTATATGTACTTTGGAAACTTGACCAAATATGCACGTTCCGCTCCGAAATCCAGTGCATGTCACATTGTAGGGTTTTTACCGTCGGTAAGTCTTCCTATTCTACCTTCAAGCACCATTTGACATTGCACACCAGCTGCCTGATAAGGTCAAAGATATCCTAAGCAGCTTGCCTCGAATATCGAAGACTGGCATGGCCACTCTTCACGCTCATTGCCGATGCGAGTTGTTCCACGCATGCTGGGATATCCTACTAGATAAAGATTTTATTCAAGCATACCGCCATGGTATTATATTGAAGTGTGCCGATGGAGTGTTACGCAGGGTATTTCCTCGTATATTCATGTATTCAGCTGACTATCCTGAAAAGTACATCATGTTTATAAAGATCGGTGGATTACTCAATGAATTTCAGGGTTTTAATCGCCACCATCAAAGACATGGGCTTGTGTCCCTGCCCGCGCTGTCTCACGCCGAAAAGTATGTTCAATTTTCTAGGCCTCCTTAAGGACATGAGGAGCTGTCTCGATAATCTCAGAGTCTACATCGAGACCAATATCTCCACAGCATGAGAATATATTTATAAGTGGGGAAATACAGTGGACGGTGTGAAAGTTGAAGAGATGCTTGGAGAGAGGTCCTGGGTACCTGTTATAGTGAGTGCACATTTTCCGCAGCTATGTCATATTGGCTCATGTGAGTAACCGGCAGAACAAATTTGTTGAGAAGCTCGGAGCGCTGCACCTCAACCCATTCCAGATGCTCATCGTGGACTTCATGCACAAGTGCAAGTTGGGTACTTGGAAGGGTCTATTTACTCACCTCGTCAGGATTCTGTATGCACTACCAGGCAGAACCCAGCTAGTTGCAACCTTAGACTCCAGGTAGGCGTTTGTCCAGTGTTTCTACTAACCGTGACTTATCAGTAACAAATTCTATGACACTGTAGATTTCGTCAGGTCCCAACTTTCGGTAGTGGGGTCATTCGAACCTTTGCAAACAACACATCCGAGATGAAGAGACTGGCCGCACGAGACTTTGAAGACATTTTGCAGGTGTTTTGCTTTTTAACTTTATCGTTATCTATGTAGCGTCCTGACGACCTCTACAGTGTGCAATACCAGCATTCGAAGGGCTGTTTCCCGCCAGTCATGACACGATCGTGCAGACTCTTTTGTATAGATTTGCTCAATGGCACGCACTTGCCAAGTTAAGAAATCATTCGGAGTCGACCCTTAATTTTTTCGAGGACACATTCAAAACGCTCTCTCGACAGTTGCGGAAATTCCGTGATTTTACGTGCGCCGCCTTTAACACTGTGGAGTTACAAAGAGAAACGGCAGCTCGCCAACGAAGGTTGGCCCAGCATGCCGAATCCAATAATTCTTCCTCAGAATCTAGTGGGCCAAAAGCGAAAAGGTTCAATTTAAACACCTATAAGTTTCATGCAATGGGTGACTACGTGCGCACTATCAAGCTCTTCAGCACTACCGACTCTTTTACCACTCAGATCGTGTGTACTGTTCCCTAGCTCTCAAGGACACTGCGGAACTTATGTTATTGACCAGGGTGAACTGGCGCACAGAGCCTTGAAAGCATTCTATCCATTAATGAGGAAGTTGGACACTCCAGGGCAGCTAGCAAAACACGAGCGCAGGCGTCGTGTGCTACAGCGAGTCAGGGAAGCAGCAGATATCACTTTGTCAAGCGACCAATCTTCAGCCAACTCACCCATTCCCGAAGAACATCATTTTATCGCAAGTAGTCGAAATAATCCAGTTTCGCTGTTCGCATTCCTCCAGGAACACGACAGCGATCCAGCTACCAAGGTAAACACGACTACACTTTTGCTCCGTTTTGTTTATGATGACGATTTTTAGGATTTCATCCCGAAACTCAAGGACCATATTCTGTACAGGCTAAAGAAGTTGGATGTCTGTGATTGTGATCACACATTCACGGATGAGGAGCGCAACACGGTTATTATACCTAACAATACGGTGTATTCGGTCCAGACGATGAAGGTACACTACACTACTTACGACATGAGGCACGAATATGATATTATCAACCGCCACACACACGCAGATGTGATGGTGCTTTCTGGAGAAACCGCCCCTACCCATCCATACTGGTATGCTCGCGTACTCGGTATCTATCACATGGATACTTGGCTTGAAGGGTCTGGTGGTCGCATCAACAAACAGCAGGTCGAGGTCTTCTATGTCTGATGGTTTGCACCATTGATACCGTCGGAATATCAGTCTGGCATAAAGCACGCCCGCCTTCCCAAGGTGGCATTCGTGGAGGAGTCGGATCACAACGGATTCGGATTTCTTGATCCGGGTCAAGTGATCTGAGGAGCTCATTTGATCCCTTCATTCGCTTCGGGGCGCGGTGTGAGTGCGCTTCGGTATGGGAAATCTTTAGCACATCCCAACGAAGAACAGGATGATTGGGAAGAGCATTATGTCAGGATGTGAGTGTAGTGCGTCTTCTTGTTGCTGAATGACTCTTACCTGTCAGAGCTACCAGTTTTGTTGACCGCGATATGTTCTTGCGCTATACTGACTTGGGCGTAGGACACCCAGCAGCTTTGCGGAGGACCGTTAGAGAATGTTTTGGCTCCCGATTAGCAGCACCGGTGGAAGCTATGGACGTTGGTGAAGGCAGAAGCGATGGTGAGTGCTATGAAGAAGAGGGTGATGAACAACAGATGGACTGTGACAGTGATCTTTGCGAGGAGTCCAGAGATGAAAGTGATGGACTGGAGGGATCAGAATCGGAAGATGATACAGGAGAGTCTGACGATGACTCGTTCGATGATCTCTCTTTTTGATTTGTTAGGCTCATCGACTCAGAGTCCAAGTCCGACTCACGAGTGAGCAGAAGCTTGTAATGTTCCTCACGGTGACCTGGGCCTCACGACAAAGTTCTGGTTTTAAACATATAATATACCTACTTCTTGATCAACCTCGTCGCAGTTATCATCAATAATACTAACCATGAATCTGATGGCGATCGCAATTCAGACATCCTGCCACGTGATTAGCGATGAGTCTTTCAGAAAATTTTTGGGTTGTCCACGATGAGGTTCAGATCAATGACACAGGAGACGGCATGCACTTGAAGATCCAATTAACATCTGCTTCTGCATTGGAATGTTTTGGAAGCGACTGCTCACGAAATGACAATTTGGCACATAATTTGTTGCGGCGGGTACGGTCCATGTCTCGACTCTCTGTGTTCCTCACGCTGATATTTCAATCCTTGTAGGGCCGCTCCGAATGTCGTCAGTGGCACCTGACGGGTTTTGCCGCATTCACTTGAGTCTTTCTGATGAAAGCTTGCCAACACGTCTAGATGCTGTCCTGTTCATCGAGGCTCACTCAGGGAAACCAATCCCACCTTGGCAGGATCTGCGATTATGGTGGAGAGCACATGAAGGCGTCATCAAGATTATCGCAGACCTCGCTGGGGGACCTGAATGACCTGATAACATATGTGCACTGTTAAAAAAAGCGCTTGAAGACGACTTTGGTGCAGTGAGGGAAACTGCTATCTCTGTGGTGCGTGAAGACTTGGCAAACAGTGGTTCTGGTTAACAAGGACTTCGTCCTGCTCTGAAGATCTGTTGAATAGCACCACACGACATCTGGAGAGCTACGCTCAATTTGGTCAATGAAGATATACTTTCGCTAGCTAACTCTCCAATTTTTCAAAGACGAATGTCATAGGTGTATTCTCTACTTCATTCAGCCTTTTACATTGTTCTACAGGTTTGTTGCATGTCAGCAGGCTTTAGTATCCTCAAAAGCAACGTAGAAACGCCAATGCCACTGGTATTGTCACGAGAAATCCCTTAACGTTCACTACGCCTCCGAGACTCGATCTCCTAAGGTTATGAATGATACAAATGGGTGAGCATATTCTTTTCTAAGTCTACGATACTATTCTCAGCCAGCTGCAGGCATAATTATCACAGGATGGAGCAGCCTGTCACTTGGTTTGGGAAAGATCAACTTCTAGTCACAGCCGAAAGTCATCGCTGAAGTCCTTGGCGGAATTCTCCTCGGTCAGGTCATTTCTCATATTGTACTGACGACTGCTCATTTAATCCTACTAGGTCCTATTGCAATGGGATGAATGCCTGGTTTCACCAAGCACATCTTCCCCTGCTCAATCCTTTTCATATCTCGAGTCCTTCGTTGTCGACATCATGATTGGCCTCTGCCTCTTTCTCTTCAAGTCAGTCTTTCAATCGATGCGAGCACCATCAAGCGAGTGTTTGCTCATCTTTGTTCATTGCACTCTTTGCCATGACCTTGTCCTTTACTTTCGGTGCTACAATCTCTGTGCCACTGTACTGGTATTCATCCCTCCTTCCGTCAAGTTTACGTGGTACTTCATGCTTTCAGTCAAACAGCGGTTATTACCATTCGGCTGTTCAAAATGGCATTTGGTGCAGTCACGTCTTTTCCTGTGCCCAATGAACCCATTCTGGCTGCGCACTTAGCTAAACTCATCATCCAGGATCTCCCTCTCGTTGCCAAAGCCTCCAAGTCAACCAACTACTACCATCTTCTAAGAGGCTTGTTTCGCGCAATTGGCGGTGGAGGGGGTCGTTACGAGCTTCTATACAAAGAGGTTCTACCACTCCTTCCTGAAAGTTTGACCGGCATGTCTGAGTCATTATTTTCCCGTCCTTTGTTGCATTCTCATCACACTGAGGCTCCTGGACACAACGGTCGCCGTCGAAGTTGTCCTATCAGTCAGCGTGTGCAATGATGTGGTTGGTTGGAGTCACTTGCTGGCACCTACTTTAGTATGTTAATGTGACCTCCAGGCTTACCATGAAGGACCTCTCAGGGCCAACATCATCTTGTTGGGCTAGCCGCCACTTGCCTCCATCCCGATCAAAGAGAGCCGTTTCCATTGTTCCTTGAACTATCCCGAAAAGGTTCGAGAAACCACCAAGAAACAGCATCCTGTCGCGCCTAGCTAATGATGTTCCTTAGACTATCCTAAAAAGGCCAACTTCCGCTACTTCTTTGGGAATTCCAATCAATACGCATTCGGCTTTCATTAGGTCATCAGGTGCAGACGTCGTGCACATATAAGACAACCACAGAAGGCTTTCACCCTTGTCCAACCTACTGCAGCCCTCCTCTTTCTGACTTCGAACTCGGGTATGACGGAGTCGGGGAACAGTTTCGGGCAGCCCCCAGGCTCAGGAGTCTTCCCTGTGTATCCTGACGTCTCTGCATGCTAGAGCGAAGCGAAGAATTGCTGTTCTTGAGGAGGAAGTCGAAATTTTGAAACAGGACAAGGTAACAAAGCAAAGGTATACATCCTCTCGAATTCTCCAGGTGATTTTAATTCCCCATCGCAGGAAGACAACCTATTACGTCTCGCAGGGACGAGCAATCCGCCGTATGGTTGCTCTTTATACTCCCATAGAAGACCTTATCGCAGAAAATGACCGGCCTTGTGAAGATGGCGACAATGACACTACTATCGAGTAAGTACTTGGATTCGATTGTGTTCGTCACGGCAATACTGATTTTGTTGACGACAATGCACAGACAAGACCGCCACCAACATGGCTACATCGAACTCAGCAAGACAGCTACCATGGATTCACCAGAAGCTGACAAGTCTGGACCACGAGGAGTCAGAAGATATGCTCAGAAAGGGTGGTCCTCAGCATCTTTATTATATCCCCTATTTATTTTCCATGTAGCTCAAACGAGGTGCGGACTCAGCTCATGGTGACGACATGGGTACTCTCAAGGAACTTGTGGCATCGTGGGTGAATATCGACTGTCATCCGACTCCGCTCATTAGGACCGACGACAAGCACCACCGAGGCTTCATTAATGATGCATGTGGTCGCATGCTCTGTCCAGCGGAATGGCATTGGGACGACCCAGTGTAAGCAATAATTCTCATTCTTAACTGTTGCTGATAATTTGTCCAGCATCAGGGCTGGGATTCGTGACCGTACCATGGCATACATCGTCTCTGAGAACTCATGGCCATTGTTCATGTATGAAGGCTATGAAGCTTCTGTTAAGAATCTCGAGCGCGGTCTCATGAAGTCAAAATTGTTAGTTATGGTATGTGACCTTTTTTCCAATCAAACCATAGCTCATCGCATCATAGGGATTCAAGGCCATCTTTACTTCTCCGTCCTCTGCTAATGAGGCAGATGGTGATGGTGATGGCGCCGATATCCTCGAGAACAACCGACGCGCCAAGAGATGATCAGACCAAGCAAGAGTCAAGACTTGTGTCGCCTCTATCATAGGTATGAGGAAGGTAACTCCCCACGCGATTGCCTACACTGTTTGTCAAGTACACTCCAATTTTTGCCTCTGACTATGAATTTGACATATTTTCTGCAGGTCCGATTTGCTCTTTCAAACATCACCTCCTGGCGTACTGTAGATGCAGACTTTGATTATCAACTGTTCTGGAATAACATCGTGGATTTCTTTGAGGATCCAGCCAGGTCCAGCCACGCGAGCTAGGGTACATGCGCTCCTGGAGTGGTGGACAAGGTAAGTATCTGACTGTTAGCAACTCGCTAGGTTCGCTAACGTCCCGTGTAGGAAAGTTTTTGGAAGAAATCACCAGCAGGACCTGACACTAGATGTTATTTCCCAAATGTCCGTCAGTGCTCTTGCTGCCCAGAGACTGGAGATGGAGGCGGCCGCATTTGACTCTGATTAGTTCTAGAACATTTGTTACATTTTTATTAATTACACTCTCATGTCTGGTCTTACAATTAATATCATGGTAGTTTTAATGTGCTATTAGAGCTATCTTGAAACATTGTTAGTTCTGCCGTGTAATGTATAGCTTCGACCCTTGTCATCTCCTCAAAATTCATGATCCATAAATCATCATGTCTCCGCCAAACACATTCGAGATGTCGCGCGTCTGAGCGACGTACCAATGAACATCATCTCCTTGAAAGACAAGGATCGTCATGTCCCTGCTGATCAAATTCAAGACATTGTGTGTCTGAGGGACGCATCAATGAACATCGTGTCCTCGAAACACACGGACCGTGATGTCCCTGCCGAACAAATTCAAAGTATTGTGTGTTCCAGCGACACACTAATGAATAGTATATCCTTGAAACACACGGAGTGTTGTGTCCCTGCCAAACAAATTCAAGGTAGCATGTGTCTGAGTGATGCACCGATGAACGACATTTCCTCGAAAGACGCTGATACTTATATCCCTGCCGAACACATGCAAAATAATGTGTGTCTGAGCGATGCACCAATGAATGTCATGTCCTCAAAAGGCACGGACCGTTATGTTCCTGCCAAACAAATTTGAATTATCACGTGTCGGAGCAACGCACCAATGAACATTATGTCCTCGAAAGACATGGACCGTCATGTCCCTGCCAAACAAATTCAAGACATCGTGTGTCTGAGGGACACATTAATGAACATTCGTGTCCTCAAAACACACGGATTATCATGTCCCTGCTGAACAAATTCAAGATATCGAGGCTCCAAGCGACACACCAATGAATTTTATGTCCTCGAAAGACACGAACTGTAATGTCACTCCCAAACACATTCAACTTATTGCATGTCTGAGCAACGCACCAATGAACGACATCTCCTCGAAAGACACTGATTGCTATTGTCCCTGCCAAACACATTCAAATTATTGCATGTCTGAGCGACACACCAATGAACGACATCTCCTCAAAAGACACTGATCGCTATTGTCCCTGCCGAACACATTCGGGATATTGTGTGTCTGAGCGACACTGTAATGAGTGTACGTGTCCTCGAAAGACACATATCACTATGTCCCTGCCGATCATTTGGATTTGTGATGTCAATTGAACATACTATTCGCATTTGCCAATGCTGATCAGAATGCCTCGACTTGCTCTGCAAGGGCACTCCGAAAACCATGTGCCCTTTTATGTGATGCTCATCTTGAACTAGGAAAATGTATCGTGTGAGGACCAGATGATATACATCTGTACCATTTGGAACTTCACCAAAATGTGTTTCATTTTAGCACATTGAAACCTCCTTTGGTGACACTCTCAGTCTCTGTCTGTATTCAATTTCATGAACCTGTGCGCGTTAAATTTTTTGCCGATCCATCTAAGTACAAAAGCTCGCAAAGCAAATAGTACTATTTGGCTAGTGCGCTTGCAAATTCGTCTTTCCTCAATAAAGCCAGATATTCCCATGTGAAAGTGATCAGCAGATTTACGAAGATTGTGGTGATGTTTCACAATATATTGCTTTACATAGTATTCTCATTTGTTCACCGGTTCACTGATGTAAGTGTAGTTAATGCGTACTCACCGACACCATTTGGGAACAGCAGCAGTGGCATAGCATTTTCACTATGCCCATTAATGGGGTGTGGGATATAAACAAGATTGACGCCCTAGCACAGGAAGTTGTCGTGGCTGTGAGTAGTTTGAAGAGAACGCGCACCTTGTATAATAGTTGTACTCACATTGTAGAATGTCTTCCTCTCGATCATTGATAGCCTTCTGGTATTATCAATTCTGATTCGAACATCCACCGTGGATGAACTGACGATTAGCTCTACTAGCCTGCGCAGAGAAGCAAATGTGAATACAGTACATATCCCAATAATGCATACGGTTCGGGAAGCTGAAAATGCCATGCATTACCATGAATATCACCACTGAAAACCTCATATCGTGATATGCAATTATTTAATCTATAAAGCTGAGTCATCATACTGGCTGTTGAGATAACAATATAAAGCATGACAAGGTTGGATCACTAAAAATGTCTATGACCAAATATGTCATTCCGTTTGCAGGATTATATTCCAAGAAATAACCTTGTAATGTGAGCTCTGAATGTTGTCATCGCTATCAAGTGGCACCGCTTCTGTTTTGAGATAGCAAAACATGCCCTTTCGGTCGAAGAATTATATTCTGAGAAACACATTTATCATGCAAGCTCCATGTTTTGTCATCACTATCAAGTGTTCATTCGCTTCTATCTTCAGGTAAAAAGTCTCTTCTTCCGGATGAAGAATTGAAATACGCTTGTAAAACAAATGCCAAATTCTGTATAGGGTATCGCTTCTATCTTCAGGGAGATTTTCTACAAAGGTTTTGGCATATACAACCTTGCAGATGCCATTATGGTAAGTTGTTGTATGTCACGGTCACTTCACTTTATCTTGCCCATGCTTTACTAAAGCTCAGACAAAGTTCGGACCTTTAGTACTAGGTACTCAGACTCGAACCAGCGTGAGCCCTGCCAGTGCCGCAGACGCAAAGCGGCCTGACTGGCAGCTGCAAAGCAAGCACATTCCAATTTGAAAATTCTAAGGACAAAACAAATTGAAAGATCTCGACACGGCAAATTTACACCCTTCCAAGCACTTCCAGGCCTTTCAAACACCAAGTTCTCTTTCACGCTGAGCCCAACGCACAGTTGCTTCGTCAAGTTCATACCCAGACCACGCAGGACGAATATGTCACACTGAAATCAACAAGTGAACTCTGTGCTAGTCTCAGTGAGAGCCACTGCCTGACGAGCAGCCAATCATGGTGCTCGCGCAATTCACTGTACTATGAACGAGCACTCAGTGAGTATCATTTGAGAGGTCATGCGTGGTACAAACTCTAAGTTGGGTTAAAATCTATAGCATTCATCATCCTGATCCTTGTCTGACTCCAGCGCAGAAGCTGACTCTTCATCTTCATCGGCGTCCATAGAACTGCTGTCACTGTTAGTACTTTCCACATTGTCTTCCTCATCCTCATGTTCATCGTCATCATCCTCGTCATCATCCTCGTCGACTCTTAGTTCATGTTCATCATCCTCAAGTACTTCACTTGCTGCCTCGCCATCACGGTCTAGCTCATCTTCACAACTGAATGATTCGTCCTGGTATTCACTGTGGTGGTGTCTGACTGCCGAGGAGTCATATTGAATCTCGTGTCCAACGCCAATTCCAACAGATCTTGCGAACATATCTCGATCTGCAAAGATGCGAAGAAGAGTGAGTATAGGTTGTGGCGTGGTAGCGGCAATTTCGCCTTACATATTCACATAAAAAAATGACCAGTCATCAATTTCACCTTGACCTCTTGCAAGAGATGGACCGTGTCTGAGGAGGGCATTTGAACACCCATCTGAAAAGGCTGGAATGAGATGGCAACCACAGATAACCAGTGATGGGTTGAGGAAACCAAAGGCATCATTGTCAGTCTCAGGGATGAATCCGACCTTGGGTAGACGTGCTTCTTTAAGGCCCCAGCGATAGGTAGGATCCACTCCAAGCCATCGAACCCAAAGCACTTCCAAACTTCATCAGCAAACTACAATGGCCTTCTACAGCTCCTACAGAGTGCTACAGAGCCACAGCTTGGTCCCTTCTGTACAGCTCTGTACAGAACGTCCCAGCAACATAGTAAATAAACCAAAACCAAGTCACAATTTGGGCATTTTAAAATGCCAAAGGCAGGAATTGAACTTGGAATACTATGAGCAAAGTAACAAGACATAGCTACCACTGCACCATAGTGCCTTTGATATATATAAAATACAATAACATTTATACCAATGTTACTCAAGCCTCATAATGTTTTCAACAAGTTGTACAAAATTTAATAAGCTTTGCTCTAAACTAAGGCTGAGTGTAATGTTTCACTGAAGAAAAGATCTATTTGAACTTTGAGACATTAGACAACATAAAAGTGATAGATTTGAACAAGGGCAAATTGTACAACTTGTTGAAAACATTATGAGGCTTGAGTAACAGTGGTATAAATGTTATTGTATTTTGTATATATCAAAGGCACTATGGTGCAGTGGTAACTATGTCTTGTTACTTTGCTTGTAGTATTCCAAGTTCAATTCCTGCCTTTGGCATTTTAAAATGCCAAAATTGCGACTTTGTTTTGGTTTATTTACTATGTTGCTGGGACGTTCTGTACAGAGCTGTACAGAAGGGACCAAGCTGTGGCTCTGTAGTGCTGTACAGAGCTGCACAGAAGATTGTAGTTTGCTGATGTTTGAGACAAACAGGTTTCGTGCTTGTGATCCAGTATGCAATACCCGGATGCGAAAGGCCCGTAACACCTGCGCATACCAGAAAGGATGTGCACCCTCATGTTCTTCCCTTGACAAGGTCATGACATTGCAGTTGTACCCTGGTCTCATCGAGTCTTGGTCACGTCGCATATCATAGGTGGTGTAATTGACTCGAAAACGACAGTGATTGCTGGACACAAGATAGATTGTCAATGAAGTGTAGGTCATTCCTGTCTGAATCTGAAAATATACACTCATCACCATCATACTCAAGCTCCAGTATATGAGACAAAAGGTGATTTTTGAGCTTTGGGATGAAGTCCTGTTATACAATATGTGGGTTAGATGACATAAGCAAAAGATTCACTCTTACTTTGACGGCGGGATCACATGAATGGTCACCAAGGTAAGCTGCAAGATTGATGACATTGACCCAGGAATCGGAAAGATGGTGGTGAAGTTCCGGAACGTTTGCAATGGGATCCTCTATTTCAACACTCTGCTGCTGCCGTCTGAAGCATGTGTGCCGCCTCTCATGCTTTGCTAGTTGCATTGGTACATCTTGTTTGTTGGTCATCCTATAGAATTTCTTGATGAGGCGATGTGCCACCTCTCCCTGCATCAAAGTGAGCCAGGAACAGACATCATTGAATAATGCCCCTACTATCTGTGTAGTATAGGAATCGGTGGTGCCAAATAATCTTATAGAGTGTATGTAGTCTCCGAGGGCATGTAACTTATAGGTAAAAAGGTTGAACGATTTTGGATGAGGTCCGGTCCGCTCAGCTACTTTGGGTCTTGATTGAGATTCAAAGTCATGTTGTCTCTGATAACAGGCAGCCATCTCGCTAGGAAGTTCTGTGGTTCGAAAAGCTGAGCAAGTACATGCACAGAACCTTCGAAGTTGATCTCCCAGCCTTCGGAGCGACTGGTCCAGTAAATGAAGAGTGTCATCGGAGTGGAGATGCATCTTGGCCAGGGCATGCCATTCAGCCATGTGAAATAAGAGAACCCTAATAATACTATCATGTTCCCCTGGGAAAAGCCCCTCGAAAGTGGGTATGGCGCACTAGAGCATTAAGCTAATTCAAATGCATTGTATATGTAAGATGCAAAGCTACCTGAAGCATGTCCTCAAAATGTCTAGCAACTCACTGTCTCATTGATGAAACACACTTAGGGAAGCGTCGAATTGACCCTTTCCCAAAGGAAGGAATTGAGTGAAACCTAGTGTGTGAAGACATCAAACCTAAGAATGAAGTAGAGTTGAAAAAAACGATGATACCTTTCGTTGATAATGTCAATTTTCCGAGGGTCAATTGCATATAGCAACCGCATCAAGTGCATCATCACTCCTTTGAGTACCCCAAGTTCAAACTCGTGAAGTAAGTCGACTACGATGATGGGGAAGAAGTCCAGCTCTGGTAGTGAAAGATGGTCTATGAAGCTGTTCTGGGAAATGTCCGAGTCAACCATACTCAATTAATATTACATGAACACAATCAAACTCATGATAGTAGGCACCAAGGAAAATTCCTTCAAGAGGCTCTCCACTAATGTTCCCTTGATCGGAACACCACGTGTATATATGGCATTGCATGCTTTGGAGACTTTCTCATTGAAAAATGTTCGTAGCCTGATTCATCCGTTGTGATGCATCACGTAAAAATCCTATGCGATCAAACATTGACTTGGGTGTTAAACAGCGGGGGCACGGACAGTTGCCTTTGTCACAGTATGGTTGCGAGGAGAACTCTAAAATAATCAATGGCCTACTAGTCACAACATAAAATATAACGAAGGGAAATCAGACTTACTTCTCAGGGTAATCTGCTGAATAAGTGAATACTTGAGGGAAAACATGTTGATATACTCCATCATGGCACTTGACTACAATGCCATCTTTGTAGGCATGGATAAATTCATCGTCGAGCAGGATGGACCACACTGCATGGAACAATTCCCGCTTACAGTGGGTAAGTATATCACGGTAATTCTTCCTTTGCAGGAAGGAAGAAATGAAGCGTGTAATGGCATCTGGTAGCTGTGTGAGATAGAAATCAAAAGGTATCTTGTGTTGACTGATGACTGAATGACTTACTGTGGGAATAAAAGCTACTGGGTGGCAAGCACCAGAGTTGGGATCTGAACGGACATATTTTGATAGATTGCCAAAAAACAGATATACTGGCCATGCTGATGTGTTCCCAAACTGTGTTAAGTGAGTGGAATCAGACCAGAACATGAGGCCTGCAATAACCCTTTCCAGTTTGCAACCGTCCTCTCTTCTTTGTTTCTGCAATTCGTCATGAGCCTGAATCCAAGCATCGGAGGTATAAAGCTCATCATAAAGTCGTTGCTCTCGTCCAGTTACTGGCGATTTCCAAATACGCTTGAAAGGCGTTAGGTGGAACCTGTTTTGACAACTGTTCCGAAAATGCAGCTTTGATAACTGCAACGAGTGGCCGGTAGAGGAGCCCAGAGACCGAGAACATGCGGCCATTGCCTTTGAGATTTTTTTCCTTGGATGGAACCATTATCTTTACATCAGTTTCCTTCCAGCCATCTTGCTGAAAAACATGCCTGGAACGTCCATGTGATCCTCAGGAAGCATCAAAATGCTTCATCTGAGCGTCAGGATTAAAATTCTCGAAATCTTTCAGATCGAAGTCCTCTGCCCTCAACACCTCATTCACCAGACATTTGGTCTCTGCCACAGACTTCTGATCACTCCCAGTCACCAACCAAGACATCAAGCGCCAGACCGACATACTTTTCCATGGCCATGGTGGCCGTGTTGTAGAAGGATCACTTGAGGAGGCCATCTCAATGTCCTGTGTACTGCTGTCGTCGATATTGGATTGAGGAGGATGTATGTGTATGTTTGATAGATCATCTCCTGATACAGCTGCATCTGGATCGTAGGTGGGGCGATGTCGATATTCACGAGCAATGCCAAATTTGTTGAAGCAGGTGCAGATGGAGTCGAAGACATGAAGAATTACACGTTTGGGGAGGGAAGTTTGTTGATGCTGAATAGCGGGTGGTGGCGGTTCTGGAAGTTCATCCCTGTATTGTAGTGGTAATCTCCACATGCGAATTGTGCGTGAATTATGACTACAGTCCAGGATGCTAGAAGGGTCTTGTAGAGGAGAACCCACGCCTGAACCAGATGGACTCCGATTGCCACTGATTGAATTATCGGATGGGGGTGGAGCGACTTGGATGGGGTGGGGCTGATCAAATATCAGGGGAGTACTATGGTTGAGAGTTGACTGTTGTGTTCCGCTACTTGAGGACAAAGGCATAGCCTATGATACATCATGCTACCACCGTTGGAGGATGATCTAGTGCGTAACACTTACTCAGGTAGTGTCATTGGCCAGGAAGGGTGCAGGTTTTACCCTCTTGAATGCCCTGCTTTGCTTTGGGTCTTCATGAGCCAGGTGTTTGAAATGCTGGGCCTGTAGATTCATATGATGCTTGTAATGGTCACAAGCCCTACGGTGTCGACCAAGTCCTGCATTGTCAGAGAAATCACAGGGGCACGGTGATCCACATCACATGCGGTGACAATCCATCATTAAAAGAGAAAAAGCGATGTAGAGACTCGCGTGTCTCAATGCTGAATATCCGGCCTTTACCCATACATTCCTATATGCTACAGCTCTAATCCTAAGGACCAGTCTCGCGCGCACTCACGTGCGCCTTATCTGTACTCGCGCGCACTTATGCGTGCCTTCTCCTAGGTCTTCGCGCTATTGTCCGTCCATTCGTCCCATGTCCTTACTGATTTGCTGGTGCATTATTCCTATCTTGTCCATTGAACTAATGAAATCTTCGGTCCGACGTCCGCGCTACATATAGAAAGTCTATTTAAACTTAGTTATAATTAGAGTTGATATGGTTACTCGGTTCGGGAGCAGCGCTCGGAAGCGCGCCGCTTAGCGTAATCTCCATTCTTAAATACAGAAGGGTTTCTTTTGGTTCTGGTACTTACTTTCCCCTTATCTGTGTGTACTGGAAAGTGTATAGATCACCTCCTCACTTGATATCAGATCTTATTCTCCTGTCAATCATCCATCTGTGCATTCACTCCTCAATAGGACCTTTCCTTTAACGCTCAAGGCGCACCTTCGCATCGCGCGTGCGCATTCTAGGACCTCCCGCTCACGCGCGCATCTCACACGCCTTTGCCTCGCATCACGTGCGCCTTCGCGCGTGCTACCTTCTCGCGCCTGCTAGCAGCCCGCCTAGCTCATACAGTCTCCCTCAAATCTTTATTTCGAGGAACTTCTCTCAGTAGTTGTCCTTCAGGGTTGAGTCGTTGTCTCGTATCCTGGTCTTGAAGTAGAGCACCCATTTGTTTCAAGTGTTTCGCCTATAGTCAAGATTCCTCTTCTACAGCGAGACAGAAAAGTACACAGGAAGTCACAGTAGCCCTAATTTTCATTGTTGATCAATTCCAAATCATTGAGCTGATGGTCAGAAGTGAAACAGAGAATCAAGACACAGTCGCAGCACAGGCTTACATTAGCCTTCACTGTGGGGACGTGAGAACTGGCAGCTTCATCTTGCCAAATTGATGCCAAACTACCATCACTGTTTCACTTGACCCACAATGCTTTCCCACCACATTATAAAGATATCTATAACACCAATCTACACGCCCCAATTCCACTTGTCCTACACACCAGATAGGAACTTTGCAGTACGAGATGTCTGGGTGCGTTAGAATCCAGGTTGATCACCACTGAGTATGAGTCAATGGCCCTGTCAAAATCACTTGCAGTGAGGGCAGCATCTCCGCCAGTAAGAAGGGGCGCACTGGTTTTATTTTTCGTAAAAGCTAAGTGAAATGTGGATGAGGATTGTAGCCTGCATGACATTGCAAACTCCAGACTTACTGTTGAACCATCCAAGGCAGATGGCCCTCATTGTTTTGTCGATACCAACAGTCCCAGTCGTGTTTTCACGCCATAACAAATAAACGATGGGCGTAGGAAGTATGGTTGTTCGGATTGGTGTTGACATCTTGGGCAAGTAGTTCTTTGGCGGTAGATAAGTCCCTATTTACACATGCAATACGGGCAGTTGTGATGGCTAGGATCTGCACGAAACATGCTCGAATTGTAATATATATGAGTCAAAGACAGAAACATGCCTTTGAGTGATGGACGTAGGGAGTATGGTTGTTCGGTGGTAATATCTTGTGTGGGTAGTTCTTCGTCAGTAGATAAGTCTCCATCTATGTATGCATTGCGGGCTGTTGTAATGGCGATAGTCTGCAAGAAGCATGTTCAATTTGTGGTATATGAGTCAGGGACGGAAACATGCCTTTAAATGAGTACCCTTGCTGTTGCTGTTCTGCACCACAAGTGTCAGGAAACGTGCGGCTGTGTTGGTGCCGCAGATTATGCTCTGGTACAGAGTCAATCAGCTCAGTCGTCAGCCTCACCAGAAGTGCAGGTGACTCACCGTGCTCCTCAGTATATCTGATGGGAGGCTTTTCAAAGACGGCTGCATCAAAACTTCGGGCAGTTGATATGAAAGATGTCCTATTTATGCGCCCTCTGTCATGAGGTGAGGCTAGGCTTTCCCATGGAAATTGCGAGGGACGTGAAGAGCACTTCCCATGCTGTATCAAGGGTACACCAGAGCCGTTCGTCGGCAATGCCTAGTGCAATTGTATTGCGCCACGTGCTGTGCACTTTGGTAATGTGACGCTCACCATATAGGTATCGGCAATTTTCTGAGTGAACTGTCTGAGAAGAGGCATGACAGTGGTAGGATCATCGAGGTAGAGTTGGGGTGGGGTGGGTAGTGGCATAAGTGACCCAAGAAGGTGGTCGATACACTTCATATATAGGAATGCGGAGAGTTGAGGGAAGATCTCAGGGGCAGGGATGCACAACGGAACCACTGGCACTTTAATCTCTTGGCCTGTGCACTCTGCGATTGCTGGTGTTAGAGTAGGTAGAACCGGAAGGTTCGCACAGTGGATAGCAAAAATGAGATTGTGTGCAGGAAATAACGTAACACGACAACAGCGAGCAGGGGCCGGCTGGCGGGATGAGAAAACCGCGAACATGTGGGTGGGCACGTCAGACAAAACATCATTGACAATTATCGAAAGTTCCCGCAGGAGGACATTGGAAACAGGTTCAGCTTTGATCCCTGCAAGGACACAAAGCATGCTGAAAAATGATTCGTCAAATGATTGATCAACTACCAGATGAATAGACTTACTCGGGCCCAAGGCATTCTAGTCCATCGTGCATGTAATTGATCATGATGGGTGTGAACAAGTTCAGGTGCCACAGCCTGAAGTGTGGACACCGGGATCTCAATGGGCTTGGGTCGAGCGAGGAGTCTGGGAAGGGAGATGATCTTAGACACTGTTGTTGAGTCCCCCATCTTGACATTGTGAGAAATAGTGGGGACATCCATCCGCACTGGAGAAAGAGGGTTTTTGGACGGAGTTTGCTCCTTGGCCTCAGTTGAGAAAGGTCAAGAACAAGAAACTACACTGACATATCTTGCCGGTCCTGTTTTTTTTGCCTGCTGATTAGACGCAAGACGGGGGTCAAAGGCCTGAGGAAACATATGAGAAAAAATGTGGTTGCTCACGATTGGTGGGCGCAGGTGGGCACACAACTGTTGGACATCCCGAGATGCCGAGTTCGTTCCGTCGATCTTGTGGCGTGAACTTTGCAAATAAGAATTTGCAGTACAAGGATTCACGACCTCGATCTGAACTGCAGATTTTGCTGGTTCCAGACAGTTATCAATGACGATAGGTTACGGTTCGATTTGCTGATTTGCCGCAACTTATTTCGAAGTCCGATCACTGTTTGTTCTAGTCTTTTGAACTATTTGTTAGTACATTGCGGTCACAGGAGGTCACAAGCGGTTGTGTACTTACAATAGACATAGTTTGACCACTCCAGAACTTTAGTACCGACCGATCGACCCCAGCCTGACTCAGACAGACTTAGAGACGATGGAACGAAGCCATGGTTCAAATATGCAGCATCGGTAAGCCAGTTAGAACTTGAAGAGTGCAACTTGATATGCTTCTTCAAGAACGGTGCACCACTGCTTCGTTCGCGGTCCGCTGAGTCGGGCCTATGTATAAGCAGTTAGTATCCATTCAATAATACGAACTGTGTTCACATGGAACAAACTTCGGCAGAACCTGCGGGAGTGTATTCGATTAACAATGACCATTGAATCATAACCTGCCTGCAGGCATTGACAATTCTCTTCTTTGTAATGACAGAACCCTCACTCGAATCACCGGCCTCTCGTCCTAACCCCTCACTCTTCGCTTCAAAGCTTCATCATTTGAACCTGCACTGACCCTGCCAGTGCAACGACAAAGTCAAGAAGTTAGCATCATTCTCGCCGATACTTACAGATCAATATCAATTAATCTTTAGTGAAGCTGGTATTGCAAGTCATGTCACGTCCGCGGCAGGCATGACTGGCCAAAATGAATGAGGCAGTGGACACCAGGTCGCAGAATGAACCAGTTGTTCTTTCAAGACTAGCAGCACGCAAATAGATTGAGTGGAGAAATATGTATTTCTGAATTGCAAAGAGTGGAGTGCTGCCAGAGACTGGTTAAAGTGAGTGATTTATGCGAGAGAACTCACTATCATGAACTATGGCCCCAGTGATGGCAGGTTGTGATACATGGGTCGTAATTGAACATGTTTCTGCAAGTTCTACCTGAAATTTCTGCCATCTGACCTGAGCAATAACAATTCTGCCAGATTGATCAGAACCGTGCCCATAAGTGTATGCAAGATATGAAAGCTGGCCATCATCCTACAGTGTTCCCCATCCTTAGAGATACCATTCAAGATCCCCTCAGAAGATTCCATATCATCTCGCACAGAAAATGTGTTTCTCCTTCATCGCCATTGTTGCTGCTTTGACAGCATCTATGCATGTCAGTGCATACTGTTTGAACACACCTTGCAAAACTACTGTGGATTGCTGCACAGGCACGGTTTGTGGACCTAGCGTGAGTATGAGCAGGTCGCTGTGCAACCAGGATCAACCACATGACTCACCTGCGTGCCTTAGGATGGAGCTTGATTGTTAGTTAGGTTACAAAATTGAGCCGGCAGTACGAAGGGCTGTGCAGACAGTAAGTCATACTTCTACTTTCGCTTTGGTACCATGGCAGACAGTGCAATGCCTAGTAGTTCGCAGTCAATCAGTACAGTTGTTTTGGGACAAGTTTTTGTATTGTTCGAGCAATGTGGATGTTTGAACTTATCTGAAAAATGATCGATTGTGCCTAGTCTTACTCATGGTTCACTGAGCTTCAAGTCGAGTTCGAGGGGCTGTTGAAGGTTCAACAGAGCTCCAGCTAAAGCCGTTTCTGACATTATGGTTTGACCAGTCAATGATGTTAATTGGCCGACTACGCTACTATCCCTTCCATGGACCACTGCAATCGACATCCCCGTTGCAATGACAAAGGGAAACTAGGAGACGAGCAATTCATAGTCAGCCAACTAAAATGACAATACTATCCATGGGACCCACAAAATTATTAGCACATCTAAGCTTGATCTGGTTGGCCAGCACCAGTAAATGTCTCCCTGCCTTCATGCCACGCTTGAAACCCATCTGGAATCAATTGCATTTCCGGCGCATTCGTCGATAGGTATGTGGGGATGACCGATTGCTCCCAGGCTGTTTGCTTGAAGACTAAATAGTATTTGCGAAGCTAGAACGCTGTGCACAACAATATCTAAAATGTCGAGGGCCAATCCACAAACGCGGTGTTGGTCAATCAGCATAAATGGGAACAACAAATATTGGAATGAATTGGAGTGCTAGTACTAGTCAGTGTCTTTGTTCTTCCCCAAGGCAGTGGAACATGGACATACCTGAACCCACAAGCTCCAGCCTAGTGAAAACACTCCAATTCAGGAATACAATAACGAGAATGGCAGCTGTCCAGCCCTTTGTTTGTGTCCAAAGCAACAGACTCAGTGGTCTCCATGATGCCATCTGACAACGAAGGCTAGGGTCCCTAAACGACGACTACTGGTACTGAAGACTGAACCAAATGGAGGTGCACGCCCGCGGCTGTTTTCGTCGATTGGAGACTGCATTGCATCATTTGCATGTTGGTTAAAATCAATATAGATATAGATACGCGTTCTCTAATAAAATTTCTGGGTACACAGAGCAAACATCACGGATCGGACTTCGAAATTTATCACGGCAAATCGGCAAATCGAACCGTAACCTATCGTCCACCATAATGAATGCTGGCTTGGGTCTCTGCAAATGTTAAGTATTAGTCCGTAAAAGGGAGCATTTGTGTTAGGGAACTGACTTGGAGACCATAGTCATAACTTGCGATAGCTGACCAGAGCCCATAACTGATACCTTTGCATTCTGTTGTGACTGTTATCACAATGGACTCCATTTCAAAAAGTCCAGACTTATGGGCCACATCCACAGGAACCGCGGGGACAAGGCACGAACAGTGAAACCATCCATTAGCGGTGAGTGCTAAGGACGAGTGCGGGTGGTGACAAGGTGTGTTAAATGGTAACAGTTAGCATTATAAATGAGAATTATAGAGTTTTTAGAGCAAAAATATCGAAACTCGGCCATCATTCGTCGTCAAACTCATCCTCACCCTCTCCTATCTCTTGGACTGACAATGCAAGCTGCTGCGGGTATGTTGCTTGACCACTCAGTGTAGCTTCACCACGCAGATAATGTCCTACAGCCTCCATCAACACCTTTACCTTCTTTGCTTTCGTGCTGGGCATGTTTTTGGCAGCCGGCATTGCTGTGTTGAATCTGCGATGCCAATGAATCTGAAGGTCAACTTCAGCACTACGAAGCTTGCTGACTGGGAGGGAAGGATGAGTCGCCACCAAGACCGAAGGTGGGTGCAAATGAAAAATTGATGGTGCTAATGCACGAAATTTGCAGTCTCTCGGTTAGTGTCTCGGCATTCTCCCACAGGTGGTTGCATTGCGCTCACCAGGACCCTCCACCCCATCCAGCAGCCGTCCAGAGCTCCTCCGTGGCTCAAAAACATCAATTTTCACTGCCTACGGCGTCCACAACCTGTCCAGGCTCTCCCGCATTTAGTTCACTGCTCTATATTTGATGCTCGCGGTGTAGTATCAACCAGTCTTGCCCAGTCACGCAGTGAAAGTGAGTGATTTTATGGCCCCCCATTCTTGCTTTCGACACTCTTCCCGATTCAATGACGCCTTCATAAGGCAAAGTGTCTCAGAAGGCTACACAGTGCTTGAAGACGCCTCCAGGAGGCGAATTTGAGAGGAACATGTGTAGCGGGGGCTTAGACCCTACCATCTACTATATTCAGTCCCAGAGTGTTTTAGTTGTGCTGAATGCTGCTTACTCTAGATGCATCGTTTACCTTCTCAACCGGCTCATCTCGCTTGCCAAGCTCAGAACAAGCTCAGTTCCAAATGGAAGGCGAAGAAAAAGGCTCACCCTACCGAAGTTCATAGCCTAACCCATCGTTCTCCCTCAATTCCAGCGCTCACATATGCCGGGGGCTCAAAGACTTGTTCCCCCACCATTCCCACCATCGCAATCGACAATGCTATAGATGCTATCAGTGGAGCCGATGCTGATGGGGAGGTGTGGACTGAGGAAGATGTGCTAGCTGCTTTCAGGTATGTTGCCTTGCTCTATTGTGAATCTAAGTTGACAAGGTTGTAAGTATCTGTCCGCTTGATGCTCTAGATGATGTGGCTGGCGAGGATGATGATGCATTCAGTGACACCTTCACTAGCGACTTCACTGATGACTCGGACGACCCCGATGCAGCCAAGGAAATGGGTAAATGCCCCAGCAAGGGAACAGGGTAAACGCCCCACCAAGCGACCAGTGAGTGGAACAAGCCTTATCTTATTTATTTGTCTTCATGGTTGAGTTTAGTCGTACGGAACATGGCAAGAATGAACAGTTCAAGCTGCCAACTTCAAAAACAAATGAAGAAAAAAGTAGAAGAAGCCCTAGTTAATCAAGGTAATGCTTGGAATGTCTTGCGTGCATCTGAGTGTGAAGCTCATTAACCATCAGAAACATTTTCACTCATATTTTCTGATGCCATCAAGGAACGTGCTCACCAACATCGAGCTCCAGATCATTGGAATGAATCTGAAGACCCTCTTCGAGAATGGCTTGATGAAACAATGCCTCGGGTGGCTGTAAGTCATGATGGGGTGCCGCTGGTGCTACATGTGCCTAATGCTATCAACTCTTGTGGAAAGGTATGTTCCCCTTCACCCAGCTATGTCACTTCTCATATCTGTCTCATTTCAGCAATCACTGACCCATACAGTACATCAGTTTGGTTCATCTGTCAAGCTTAATAAGGGCCAGGGTGCCGACCGCAAAAAGCAGGGATTCTGCAAATTCCTATAGGATAGTGCCTGGCCAGCTAGCTGGAGTTTTTAAACTGGTCTCTGCGTGGCATGCAATCGGACATACGGTATGATCTATCATAACAATTCGTCATACTCATCTGATGCATTTGCATTATCCAGCACGATCCACCCGTCATCTCTGGGGATACAATCAAAACTGCAACTCATTTCTCATTGGCTACCCAAGTAGTACTGGACCTGGAATTACTCAACTGCCAGCTCAATGCCCTCTTACAGTTTATCGATCCCCCTCAGTTCCTAGCCATGGAGAAATTTGCTTTTGCCCTTCGGGAACACTATCCTCATGTCAGAGCATGGTCCGCCATTGATGGTCTCCTCTGGGAGGGACGATCATTCCAGTTCAACCGCCAAACCCCCCTCCATCCAGATAGTACAGATCCTGTTAACTGCTGGGTAGCGTTAGTAGCGTTAGGAGAATTTACTAAGGGACACCTGTTCATTCCTAGGTTGAATTTGTGGCTGTTTTATGAACCAGGTACAATTATTTTGTTAAGAGGGCACATTCTCCCTCATGAAGTGGAGGCATTCTTTGATGGACAGAGGATATCTATTGCGCATTTCACCCATGAATCTTTGGGGAAAGCCTTAGGCCTCCACCTCCCTTAGCTTTATTATGCTTTCATCGCTACTACTGTTTGTATACATTTGGGGTACACACAAGGGACTGTTTTAGCTTACTTTGCCCTTGTATTGATCATCTTTGTTGGTGTTCTTTGTTGTTTCTAAGTCTATGGTGCTGGATCTGTTCAACTATTCTTCACACACAAAACTCACACACACACATAGACGCGATACACACACAAATGAGATGCACACACATAATCACTCCTTCGCACACCAGTTGATGGAACATGCAGTATTGTTGCCTACAAAGCAATTCTTGTGCAGCCTCGTTATCTCCTGCTGATTCATGTGCTTGGGTGCGCATGGCACTGAGCGTAGCATCTACATAGTTTTAAAAATTTCCTGTGGTCCACTTTGCTATGTGGCCTTCGAGGCCAAATCCTGAATCATCACCATCCTGGTCTACTTCACAATCTCCATCCTCCGCAGCTTCATTACCATCGAGAATTCCACTGGCATCAGCATCGGCATCGGCTTCAGCATCACCTTCATTGCTGTCATGCCTAAGGGTGTTGTCCTCATTGCCAGCAACATACTCTGTGTCCCCATTGTTGCCAGTATCAGCATCTATCTCACCTGGTGCACGGATGTCAGACTGGTGTTCTGATATGTTGATCCCCAACTCTTGCTCCACTTTGCGATGGAGATCCCCAGCTAACGAAGGTGAGATGAATGGCGAATAACATTGTTTGATATTTGCATCCTTGTAGTCACTAGTTCCGATCAGGAACACACGCAAGCAGCGTCGCTGGGACAAACTTTGGGTTTGCTTTGAAGGGTATTAGTAAACAGAAGCACGCACAAGAAATGCAACTCTATTCCAGTGTGAAGCATCGGTCTCCATACTGCCAGATGCCAGTGTTTTCATAAGTTCAACAACACCAATGCGCTTGACAAGTGATGCAGTCAACTGAGCACCAGTTAAATTTGAATTATAAATGAATCAGTAAACTCACCTTAATTTTAAATTGACCACGAATAGTTGCAAGCACCTTTGTCACGATCTTGCTCAGAGCAGTCTTGAGCTCAGCATCTTCGAAAATGATCGGCGGAAGTTTAAACATGTCGGGATGCTCACAGATGAGATCCTAGATAATCGTGGTCAGAATACAGTGTAAGGTAAAATATTGCTTTATTACCATGACATGGCGTTGAGTATCTACAACATATGCTGTTAGGTTCAGAGAGAGAAGGACTGCTGCCATATGGTGCTGGAGTAAATTCTATGACACATCAGTATAATCCGGATAGGTTGACATATAGTCCCAACCTCGAGATCCTTGGAGTAAAGAAGGTCCTTGCTACAGTTCAATTGTGAGTCCTGCTGACTGAGGGAGAATTGAATGATGTTTGCTTGGACATCAAGGAGCATCATTAGAGGGTCACCACTCTTGATGTGTTCATGAAATAGGTGTTAAAGGAACATGAAAAAGGACTGACCTGAACAAATGGCATAAGGAGGTGTTCTGGAATACTCTTTCTCTCGCACAACTCTTGCGTATGAGTTTTCAGTCGTTTGAGCCGCTCAGGTGCCAGCTGGTCATCATTGAACTCATTTCTGGTCCGTCGGATACCTGTGCTGATGGGCTCATCAAAGTTCGGTGAGCTGGCCCTCAACATAAGTGGGTTTGAGAGGCCTGGCTGCACTGCTCCAACGATATTTGGGTGAATCTGACCAGCTGAAGAACTATGGCGGATTGAAGTGGTTGAATGAGATGAAAGTGGGGCACCGGCAGTCGGACAGTGATGAGAGGCTCTAGAGCTTGGGCGATTTGGCTGTGTGGAACCAGAAGTACACCGTGCACTGGATAATGAGCGAAGAGGGTGCATTGATACCATCATCTTGTCTGAGTTGAACTTGAACCATTGAACCTTCGACGACCACCAAAAGAATTTGGCCTTGTTTGGCTGTGTGGCAATCATAAGGTTTCTTGAAATACTCCTGGACACCAAACCGTCATAGGTTATTAGAGACAAAAGAGGGAGCAGCTTGTATCCACAACAACTAGGAGGGGTTAGTGAAAGCAGAGAGAGTGATCACACAAGACTCGGATGTCAAGAAAATGAAGAGGTTGTCTTATTTTGTGCAAGGTGTGACCTTTGAGGGTAGAGTGGCTTGTCTTTCTACCTGTGTGACTTCCATAAATTTCATCTCTGAGGTTGAAGTCCAGCTGCTTACATTTGTCTGAGCTTTCTCATATGGATGATAAAGACCAAAATTTTTGCATCCAGAAGTAATCAGCTGGGCATGCCACTTATGAATCCCTGAGTCGAAGTGCTTGGGCAACATGATGTTCCTCCATGGACAAGTAAGATCCACCCTTTCGGGGGCATGCAGTGCAAATGATTCAGTTCCTGCTGTCAGGGCAGGACTTCAAAACTGAAAGTTTGTTAGTATAGCTTGTTTACATTTTTCTGCTCACTTTTACCGTCGATATGGTTGATTTTATCCTTCATTTTGATTGTGCTATGTATGTCACGTCTGAGACTTTGTCTTTCAGAAGTTGACCGAAAAAGTCATGTGATGTGCAGTCACTTTGCAACGCTGTGCATTTCTCTGCTCTCACATCTCATCGCGTCTCCATGCAGTCCCACAGTAGTATTTCTGCTGTCCGTAGCTCAACAATCTATCCTATTATTGAAATCCTGGACAGGCATAGCGCCACACTGCAACCTCTCGTGATTACAGTTCATTTTCCAGGGATTCTTCCATGGAACATTATCGATGAGTGCCGTGGTATTGTAAGTCATTCTCTGTGTGCTTAGAACTTCAACCTATTTAATGTTGGTTTTACTAGCCCCTTCATTTTTCCATATCAATGGAAGAAAGATACCAATCAGTTACTCAAACCTGCAGTACATGCCACGGCAATTGATAGTCTCTCTGATAATGCACCATCGGCATATTCTGATGATGTACGCATAATTTTTTCTCAGTATCTTTTATTATTTTAATTTTGTGCAAAGTCGCAGTCAAAAGTGGACGACGAATTGGAACATTGACAGCCAAGTCCAGTTTTCGGTTTTCAATGTATTCCAAGTCCTGAGCAAGATGTCCCCATCCCATTCCTACCCCTTGAACCTTCTTTTGATACTAGAAATTGCGTGCATTGGGCACATCTCCATGATCAAATTGAGAATTGGCTTGTCTCCTTGGTTCATACCAGCTCCTCGCAGTGGACATGGGGTCGAGACATGTTTTGGCTTGCATTTGTCGCTTTGAACCCATGTTTTCCGAGTGGTACGTGGCATATGTGGAATCCAAGTATATCGTTGGAAGGCAAATTCATTGAGGAGTGGCTAAAAAAGTCGTCCATGGGCATCGATGCTACCAAGATACCGGAATTCTCGAAAGTCCGGCGGGTCCGTCTGTCCGTCCTGCGGGTCCGTCTGTCCAGGAAGTCCGTCCGTCCATGTCACCTCAGTATGGCTCTGTCTCCCATGGGTGGCACACAACGCCAAACTTACTATGTCATTGGGGACACAAGCTTCCGCCATGCGGCACCAGAATTCCTGTTCAACATATAGTATATAAACATTTGCCGGTCCAAATCAACCTATCCTTGCTTCTCTTTCCCGCTCTTCTCACTTGTTACCCTTTTTCCCGACGCCTGCCCTTCTTGCCCGCTTCATTCTTGGTCCACATCACTACCCTTTCTTTTCTGACCCTGGTGGTATGTTTGTCTGTATCTTTTTCAAAGTGAGTTCATCATTTGTTCCCTCTTTCATACCTAACTAACCGCTGTGGTCTCAACACAGGTTTCTGTCTTAGCTAATTGATACTCGCCCTGGGCCCATGTCTTTGTAAAGACTCAAGTAATGTCGGCATCAGGCGAGTCAGGCGATGGTGCTGAGCCTGATTGAACTGTAGAGTGTGACATGTGTGGTGATAAGCTGCACTGGTTCAAATGCCGTAGTATCGAGAATGGCAATCAAGGCAGGTGGATGGTCAAGGTATGTCCACTATTGCTTTACTCTCTTCTTTCTGTTTGTTCCCTGATGGTGACATGATATCCTAGTGCATAAAAACTGATTCTGGCAAGAGTACATGCAACAAACCTGCAAAGTGCTGCATGTTTTTCCGATTCGCTTACCGTCGAAAGGGCAGCCCCTCCTTATCCCCAAAAGCCATTGATCCCCATCATTGGAAATCACCACCACGGAAGCTGAAGCCTAAGGTGAAGTGTATCGTTGTCGGCTGCAATTCTCACAGAGTCAACACACTCTGCTTGCGGCATGTTTGCTGCAAGCACTGTCGTGCCTTAGGTGGCTGTGAAGGGGTCGCAGATCACACTGATATGCATGGCCCATCCACTGGGAATCTTGAAGTGGATGACAAACTGCACGACCTGCATGATCTTGTGCCTTATGTAAACATACCAAGCAACGTGCATCATTGTCTTCCAGAGCTGACCCACTGCAATGTCGACATAGTGGTGCGTACCAACTTGAATGGTGTCAGGCAGTCCTTCCGTGTGGTCATAGTAGATACGGTCCTTGTCGCAAACTTTGTAATTGTGGTGATAAGTGATTTTGCAGCCTGGCGTGCATTCAACATTAACTCTGGTCAGTGACAATGAGATGGATGTAACACGCACGTTCGCATTGCATTGCAACATCATAGGCAGGTATTGTCCCATGTTCCAGACTCACATACACAACTCGGAGTTGTTCAACCTTGTTTAAAAGTAGCCCATTTGCTCGTCGTTCACAAGTTGCTTCTGTACACATCTTGAATGGAGGGTAGAACGTCTTGTAAGCTATATGGTCCTTGATCAGTACATAGCCTCGAGTCAATTCACACCGGCACTGACTCAGGCCATGGCAATAACCAAATTGCTCAAAAAGTGAGTGGGTGTTGTGCTGCAGTGTGAATTTGTCTTGCCAGATATCATGTTTTAAGACAGACCAGCAGATTTGCACCGAGTCTTGTGTCAGGGAGCATGCAGAGCCCAAAAATAAAGACACGCTAGGAGGCATGAAGTCCGGAGGTGTAGACACATCATATGTTGCAGGTTGAGCTAATATCACGTCTTGCTTGATGGCAGAGGCCAAGGTGACAAAGGTCAGAATAGTTTCGAGTGAGAGTCCATGAATATTTGAAAGTGCTTGGCCTATACATGCAAGCTCGACCATTGTAACAACTGAAGAATTGATTGATACAGGGTAGTATACCAACAAATGTAATGCTATGTTTGGTGCTAAGTTATTTGCCGCCGGCTGGACCAGACAGACAGACAGACAGACAGACAGATAGACAGACCGGACTTTCGAGAAACCAGGTGCCCTCGATGCTACGGACTGCATGAACCTGCATGATTATATTTGGGAATCATTCTCAAAGCAGGCCGCACTGTTCTACCCTCAACCGCTTCTTCCTGCCTAGCTTCTATATAACACCCTTTTTTGTTATACTGCATGTACTCGGATGCCTTGTGCAGACAATGATATATCCTTGTGTATATTATTTTGTGGTATATCATTGTATCATCAGCGCAAATACTATGCTTCTACCATACTGTGACCACTGATAGGCGTCAGACAAGGCCTCAATATAGCGCTCAAATGTCTATAGTTGTCCGTGTGGCATGTATACAAATGAATCTGTGCACAGGTCACATATATTAGAAATATTAGACATATATCTGATGAAGATCTGGCCCGACATATTTTCAGTATATGTCACCAAAGTCATTGATGGTATGGTAATTTGTACAGACACATATTGGGAAAGCTGATTCGCTCAATGTTAGTTGTCTGATCGTGTTTAATACAAATATATTACAGCTACTTTGTGTTGAGATTCTCCATCACCTGACACATCCTAGAAAGAATTACATTGTGTCTTTCAAGAGCTGTCTCAATGCCGGACAGTGCCTCAACCAAAGTCTTTGATGGACTCTTTGTGTGTAGATTGAACTCGAACGGTGCCTGTAGCTTCCTATGCTTCCTTGGTGTGGTAGGATTCATGGATGGCACCCGTTGTGGAGAGTTGGTTAAATTATGGCCGAAGCAGCATGGACTCTGTCAGAAAAATTATTTGTGGAAGGAGAACTCTTGGAAGCTCACTCACAGCCTGGATGTCTCCACCATCTGAGCATGGCCGCTTTCTCTTCGAGAGAGGCAAAATTTTTGTATCATCTTCAACCCGGGCATTCCAGTCATTGACGTCCTTGAAATAAAAGCGGTGAGATCAGATCGTATTCGATAAATGTCTGAATGGCATGTTACCCGCTTGAGTTGCTGATAATACTCCTCTTCAATCTTCTCAACAAGCTTGATAGCATGGTCTACATCTGAATCTGAGGCGTCTCTATACCCCAAATTGCCCACCCCAGGTGTACAGTCTCCACTGACATCATGGAGACTTTGTAGGCCATCAAACGGGTCATCTGTGGCAGGGTTGGTAGTACTAGCATATCCCAATAAAATTTCAGCTGCATCATTACGGTCAGATGGGTGAGAGTCATTGCTGTAGCGGCGGCGTTGGGAACATGACATTGTGACTCAGGACTAGTGGGTCAATCATTCCTCTGGTTGCCACTAACAGTTTAAACATGCTTTGAAACTGTATTTCATATCAATGCTAGATCTGAGATAATCTTGTTCCACTCACCGGCGTCAGTAGCTTCATGTTGGTGGTACCGGCTGGATCATGTCACAATTGACGAGGTGCCAAGCCCTTCAGTGCCCTGTAAGGAGTTGCAATATTACATTGAAATCAACCCTGGACTGCGGGTTTACTATCTCAGTCAGTATCAAGATCCACTTATATTCTATTACAGCACTAGCTCAGATGATGGCACACAAGTCACCGTGAAACAGGTCGCTTACTTTCAGTGGGATTCTTCATATTTGCCCTGCTGTTTGTAGATTATGCCGAGATGGAAGCAAATTTCATTTGCCTTGTCAAAATCTAGTTCTGCAGAATGGGTATCAACCAAGATGCTTTAGGAAGTAGAAGAAGTCTAACCTTTGTCCATCTTAAGGACAGAAGTGAACACCTCTTCGGCATGGTTCAAGGAGCCATACTGGTCATAGAGTATGCCGATACCATACCACAACTTGGGATCCTCCTTAGCGGTTGGTTGACATGAGGACTGATGGGGATATGAGTAGGTTGACATACCTTAGTAAAGAACAGGTTCTCCGCATGCCAGAAAAGTCCAAGATGTGGAGCTTTGTGACGTTAGAGCTGCATGCATTTTACCCCAAATGATTGCCCCTAGATGATTGCATTGATGGATGCGGCGCCAAACATGAATTAGCACTGTTGTTGACAGACATTATGAGAGAACACCTACATTGCCACTCTGAGTTTTAACATCCTTAAGAGGTCTGGTCGCTCCTGCCAGTGGGGGACAGTATTGGGTTAGAGTCATTCAAGATCCGAGTATCCGAACTTCAAGTCTCCAACACATCTTGTGTCTTTGTTCTCACACACTGGTTAGGCAAGTGTCTGTATTGTGGCTGAGCAACGAGAACTGGGAGGCAGAGAGGAGCCAAAAGCTACTCAGATGTGCAATGATAACAATCAATCTATATGCATAGTAACTTCAATTCACCTCTTGAAGTTGGACAAAGTGCACTTCAACTGACTTCGAAACAACAAAGTCAACCGAATTCTCACGTTCTCAAAGCAAAGCAAAGTTACCTCAAAGTCAATTCACTTCGGCGGCAACACGAGTTACGAGTCTACATACTACCAGTATTTACCCTCATGGAATTGAAACCTGGACCTCAGCTGCACTTACCACTGGAACTTGAAAGGGAAATATTTGTCTTGGCCGCCAATTCTCTGCAGAAAGAGGCATGCCATCTTCTCCTTATTTCATGGAGGGTGTATGACTGGTAGGCACTCAACTCACCTCAGGCCCTGGTTTGGTACATGAGAACTTGCATTTGTTATTGCAGGACAAGGAGAATTCTTTATGAAAAAGTTGTGCTATCTAATGAAACTATGGCGCACCTTTTTCATCAGTCCATTCACCGTCAGCAACACTTTGCAGGTGAAACTATCAAGTCATTGTGTTTCGAAGGCAATGTGCAGGTCAAAACTGCTGCAGAGATACTCAGACTCTGTGAATCTCTAACCAATCTTGCATTGCGGACATCTCCATCTGGTTCCATTGAAGAATAGAGCTTGCTGCTTAATTTGATGGATACATGTCCTCTAACATCACTATCACTCAGTGTCTCCCTCATTTTCAATCACACCTCAATCATTTCACTTTCTGGAGTCAACATCTTCCGAACCATCACCCACCTCGAAATTCTCAATGGATGGGTGCTGTGGGGATCAACGATTGGATTAGAATACCTTCATCAGTTGACCCATCTGTCCCTGCCCTTACACACAAAGCAGACGAAGTCTTCACTAGTGATGCCCCTACTTCATCATCTACATTTGCAAATTTTGATTTTCCACGTATCAGAGGACATCAACACAGTTCAGACATTTCTGCAGCGCTCAGACCTTCTTGACCGCTGCATTGTGCTTATGAGTGACAACCATGTTGACTGGAATCAATATTAACATAGCAGGTTCGTTTTATCATATTAAAATTACAAGTGCCAATTGCCTAATTTTTGCACCAGGAGGATCATTAGTCACAAACGAACTTGAACACTAATACTCTAGTCTCGTCCTCTATGAACTCAAATGTATCTGTTTTTTCTAGTCCATCCAAGTCATTGATGATCATGGTGCTGACACTTATTACATCCTCTATTAAGCCAGGACGTCATGTTGTGCAAAATGAGTTGGAAGGACCCATCCGTCATGTCACCCCCCAGCAGAGCCCTACATTAACTGTACATTTGATACATTCTGACGGTAATATGGACTCAATACATTTGATTTCAAAGTAAATGTTTCATCCTCTTTGATTCAGTCTTGAATGTCAAATTTTCAGCGCTTCATCCTTCAAGTTCTTGTGAAGTGAATATTCTTACCTTGTGATCCTTGTATTAAACCCTTCGCAGGATGCATTGCGCTTATAGTGTCAATGACATGGACATAAAAATCCATGACTGTCACAGGGCACAGGTTGTAAAATACTGTGAGGCTTTCTGGCGATGCAATGCACATGTCAACGACATCATCCAATGTCCTCACCCCCATCATTTTTAAAGGGGTGAGTAATAGTTCTGGCCATTTTCGCACTGGTTCTTTGTCGTTAAGCTGCGCCATAAAGACTTCGATGGCGGGATATGAAATTGATGGATCAAGCTCAATTTCCACGTCAACAAGTATGCTTGAAGCAAAATGATAGGACCTTGATGTGAGCAAACTGCGTGTATCTTTGAATACTCACCATCCTCACCTATTTTGTTCCATCATAGCTACTGAGATGAGGTTAAGTTTGCAACACACCACCACTTGATAGGCCCAGTGATGATGACAATGTCATTCATGGGACACTATTCAATCATCAAGGAGCCACAATGAACTCCCAAGTCCTGTCCCTTGCCATTCTGGCTTGTTCCGCCCGAACAATATTGTGAAAGGCAAGACCCTGTTCTTTGTCCAGCTCCGTAAGTAAATAGAAGCAGTAAGATGGAAAAAAAAAATCTGGTCTAGTATCAATATGAAAGTAGCTGTAATGCTCCCAACCATTTGGAATATTGTAATTGAACTATTCTAACTACTTTCGTATCAACAGACTCCATTCTGTGCTTTGCCGCTTTTGTTTAGTCATAAAGCTCGACTCATCAGGGAAACGTAATTCACTACAGAGTGCTAGCACGCTAGCACTCTGTAGTGAATTACGTTTCCCTGATGGAGGCTCCTGCTTGCCAGTGTTACGATACAGAAGTACCCCTGAATGTAAACTGTCAACCAAGTTTGTCGGCTCTGTTAAGATCCTTGGAAAGTTCCATCAGTGGGAGGGTACAATCAGTTGGATCATCCTGACTCATCATGAGGTCACAAGAAAGCCGTCGTGCTAATGACCAGGTTGCTAGCCCTGAGCGGAAGACATGGTCAATTGTGAAGACAAATGGTATAGTTGTATATAATATTATCAATCAATGATCACCGGTTACCGGTCATACACTGCAAGGGGTGCTTCATTGTAAAGTGGACTCCGAAGTTGCCATTCTGAGGTACCACTAAGTGAGACCCTTTTGTTTGTTGAGCTCCAACTAAACAAACTTTTAGCGGTGAACGGAACAAAATTAAATCTGGTCAATTGATATGGAAGTAGCTGTCAGTCCTTGGCAAAGCATAATCATTTACTCACGGCATCAATCATTGTTTGGTTCTTCAAGTTGAAAAGCTCATCTCAAGTGTTTACTGTACGTCGGCACCTCTTATCGCATCCTACATCTATGTCTCAGTTGCCTGATGATGATTTGCCTGCTAGTTCAGAAAATTATAACGCACTGAAACGGCGCATTGCTTTTTTAGAGGAACAAAATGCTGACCTCCAGGGGGAAAGTAACCGCAGCAAAAGGTGATGTACTAATGGTTGATTACTATGTGTATCTAATGCAACTGGTTTCTGACAGCCGTAATGACCCATACCTTACTTCTGGCCGAGCTATTTGGCGCCTTGTGAGCTTGATTGACCGAGTTGAAGATCTGGTTGGAGAGTATGATTGAAGGACTGCTCTAGGTGATGAAGACAACAGTTTACAACACACAGAGGAGTAGGAACACTTACCTCAGTTTGATTGTTTGATCTGATTTGTTAAATTTTAGTTAGGACCAAATTCATGAGACATTTCAATGTTTGATACGCTGGGTCCCATGTGTCCGTAAACTTGTCTACTCTGAAAGTGATGGGTATCAACTTAATGCCGCATATCAAAAAGTAAGTTGCCTGTTGTACATATATACGATGCCAATGCTGCCCTAAATTCAGCTCAACAGGGCAGCAGATTCAGCCAGAGGCGACGATGCTGCTTCCTTGAAGTTAGTAGTTACCTCCTGGCTGAATGAGAGTCTTCCTACCCCCAACCCACCTATCCACTCACGGGACAAGTCAGGATGTGGATTTTACAATGACACAACGGGAGAACTCATCTGTCCAGTAGATTTTAAATGGACAGATATGAGGTGCGATCTTCTAATTGGCTTACATACTGAGTGCTGATCATCACCATAGAACAAAGGAAGGTATACAAAATTATGAACCTACCTTTCAAGTTACTGCCCACTCTTGGCCAACATTTTTGTATAAAGATGGCAAATATGATCATGAGGACCCAACAACAGGGCTTTTCAAAGGTGCTCTACTTGTCAGGGTGTGTTGCAGTGTCTACATCCTAATTTCCGCTCATGATGATTGGCATCCAGGCTTTCAAACACATCTTCACCTCACCTAGTTCTGCCGGTGAGATACAACCTGACCAAGATGAATTCTCCCGGGAACCACGATACAAGCGGTCAAGGACCTCAGGTGAATGGCGCACCAGGTCTGATGTCGCAGCGCTATTAGGGATGCGATCAGTTCAACCTAGAGCCATTGCATATTCTGCAGTTCAGGTATGTTACAATCTTGGATCCCGTATCTCATACTCATGCAACTCCAAAACTAGTTACGATTTGCCCTGTCAAGCTGTGGATCCTGGTGAATTATGGATGATGAGTTTGATTATCGCCAGTTTTATGTCTACATCCTCAATTACTTCGAACACCCGCCAACATCTGCAGCCAAAACCTCTGTTGAGGCGCTTCTTGTTTGGTGGAACCGGTGAGCATGTCTTCAGTATACTTTCTATCTGTTTATGTTTTACACTTCATAGAATAGTTTTTGGCCCTCGCAATGTGGCCTCTTATTCGCCTCAGATCGCTGCAAAGTATTCAGTTGCTAACACTTCAGCCAGATGCTGATAGGTGGATGATGTCATGATGCAAATACATGTACTACTAATTGTACCTACTAGTAGATACACAATGACAAAATTATGTTGTTCTCCACTCAAAAATTGGTGGGATATGCAAAGGATGAACAGGATTAACCGCAGCGCTTCACAGCTTATAGATGACCTTATATGTGCAACCCAGTAAGAGAGAAACCGACCAATAATGAAGACAATATTTAGATGACAATTCACTGTCACAACATTTCATAATTATATCCCACCCTCAAGGTGAGTCGACATTGCAAAACATTCCACAGATAAGCAAAATTGGATAGAAATGAAAATAGATGACCTAAAGATGACCAGTTGACAAATAGTACGAGACTGGTGCAGTGTGACAAACAATCCACATTAATTATAGACTTTCAAACACGTATCGAGTAGGGATAGGTATGATGTGGTCCATGGTTACTACTGTAAGCTGGACTCATGTGACAAATTGAGACAACTGGGTCATAGCATTTAGGATTATAATGTAGTATCTAGTATTAACAATTCTGCCTGAATGGGCCGGATGATACCCAATGCTCGAGGAAATGCGATGTAAAATTTAAATTACATAATTGCAGTGTTACTAACCTTATGAATGTCATACCATAGTTTGTCATCTCAAACTTGCCTTGTGTCCAAATTGTAGCTTTTTGGGATAGCAGCCCGAATGATATCACCAGAAGTGATGTGCTCCAACAAATGCCATGTCAAATTTAAATTACATAGTTATTGCAGGATTCCACCTATTGCCAAGTTACATCTTATAAACGATGTACCATATTTCGTCATATTGAAGTGGCTTTTGTCCAAATTGTAGCTTTTCGAGATAGCAGCTCAAGTTATATCGCCAGAAATGAGGTTGCTGGTTTCAATAATACTGGAAGAGAAGTCAAATCATCTTCATTGTGTGAATCATTGGCAATGGAGTTTACCCTTATAATGTTATATATGGCTCTACAGACTAACATGTAATGATTTTACTAATTGTAAGAATTAGATATACTGTAAGGTGGGTACAAGGGTTTGTCGTAAAACTTGCGTTTCAGTGGTGATGCACGACGCTGGATGTCACAGTTTGTGACACCGTGTGACCTTGTTATGACTGCGGTAGATAAGTATGAGCGCCCCAGTAGGAAGAGTCTCGAAATACTTGACAATATCTGATTGATTAGCAGTGGGATGCTCATCAACATAACCATAGACTGTAATCCAATCAGCAAGAGTAAGGTTTCGTCATAGGTGTTTTGCTGGTGGTGGTTGAGCCGACGTTGTGGGGGCATCCTTGGACACTTTCTGCCTCTTGGCAGGCTTAGCAGTTTCCTGAGTAGGTTTATTGATAACTTTGCGCTTTAACGCAAGGGGTTGAGACATTGTAAAGACTTTTGTGATATGTTATCTAGCATATTTCGGTGCTTATATTCACACATAGAACAATGCAACCTCCATCAATAGTGCCCAGACAATGCATATTACCCTTAAAAGTTCATGCATTATTCAGTATGGAGTTTTTAGTGCATAATGGCTGCGCCCACGATGGGACCCTGCCAAAATTGATGCATTATCTAGGATATGCATGACTGGGATGTGCATTATTGGGATATGTACTGTAGCTGCTTTATTCTCGGGCTCATAGGCTACCCGACATCCGTCAACACTTACAAATAACAGCGCGTACTCTGTTCTGTTGATCATTGAAAGTCGTTCGGTGCAGGAGAAACCACCGCTAGCGGCCCAGGTAAGTTTTTTTTGAGTAGGGGGGATGTGAGCTGATATATACCCATAATAGCTGCTTTCTGAATCCTGATGGCTGGGGAATCTGACGAGTATGCACAGCTCTCCTTGCTGTAAGAGACCCTAGCTCGTTCGTGATGATCAGACAAATCCACACTATGATTATTAGCTTGTACGTTCAGAACGTGTGGGGAGATCATTGGCGTCGGCATGCTCTCGGCAGAGTTGCGGATATTTTAGAAATGTCCAAGTTTGACAGGTGAGCTCAGCTGGCCATGAGGTGAGCTGATGAGCCCAAGAATTGAACGGCCCTATTCATAGAAGGATTCAGGGCGCAACCCAATGCCGACAGCTCAGGCTGTTCACACATTTGAAAATTCATCACTCCCGGACGTCTTCGCTTCTTGGTATCAACACTTCCAGTACGGATGAACTGACGTTTAGCTTTACCAGGGGGGCTATTCTTCAAACCACTAGTATCAACGATTGTCGTAGAGTACATCCGACACCAGGAGACGTATCCCAAGATCACTTGTTCATACTTGACTACACGGTTTCGCTCGTGGAGACGCAATCATGACTTCTACACTGACAAGGGCAGCTGCCACGAAACGAATTCTGACTCCATCGATAACTTTGGGGGGTCACGGAGACTTGATTCGATCCATATCCTACTTTCCAGACGGCCAGCGAATGATCAGCGGATCTTGGGACAAGACCACTCGACAATGGGATCTGAAGGTGGCCAAGCAGATTGAGGAAGCGCAGTATGTTTGCAAAGAGGTAAGGGCAGTGGCAGTATCAAGGGATGGTCGATGGATTGTCACTGGTGGTGGAGATTGGGATAGTGCTGAGCTGAAAGCCTGTAAGGTTGGGACTAGGACTGTAAGAACATTCGAAGGACACTCACGGAAGATCACCTGCATTGATATCTCTATGGACAACACACTGCTGGCGAGCGGATCAGACGATGAAACAACGCGGATATGGAACTTGAACACCGGCAAACTTGTGGCTGGTCCATTCGAGAGCGTCGATTTGGTGGGGGCGGTGCGATTCCCCACTGATTCGAAGAAGCTTGCGGTCAAGTCGTTGGTGAGGATGTGCCTTGAAATCTGGGATGTTCAATCACAGAAATTGGACGTCAGACTGGGGGATTTTCGTGTAAAAAGTGTAGAACACACGGATGCGCCAATATTCTGGACAAACAACGACAAAAACATTGTAGCCGCATTCAGCTTTATGGATGACCACTGCGCGACCATCTACGAGTTTGATGCATCGACGCTAGAAACTGTCGGAGCTCCCTTTAAAAGGCATACCACTCTTTTTGAAGAGCCCACTAAGGTTGTCACCGGCCTGGCACTTTCATCTGACCATACTCTTCTCGTCAGCGCTTCCTACAACACCATCAGGCTGTGGGCTTTCGAGTCACGCCAACTCCTCGCTTCGTTCAACGTCCATAAACCTAACGCCCTTGTCCTCTCACCCGACTCACGCCAACTAGCTTACACAACAAAAACTAAAGACTCTTACAAGATCTGCGTCTGTGATATTCCACCTGACATCCTTGCTCAGGCAAGTGTACGTATTCCCACAGCACCTACTCTTCGTCTCTTGAAATTTTCTTACAGACTAGTGTACACTTACAAGGACCCACGGCAGATCCCCAAAGCACAGCAATATCGCCTGTCATAGCTCTTCCCCCTCCACCCCAGATACCCTCTTCTACACCAGGTTCACGGCTACCCCAGTTATGCTCCGACCCCCGCGAGCTCCTTCCTTCCTCTTCCCACACCCATACAGTCTTCTCCGCTCATAATGTTCAACCTGACGATCTCCCCCCCGAAGAAGCGCTCCAAGACCTCTCAAAATATATCACAAAGGACGGAGAATACCCTGTTGCTCGTGGCGGGTTCGGTGAGATCTGGAAATGCACCTTGCGCATTGACAGTAGCTTGGTCAACGTTTGTTTACCGTCTTTTGTCTGTTCTTCTGTCTAAAATTAATCATTTGCAGGTCGCAGTGAAGGCATTGCAGGTGTACGCTGATGATCAACTTGGGCCAGCGAAGGTGAAAAAGACCAAGGCGAGTGTCTTATCGAAGGATTGAGTATACTCCTTACACCACATGATGCTATTTCGTAGAGGATAAAGCGTGAACTCAGGATATGTGCCAAAGTAAACCATGCAAATATTCTGCGCATCTATGGTTATACATATGGCTTCGGCCCATTTCCGGCAATAGTCAGTCCTTGGGTGGAGAATGGTAACTTGACGGTCTATTTGGAGCATGAAGGTGCGGCCCTGACTCTCGTTCGACGATTCCAGCTGGCAAGTCTTTCTTCATCTATGTTGAGTAGACCACAACAAAACTGATGTACCACATAGCTAAGAGATATCATAGCTGGTCTACAATATCGTATGTGATAGACTTTACTCTTACCGAACCAAGCTGTAACTACTCCTCGTAGTTCACACCAACAGTGTCATCCATGGCGACTTCAATGGGGTGAGTTTTATCTTCCCGATGGTTCCAATTTCATTGAGATGTGAGCTCCAGCCCAACGTGTTGATCCATGGTGATGGCACTGCGTGTATTGCTGACTTCGGCCTTTCCTTGATGTATTCCAAGGTTATAAGCGCCTCTCAGGCTTCCTGGACGTCCACTCTCAAAGGAAACGTGCGATGGATGGCTCCTGAGCTTCTTGTGGAGCAAGAGGATGGCTCTCAAGTTCGGCCAAGCGAGCAGAGTGACATGTATTCATTCGGCGGTGTCATGCTGCAGGTACGTCTGGCTTAATTTGGGTCTCTCATTGATATCCCAAACTCCACTCGTAGGTCCTCACCAATAAAGTGCCCTATTATCACCTCACGAATGATGCCCGCATCATATTTTGCATAGCCAAGTCAGAAACGCCTTCCCGAACTCGTTATCCTGAACTCCCTGAACAATACTGGCAATTTATCGAGCAATGTTGGTCTCTTGATCCTCGGGACCGTCCCTTGACGGAGAAAGCTGATACAACGATCAGGAATGAATTTTCCTCGCTGTCTAGATCTCATTGATTCTTGCACTGTCTCGCATTCAGAAATCTGATCACAGTACAGCCAGATAGATAATTCTAGGTACACCTATATAGGCTCACCCCAAGGTTTCTAATATTGGAGCACACTTACACCGAGACGGGGAAATGTCAGTTGCACAGTCACTGTAGTTAGGAGAATCATTGTCGTTGACATCCTGTTCGCGAATTCTGCGACGACCTAAGTCAGCATGTAGGCGAGCACTAGTCCTACCGAGTCTCCTGTTATCGGGGACCTTCAAGACAGAAGGAAGACGGTCGCTTCTTCTTTACTATGATACAACTTTCGCCCTGTGAAGATCTTGTCATCGATTCAAATGATGGATTTCTCTGACAGGGTGTAAGTGCAGACTTTGTGTAGTCATTACTAGAGCGTCTCGTCAACCTCTTTCATCTGAATCTCTTATACCACATACCCGGATTATAGCAGGCTGACTCAAGACATAAGACAACGCTGTTCATGGGGCACTCAGCTCCCGTTTCCAAGTGTCCGATTTTTGACACGCAGAAGTATGGTAACCCCGACCTTGAATTTGTGGATGGGCATCGAATCTGTGTCAGGGAGACGTTCAACTTTGCATTCAAAGGTGAGTCCATTGTCAACAGAATATCAAAAACGGCTGCCCGAATAACTCAGAACAGTTTGCTACGATGAGTGAGGAAAGGTGGCCTTTGTGAACGCCGATCAGTTCAAAGCGAAACCGAAGAACGAGCAACGATGAAGTTTGAGTGAATACTTGAGCGTTTGTCGTCCATCGTCGGGTGCGAACAGGAAAACAGCTTCGGCGCTTTAGTCATGGCAGTGACTGCCATGGTTGTGAGGCGGAGAAGCAAATGCGATGAATAGAATGGCGGGCGCAATGCACCGCAGCCATGTGATAGGGTATATATATATGCAAGGCCAAGCCCAAGGACAATAGCTACACTCACATTCAAAAATCCATCACTCCTCTCATTCTTCGCTGCCAAAGCGCCAAACTCTTAGTAACACCAAATTCTCGTCTGTATCTCCAGCGCGGATGAATTGATATTTGGCTTTACCAGAGAGATCATATCCGAATTGCGGCCACCATTAGCCACATAACACATTGACACCGGGAGACCTCACCTTTCAACGTATCCAAAGGATACCTTTCCCGTATTCGACTACCAGGTTTGACTTACAGAAAGACAGCCATGGCTTCTGCGCCCACGTCAAAGGCAGTTGCGACGAAATCACCGTCAATGACTTTAAAGGGTCACAGAGACCTGATTCAATCTATATCTTACTTTCCAGACAGCCAGCGAATAATCAGCGGATCTTGGGACAAGACCACTCGGCAATGGGATCTGAAGGTAGGTAAGGAGATCGAGGAAGCGCGAGGTGTTTGCGAGGGGCAAGTATGGGCAGTGGCGGTATCAAAGGATGGTCGATGGGTTGTTACTGCCAGTGGTGGAGATGGTGATCGTGCGGAGTTGAAAGCGTGTGAGGTTGAGACGGGGATTGTGAGAACATTCGAAGGACACTCACGGAGGATCAACTGCATCGATATCTCAACAGACAACACGTTATTGGCGAGTGGGTCAGAAGATAAAACGACGCGGATATGGAACTTAGGGACTGGAAAACTCGTGGCTGGTCCATTCAGAGGCATGGGGGCCGTTCGATTCTCAACAGACTCGAAGAAACTTGCAGTCATGTCGTGGCTGGGGATGTGCCTTGAGGTCCGTGATGTTCAATCACAGAAATTGGATGCGAAGATAGGGGAATTTGGTGGAATAGGATCCACGTATAAGCCAGCTGTGTGCTGGACAAAAAACAACAAAACCATCATAGCCCCGTTCAACTTCGTTACAAATGATGATGCCAGGACAATCCACGAGTTTGACGCGTCGACGCTGGTGACTGTCGGAGCTCCCTTTGAAGGGCACACCAAGGATGTCACCGGTTTGGCACTTTCATTTGATCATGCTCTCCTCGCTAGCGCTTCCTTCGACAACACCATCAAGCTCTGGGATTACGAGTCCCGTCAACTCCTCGCTTCCTTCGACGCTCAAAATCCTCGGATCCTTATCCTCTCACCCGACTCGCACCAATTAGCTTACGGGACTTACATCGAATCTGAAGATGATTGTAATATATGTATCTGCGATACTCCATCTGACGTCCTCGCTCAGGTAAGTGTACCCGCACACATCTCCTGTTCATGTGCTAATTCTTCCTTACAGACAAGTGCACGCAAGAAGTTGGCTCTTCGTGATCGACTAAAAGTATGTCCCTTGTCATTTTGCTTGACATTGCACCGCTTCATCTATGGCTATCGCTGCAGTCTGACGGAACCCATCATTCTGCTACCGTGCGTCCGCACCCCAAACCGCCAATATGTACCATACCTATGGATCCCAGACCTCTGCCTACGGCCGAACCCCAGCAATCCATGTTCCTTCGTCTCAGAAAGCTTCTTCGCATCTCTCCTCGCACGAACGCGGTACGCCCTGGTCGAAACGGTCAACCTCGCGATCCATTAGATGTATGTTTCTTTTGTTGCTTTCGTATCTTACCTCACATCTGTGCTGCAGTTTTCTACCAAGTTGCCCCTACCCCGCCCCATCTCGGGAACTCAGGCATGTCGAGTTCATTTTTCCCATTTTATTCACAGTCTAATGCACAGATTTACAGCGCAACGCTGCAGCGGGTGCTCCCAATAAAGACAAGGATATAATACACAATGAATATCTTGACACTGCCTAACCGAACCCTGATTCACTCGCAGCTATACAGCCTACCACCGGTGAACATGGAAGTGGTCAGCCATGTTCTTGCTTCTAGCGCTGTGCTGTTGACAATTCATTCCTGCGTTTTCTTGTTTTTAACTGGCACTATGTACGTGGATATCGAATCTCGATACACATGTTTTTTTGTGACTTAAGATCTCACGTTTCTCAATATTTTGATACATGAATGAGACACCTCCGACATCTTATCCTCAGTAAGCTATGTATTATGATGGTTCTTTGCTATTCTATAGTAAGAGCTTCTAGAATAAGTAACGTTTGTCCTGTAATTGTTTTGCTGTGGTAAATGAACCAGCATTTACATTCCTTTCTGGCAAAGTCAATTGAACGCAGTATATCGGCGTATGCATAAACCTTTCTAAACTGAGACTGACATCCCAGAAGTTCTGCGCGCTGGTCCACGTATACTCGCTTCTAATTAGGTAAAGCAGAATATGAGCAATTCGTGATGCGAGAGGCTAAACTACTGACCCAAAGTAAAAATGATAGGGGTGATACCATTGCGATAAATCGAGTGGACCAGGGATGTTAATTGATTCTTGGAAAAGGGGCAGTGTCGTCGTGGACGATGACGTCGAAATGGAAATCTGACAGGCTCCTTGATACTTGCACTGTCAATGAAAGAACGTGGTTGCGAGCGTGAGAGAGTTTACTTTCCCCTCCGTCTCACTCCAGGTACGCAGTTCTTATCTGCAGAAAGGCTCGGTGTTACGCTTCGCAAGCAATACATTGTAGGATAATATTAAATCCGTTTTCAAAACTTAAAGTACGAAATAAAGTGACTCACTGCGTGCCTTCCCTCATAGACACCACGCAATGAACAAGAGCAAGCTCTCATTGTCATGTGAATACAGGAGGTCTTGTCAGTGTTTCTGATGACGGTACGCGCACGGGTCAATGAGAGTATTTGTCGGAGTTTGAAGAGACAAAGTGTAGAAGGACGCTCCATTTGACTCGGAACTGCGACTCACCCTCACTGCACAAATCACTTTGAAAACAACTCGTCCGTCTCCACTACAAATTTTACATGGAGTGTTCGAAAAGTGTTAGCGGTCCCAAGGTGTGATCTCAACGACCCGCACGTGGTAGTCCAGTAGATGGAATGACATGCATCCCTTGTAAGTCAGTCTACTGAAGAAATATTGCATCTCGCCTCCATGAACAAGGACTTCACGAGTCGCTAAACGCACCTGGTTCAGCACTGTCTCAGTCACCGTGAGGTAAATTCCTCCGTTTAAACAATACTCCTTCCACAGAACTGATATTTGACTATAGAGAATAATCGTCTGATAGACGCCCATGCTAATATATAAACATAGTTCAGTCCACTCAGAGGAGATATAAACAGAACGCACTTGAATTTGCCCTCAACTTTGATCCATCGTGCTCCATCCATCTCCAGCCTCTGTCCTTGCGAATTTTAAACTGGTTTTTATCTTCATCGAGTTGCAGGACGTGGACAAGGCTATATCCTCGGAAGCGAACCTTGTAATGTCTCCGAGGTTGATTGGTGCGTCGAGTTTTTTATGGGGACGGGCGCAGGTTTTGACTCGGTGACGGTAGGGATCTGCAAGGTGGTCAAGATGGGACTCGACTGCGTTGGTCGTCGTAATCACTTAAGCTTTGATGTCGACGCGCTCGGCCCAAGTGTTGCACCTAACGCGGGAGCACAGTAAGCATTTTAATTTTGATTCTTGATAGTCAGTGTTACATTGGGTAGGATGGAGTCAGTTGTATGTTTGCACGCTTTCGATAACGTAGTGCGCGCCGAAAATACCTTCTGATGGATATGTGTTTTTGAAGGTCACGATTATTCACCACGTATCCTGAGTCAGATACCTGATACTGCGGACACTCACTACATGCGGAAAAATCCCATTGGCTTGCGCAGATTTTTTATACATCGTCTTTCCCGTTTCATTGGGACTTGGAACTACGAACACTTCGATCCGTTGTAGGAATGTCCAAGTCCACGACGAGTACACGATGTCTTCCTACGTCAATCTATTCCAAGTGAAATCAAATGTGAAGTCAATAACCAGCACTCACCACAATCCCCGCAGGTGCTCGGTGGCCTCACAGGACATTACTACATCCGCGAGGCGATTCATCAGACAGCTATTCGCTTGACTTGACGGTACGTCTGTGACTTTCGCTCACATAGTCCCTTGACGTGATCTGACATGTTCTCCGGACGCAGATCGCCTGTGGATGTGGAGAGCATACGCCGGACTGTAACGTGAGGTGCTTACCAAAGAGCACAATGGCCCACCTTCTTGTGAGAGGAGTGAGTAAGTGGTTGCATGGGTCGCTGAGGTGTGGAATTCGCATCGAATGTCCTGGTGCCTTGTGCCCGACAACCCGAAGACGCAGCCTTCTATTGGTGGTTGGCCATATACCTACATCGTTAGTATCAATAATTGCGACTTCCTGTCTAATGTGTTCATATTTAATGTATTTTGTTGATAGATCTCGAATATGCAATTTCGGATGGTAATATTAAGTCTATCGGTAACGTGTGGAGAACATATACACGAAGAACATACCCAGCCAAAGGAATAATACCCTGGATTCGATAAGATCCAACGCGTCGTGCTCAATAATTGAATAAATACCCATTTGAACACATCCACATTCGCGTCGGGGAATATCCGGGTGGCCTGCGTGTTACACTATTGTCTGCTGACGGAATCAAGGTCAGTGGATGCATTCCTTTGTATCTGTATTGCTTGGCCTGGGGTAACAATTTGTTGGCCACAACACCACAAAGCACGGAAAGCGTTAAGACTAAGCGCAACGGATTCATCCGCTAGTAGTGATTGCTTCAACAGTTTAAATACTGCAACTTGCGTCTCTTTCCTCCTGTTCAACATCCATCGCATTTTACCTTCCCGCATCTACCATCTAACTTGTGTACTGTGAGTTACTCTTGTATACTTACTTCGCCTTCTGTCACTCACCTCGTCCTGCCACAGGCTGGAGCCTCGCGCCATACACACTTCATCTCAACTATACTAGATAATTAAATATGTACCAGGACCAGGAGCCGATTCAAACGGGTCAAGTGCCAGTCCAAGGCCCACCTCAACATCCTTACCCCCTAATGATGCCCCAGCCTCCACTTGTGCCCTCGCGGTTCAGGCCTTACCCCCCGGAGGTCTACGTATATTGTTATCAACAATATCTACATGCAACTGGCCAACTCCCCGGACCGACAAACCCAGTCCCTCCCCCTCCCCCTCCTCCATACCATTTGGGTGGGTATCCCCCCGCCTTCCAGGGTATGGGTGTACCGCCAGCGGCTGCGCCGCCTCAACATCCTTCCGCACCCCCCTCGGCACAACCTTTCCACCACACGCATTCGGAGCAAGGACCGGAGGAACAAGCACAAGTAGCTGACGCTGAGGAGAGCGCTGTCAAGCGCGGAAAGCGCAAGGCAGTGGACTTGGATGACAATGATGCTCCCCCACGAAAAAAGCAAACGGTTCACCCCCTTGTTGACTACCTCGATTTCGTGGGTCCATTTTGTATTTGGTTCTAACTATCATGCTGACTATTTTTCATCAGGAACTGGTCGAAAATAACGGTGAGGTCCGTTACAAGTGCTGCCTGTCGCAGTGCGAAAACGTGCCTGCAGTGCCACGCGCTGGCATAGAAGACCATACCAAATGGAAGAGGCACCCGCAGGTCAGGTCTCGGTCCCCATCCCTAGAGTACTACGAGGCGTAAGTACTACGAGGCCTTGAAATGTGACTTTGGAGCTGATATATGATTTTTTGCTAGTGAAAATGACGGGGACTTTTCGAACTCTTGTTCCAACAACCAGCAAGAGACTTACGGGATACTTCAAAAAACTTGCGAAGGTTCGACCTCAAACGAGCTGTTTGGATCTTTTTCTAACGGTTTTGAAGAAACTGCCGATTTGACTTCGAGCGAGTCATTGGAAAAGTCCGACAACAGTCTTGACGAGACTACGGATTCGGGTTGGGACGAGGGATTCAACGATTTTTTCGACATCGAAGCAGCTTGCGAACCGGTTTCTGGTGAGCAGATTGAAGAGTCGGTCAACAATCCTGAAGAAACAATCGATTCGGCTTCGGGCTCGCTTGACGACGATCTTTATGGAACTGTTGGTTCGACTTCGGACGAGCAGTTGGAAGAGTCTACCGACAGCCCGGAGAAGAGTGGTGTTCACCCAATGGACAATATGACATCGGAAGAGTTGCTTGAATATTGTATCAACCATCTTGATGAAACTTACAACTTCACCTAGGCTCCGGGCGAGTCGTTGAATGATGTGTATTTTACATTATTTGTTTTCTTTCTGGGTATTTTGAATCGTTGCAGCTTCACCCTTACTATGTATTATCATTATGACATACTGTACACGAATACATGCAAATTATGATGCATGCTAACCACAAGCCGGTCTTGCTGAACTCGTACAAAGTACGTCGTGGGGCGAATTCGAAAAGGTATGAGCTAGTAGGCTGTACTCAGTCTGCCTTTAAAGTTTGAGTCAAACACCACTACAGTAATATCTACGGTCGTCGATCCACATGAAATGCTTGAGTACTTACGCTCAGGACCCTATATATATACATGCTCATTGATGGCTGTGTTTGGCATAACTTGGTTGTCTTTGCATCTCTTCCTGCAGCCCACTTCGTCATTAATATTCTGCTGCGGCAGTGACGGGAATTGGATTCTCCCTCTTTCTTTTAATTACTTGGAAGGCGAGCTTTGGGTACTGGTGATGGGCGTTGAACCCGGCCTCTGGCGCCCAGGGGCTTCCCAGTTTGGAAACACTTGGCGGCCAGTTTTTTCCGAGTCTGTTCTGACCACGACACGATAGTACTTGAATGGTGTAGGGCGATTCAAGTGCTTCGTATGATGTATCAACCTTCCGAGAGACTACTCCTTCAGCTTTAGAATTAGCATCAGAGGGCGCGGGTACCTAGGTTAGTCAGGACCCGAGGCTGTTCAGGTAGAATTCAATCTCACATGGCTGAATTTGTTTTCCGTTCACTTATAGCTAGAACTTCTGACAGGCCCAAATGGCCTCACTCAACATCCTTGGCGTTGACCCTCTGGATTTCAGGCCAAGGCAGGTCCGATACATCCGACTACTTTGTACATTCTAGTAGGTGAGCTTATCACAAATTCAGTCATACGGAACTGAATTCTACCGCAACAGGCTCGGACCCTGACCAACCTAGGTCCCCACGCACGTAGATTAAACATTTACGCTCACTCTGGTTATTGTTCTTCCTCAAGCCGTCCGATGATTCAATGCGTGACGCAGTATATCCATCATTTGAAACTCAATTCTGCTGTAGATAATGCCACCTTGGGTATAAAGTTACCCGCCATACAAGCAAGACATAGAAACCGCCTTTGAAAACCCTCACAGTCAACTTCTCGTTAACATGCTCTTCAAGTGCATAGCTGTCTTTGCTGCAGGGACATCCGCCACCTTGGCTTAGACGATCGAGTTAGGGTTCCCTCAGAATGGGGACAACTTCTACCCCGGTCAGGAAGTGACCGCTCAGGTTATTCAACCGGTTGGTAGTTGGTTCGCTTCTCAGCATCATGCGTCACTCTGACAACTTCGATCCTAGGAATCTACCGTTCAGGTTGGCATTGCCTTAGGAATCGCTAACTGCGAGAACGGTTCATGCCCCGACCCTGCAGACGGTTTAGGATCTTATCTTTATGCAGGCCCATGGACCTCCTAATGGTTACTACCAGAACTTCACCCGTGACCATACCATCTTACCTTGCAAAGGGTCCTGCTATCTTTACGCTCACGCACTTTTGCCTCATTGGGGTACGAGATATTCAGTGTTTATCTTCATTCGTCGTCTGAGGCTGATTTTGTAGGCGGATTGGTACCCATTCCTCGAATTTCGCAACGCGACGGTGAACATCGTGTAAACGGTGGACACCGGAGAGTGATTTTCGTCATATGGACTCGGACCTGGACTCGTTATTTCGTGTCTTCATTATGAAGCTCAAGAACTTAATTGTTAGCGTACTAATGTAGGATCGGAGGAATTTGCTGTTTATCGTACTTCGCCAGCACTCATATGTGCCATCGATCGATATGATTACGCAGTACTACAGAGTGGATACTATACTGGGAGGTGAAACAAGAAAATCCATGCGGACTCTAGTAAAAAGTTTGGAATCACTTCTGCTCGCAGCTTGCCACCAAGAAATGACCTTGCCCTTCTCTCCACGATGCCCAGAATTAGCCGCGGCCAGTAGCACAACTCGCAGTCACCCAAATGTCGCGTTCTTCATTACATTCCGATAAAAATCAAGCAACTGCTACATAATACCCGCACAACAATTACCAATTACACTATGACCGGCGGGTGCCACTAGTAATGAACAGTAAGGTACAATAGTGTCAGCAATTACCAAAGCAACTATAATTTTGCTACAACGATCGACTTTCCGCTCTTCCAGATAAAAACGACGAAAAAGCAAGTTCACTGCTCAAAGGAGCAAGTCCTAGCTTCGGATTTGGAGGAGGTTCAGCTGTAACAGGTGATCCTGGCGTTTCTCCTAAACGCGAGGCAGATGGGAAGCTACCAGTTTGGAATGAAGACAAGTCTGGCTTGCTGTCGAAGACCCCTAGAGCCGGATAAGCTTCGGGAGCAAGTAATGAATATTTTGCAGCGTACCTAGCTTGCGAAGCCATCGCTGCCGAACTTGGTGATATCCCCTCGATGGCAACGCTTTCTGAACCAAGTCCCATTTCTGTCCGTATTTGGCAACAGCCTATCAAAACGTGTCAATGATCTGGCTGCTGTATAATCACAGAACACTGACCTGAGCAAGTAGATCATCCTCCTCCTTGCTCCACTTGACGTAAGGACTTCGCTGCCTCTTTGGGACATCTTGGCCCACAACCCTAGTGACCTCTTTGTTCTTCGTGATTGCTAAAGATTCAATTCCAGTTGCGGGACCAGAACTCGGTCCGATGTTATCAGCAACCGAATCAGCGCTCCCTGCGTTAGTATTTCCAGGAGCGGTCTCGTGTCGCAGATGAGCTTGCAGATCAAACGGGGCATCTCCCCAGCTACTAATCGGGGCCGTGACTGCCCGTTGGTGTAGTGCAGATGACGAGGCCACACCGGTGGAGCTTTCATTCTGAGGAGAAGAAGGTACGAGAAATGGATCAAGGAGTACGGACTGACTGGGGGGCGTATCCACGCTGGGATCGGGAGTGGGCTCAGCGAGAGGAATACGCGGTGGCGTAGCCGCGCTGCTGGGAGTATCATGTATCGCTTGATCAGCCAAGTCAGGTCGTGGAGGAGGAGTAGGGGGTATTGTTATAGGCTGAGAGGCGGCTGCGATCTCACGGGTAGAACCGTGGTCCTCTGACGAAACTTGTATAGGTCCCTCGGTCCACTGAACTGGACGTAGATTTGGCGGTCCAGAACCCCAGTCAACTGCATTTGCTCGGGGTAAAGGTGAGGGATGACGGGACCGAGGGGGCTGAGGCGCAACGTCAGATACGGACTGCTTTCTCTTTGACCTGCTTTTTTCTCTCAGCTGATTGTCGGGGGATTTATCAGCAATCGTGGAAGCCTTCTCCTTTCCTTTACCCTTAGGCAGTGAGTGAGGTTCCAATTGACTCTGTTGATCTTGCGAAGAGAATGCGGCAGCTTGATCAGCTAGAACATCCAGTCCCGATCTAACCCTGCCAACAGCAGTTGAACTGGAGCCAGCTAAGCTATTGCTTGGTTGTCCTGCACCTTGATCTCTCGTTTGTTCTCTGAGCGCACTGACCTTGTCCCGAGCGACGATTTTCCTGCGTTTCGGTACAGGACTGTCAGGTATATCGCTTGATCGTGAACGCCTCGTGCCAATGACAGTCTCTTCCTCATCTTCCTCATTATCCATCATTGACCTTGCTGCACTCAAAAGAGAATCCAGAGGCGTTGGTGGGTTCTGGGTACGCGCACCTTGCTGCTTCTTCAGTTGGTGGGTGGAGGAAGATGCCGAAGCCGCTGTCTTAGAAGAGCTTGGGGTTTGTAGCAGGTGATGTGAATATGCCGGAACAAGCACCGGCACAGCACCTGGGCGCATAGAACTATTAAGATAGACGTACCCTGGCCCAGGAGGAACAGCTGTCGTGCGCTTTGGTGTCTTGGGGGTAGCAACAATGGTTGAAGTTGATTCCTCTCGCCGCTTATCCAGGGCCTGTGTGAGGCCAGCCATTATGCCAGCACGTTGTTTTCCAATTCTCTTTGCCGCTAGCAGCAAGTGTTCTGTTCTTGCATCCGCAGTTAGAACTCGCGGAGCACGTCTTTGAGAGTGCTGGCGCTTGGAAAGATGTGTATGGAGACTTGTTGCAGCTATACGAGATTTCTGCTTTGGCGTGGTTGTAGGCGTATCCTCAGGGTCTCCTGGATGGTCCTCGTCAGAAGGATCGGGGCCAGGGTCTTCATCCTCAGTAGTTGGCGGATCTTTCCTTCTCCGCCGGTGTGGACGAGCCTTTGGCACTTGATTCAGGGTGGCATGCCCATTTAATGCAAGAGGTTGCATGAGAAGTAAGGGGCGGAGGCGGGATAATTCACCTTCGAGGATGGAGAGACGCGATTGAGTTTCGTGAAGCTGGTGGGAGATCAGCGATAGGGATGCATGATGGAAGGACGAGCTCACTCGTTGGCGGAGACTTCGATTATCTGCTTCAGTTATAGCATGTTGTCGCTCAAGCTCCTGAATCAAAGTTAGTTACTGGTAATCTAAAGAAAGAAGGGCAAGGAGAACGACAAAAAGTGTAATGATTTGTTTACATGTCTATGAAACTAATTTGCTGCCAGCAGCATCGTGGCCGAGTCATTGGCGTGAAAAGTGATTTATCAAGACGACCATGCAGTCTTGCTAAACCAACATCTCTAAAAGGAGAGAAAAATGACTTACTTCATCCTTGTCAGACGAGCCCCTGTGCTTGGCCTGCTGTGTAATAAGTGCTTCGGCCATCCGTGCCCAACCATCCTTCTCTGAGTTCCACCGCAATCTCTGCTCCTCTGCCTGTCGCACAAGTATATCGCGCTGGACAATTAGGCAGGATATAATCTCAGCCTGTCTAATGACTTGCTCTGGGTCAGGATTCACGACACCACTTTCCCTCACCACCTATTAGTATAGATATGAAATTCGAGTCAAACGTCCTGTGATGGTATGAAACGAAACATAACGCACCATATCGGGTAGCTCTTTCTCCCCTCCATCAAGATCATGCATGTCCGTGATATTCATGCGCACCTCTCGTATGCCATTGTCGATTTGGGGCCTGGGAGATGTAGTTTTGGGGCGGAGGGGTAGTTGAGAGTCATCCAGTGTTTCGAGTGGTGGCGCCGGGGAGAGGGACATGATATGAACAAGGTCATCAAGAGCCAAGGGTGGATATTCGTTGCTCATCACGACTGGCAGTGAGAGGCCTTGTCAGTACGGGTCGTGGTCGTCGTGGGTGACGATGAGCAAGGAGTCGTCGGCCGCAAGAAATCAAAAAGCCAAACAACGCCAACCCAACGCGCGGTGCACGTCACGTGATCTGTCGGAGCTGCATAAGCTGTAGTCATGTGACAATATTATGCCGGCTCCTGTTTTGGAGAACGCTACGGCTTTCGTACGTGCGTTTCATGTTTTACGCGATTTGTGCGTGATATTAATTACTTCCAGCGATACCCTTCTTGTGCATATCTTCATCGTTGTCAGCGACGATGCGCTTAACCCCATTTCACCATCTGGCCCTAGTCATTCCCCCACTGTTTCTTACCGTTTATCTCTTGGCCAATTTCCCGCGGCCACCTACTTTACCCATCATCCATACATCCCTTGCGCATCTTCCGAGCTCATCGCCATCGTGGAAAGTATATCCAGAGGACTTGTATAGTGGAGGTGCATACGCCAACTTACCTCTAGGACGGGTACGTACTTTGCTGAAGCGCTCTCGTGTTCAAGTGCTGACGCAGTACATTACCCAGGTGCGATATTGGCTCATAGGACCGGAGGACGGACAGCATGTGCGTTTTTTTGTGTGCGCGAGTATCATGTACTTATCATGACTGCTAGATTGTTTTGATACATGGACTTTCCATCCCGGCCATCGTCTGGAAAGACGTAGCGCCTGTACTCGCCTCACAAGGATACCGTGTACTTCTCTATGGTGTGTTGTTGTCTTTTAATGCGCATTATGTTACGAACCCATTGATCTCGTAGATTTGTATGGTCGCGGTTACTCGGATGCCCCTCAAGTAACTTATGATACCACCCTTCACACCACCCAACTCGCGCTCCTTATGCAATACGTTAAGTGGGACAATGCATTCATTGTTGGATTGTCGATGGTAAATTTGTCTTCTTGCGTTGATCTACTGCTTAATCTTTCTCCGATTGCAAATAGGGAGGTGGCGTTGCGACTGCATTTTCAGCCCACTTCCCTCATTTGGTAAATGGAAAAGTCGCTCTTATTGCTTCAGCAGGTATCATAGAGGTAATCGGCAACAAACGTGGCAAATACTTAATCTAACTTATCTAATATAGTCGAGCGATATCTCTCGTACCGCAAAATTCATGTCAACTCCCCTCGTGCAAACTGTGTCCGCCCTCCCACCTTTCCAAGTAAGCTTGAGGGACGGCTCCCTTTTCTCTCCCGTCTGACCTTGACGTAGCATTACATGCGTCTCCTTGCAAATACCTCTAAATCCTCGGAACCTTGTGAAACCAATCCAATACAAGAAGTCTGTTTTTTCATGACCACCTATCTGACAACTACTGAGTACTATTTCCTCAGATTGTACGTCTCCAAACCGCTCATCTCCCTCACTACAACGCTGCTGTGGCATCTTCTCTTCGTGACGGCCCTATTCGCGGCCTACATTTTGCATTCCAATCGCTCGCACGCTCTGGCAACCAACTGTTGCTTATTCATGTGAGAGATCGCCCATCGATCTGCCACTATAATGCTGATTTTTTCAATAAAGGGCACATCAGATAAAACTGTCCCCTATAAATACGCTTCTATGATACACAGTCTCGTACCGCAAGCCGACCTCGTCACCATCAGCGATGGTGGCCACGATCTCACTGTAACCCACGCATCCGAGGTGAACGCCTTGCTACTCCACTTTCTCGCCGACGAATACTCGTACAAGCCTCTCGGATAAATTTTCACTTTATATAAGGGGCGAATCCTTTTCTTTGATGATATTGTATCTGCCAACACACACATGCTATTCACCATTCATCGTCGAACGCTATTCCATCGTATCTCTTATATCATTCTGGATACCATGCCTATCTCACGTTATCCTCGCCTCATGTTGTCCTCGCTATTCATCTGCGTTACCTTTAGCTTTTTTCCTGTCTGCATTACTCTAGAAACCTATAACTTGTAATAAACACACGAACGAAGCGCTTTGAAATCGAGCATGATGCATCGATATCTCTGCCTTATCTGCGCGCGCCAATGACTGGTAGAATTTAAGCCAATGGAATACGCGAGGCGCTAGATATCGTGTTCAACGTTCAAGGTGAATGTTTCTGTCTCTACTATATTTATCGCTCGCTCATGTCCCAATAATGATTTAGATCGGGGAAATATTACGTGCTGACGCTAATCTCATTCTCCAGTTTCTTGAAGACCTCTCTAAAGAGATCTGGTGACCCCATAAAACGGTTCGCGGCCTTCACAAAGATATAGCACCATCAGTTTGTCCATTGGCAGTGCAAGAATGGAAATTCCTTCGCCGACCCCGCACCACGGAGTAAATATACTGGGTTTGAAGATGTTCCCATGCGAGCAATAGTCTTGACACGCGTAGCTCTCGAATACAGTGGGAGAGCCACTTTACCAAGCAATCGAGGTGCATGATCACGAGAAATATGTCTTCTACACCTCCAGAAATAGACGGTGACGCTCCCTTGCGGTTTAATCGTCAAGTGATCCAACCTGGTTTTATCGGCGCGGTCTCAGTCTCCTGTGGGAGAGCGACTTCGACCAGGCGAGATGGTCCTGCTTCTAGTTGTGACTGACTAATCATTGTTTTCAATTCAATGTCTTCGTGGTGGTCTCTAAAAGACTGCGTTAGTGAATGAATTTTGTGAACAAATATGATTGATATACCTGTGAGGTAGGGCGACTGTATCAAGAACATCTTCGTCCGTTTCATCGTCCTCGAGTTCGTCATCATAGAGTTGCCGAGGTTCCGGCTTCTTCTCCTTTTTCTGGAACCAGCTGAGGCAAAAGAAGAGAACATATGGCCGTTGCCCGTCGTCCACACCGACAACATCGGCCTTGTGAATGACATGGTCAGAATTCATTAACTCAACGTAATTATAGACAAACGTCGGCAGCTTGTCCAAGTGGAATATCGACAACTTTTACAGCTGTGCCTTTCGGTTCGCGCGCCTTTTGCTTCCCCTTGTCGGACGACGACCGAACATGATTAAAAAAGGCCCTGGCACCGGGAAACGGAGTTGATGGAGGGCTGTTTGCACGAGGACAATTGAGAGGTAAGGGTGATGTAGCAGGGAACTGCAGTGCGAGTGTTGAACGAACTGCGAAAGAAACAAGAGGAAAAGACATACATCCAATGTATCACGAGTTTGACCGTTCCCACCAGGGTGTCCTGTGGTTGTGCGAGGAGAGAAGTGAAGAAATTTTCTGAGGCGAATAAAAATGGGTTGCTGTGAGTCTGTTGGAGGCGGAGGTCCTGGCGCCATAGGTATGACAGATGTTGGTGGTTTGCAGTACCTAGCAGGAAGACGACGAGTTGCGTCAGACTGCAGCGATAGCAATAGGTGAGTGGTGTAATGAGCAAAAGAATGAGACGCGCACATCTAGTAAGACACTACGGGCTGACTTTTTGTGTGCACTGGTCTGTAAGAAAATGTCAACACACGAACAATAAATGTTTTGCGGGGAATACGTACACTGGTATGAGCAAGGACGTCAGGTGGAGTATTGCAGATGCAGACCTTGTAATCATTTTTGGTGTTTGTCGTGTAAGCTAGCTGGCGTAAGTCGGGTGAGAGGATAAGGGCCCGAGGATTTTGAACGTTGAAGGAAGCGAGAAGTTGGCGGGACTCGCAATCCCAGAGCTTGATGGTGTTGTCAAAGGAAGCGCTGGCGAGGAGAGCGTGGTCAAATGAAAGTGCTAGGCCGGTGACATCCTTGGTGTGCCCTTCAAAGGGAGCTCCGACAGTCTCCAGCGTCGACGCGTCGAACTCATAAATTGCACTAGCATCATCGTCTGTAGTGAAGTTGAGTGCGGTCATGAAGGTTTCGTTGTTGTTTGTCCAGAACATTGGGGCAGATCTGCCTCCTACCTCATATCCCCCTACTCTGACATCCAATTTCTGTGACTGGACATCCCAGACCTCAAAAGACCTCCCCACATTTGACGTCACTGCGAGCCTTTTCGAGTTTGTTGACAATCGAATTGCGGCCACCCAAATGACACTCTCGAATGGACCAGTTACCAGTTTACCGGTCTCTAAATTCCATATCCGCGTTGTTTTATCTTCTGACCCACTTGCAAGCAGCGTGTTGTCCATGGAGATATCAATACAGTTGATCCTCTCCGAGTGTCCTTCGAATGTCTTCACAATCCCAGTCCCAATCTCACAGGCTTTCAGCTGGGCACTATTCCAATTCCCACCACCAGTGACAATCCATCGACCATCCCTTGATACTGCCACTGCCCATACCCTCCCCTCGCAAACACCCCGCGCTTCCTTAATCTCTTTTCCTGCCTTCAGATCCCATTGCCGAACGGTCTTATCATCAGATCCGCTGATCATTTCCTGGCCATCTGGACAGTAGGATATAGATCGAATCCATCCTCCGTGACCCTTCAAATCTATTGACGGTGTCAGGATTGATGTCGTAGCAGCTGCCTTCGACGTCGGCACAGAGACCATGGCTGTGTCTCCGTCAGCGAAACCGAGAAGTAGTATGGGCAAGGTATTCCTTTAGAAGTGTTCAAAGGTGCGAAAGTGAGGTCTGCTGTTATCAGTGCGCGATATGATTGACACTGGCAGCGGTTTGAAGATGGGCTCCTGGTCAAGCCAAACATCAGTTTATCCGCGTTGGGGATACAGATGATAATCTGGTGTTACCGAGAGGCCAGCGCTTTACCAGCAAAAAGCTTGAGGGATGGTGAATTTCTGGATGCGAGTGCAGCTATCGGCCTTAGGCGCCGCTTTGCACATATATACCCTACCATATGGCAGCTGTGCATTGTGCCCTGCATCCTTTTGTTCATCGTATGTGCTTCTCCACGGGGGCATTAGAAAAATGCTGCGCCTCTGGTGCGACTGCTGTGGGAAACTTGGTTAGGTTGCACAGCATTTGTTCACGCACTCAGCATCATGCTTACATAGGACAAGCGCAGCATCTCTTTGGGGCGCATTCGACTTCCCCAGAAATTACACCATGGACTCGCAGGAGGGATTCCACTCTCGAAGCCGCATGGACGACCTTGAAGCAGACCGAAAGAAACACAGATGTGATCCATACAGATGTTGACCTGGAATATCTGTCCATCTTGAAATAGCGCCTGTTCGAGAAGTCAGCTCAGTCGGGTTGTACAGGAAACTATCAGCCGGGCATGGATACTGGAAATCATCAATACGGCTGAGTCCATATGCTGGGCTTCCATCCCACTGGAACCACGAGGATTGCAATGAAGGAGATCATCAGCATTAAAACGGTAAGTACTCCAATTAAACTAGTAAGTAATCAAGGGTCAACTGCTGTGCATGACGAGAGTGGCACTTAAGCGAGGAGAGGGGGAGAAGATAAATTGTTGATCAAAATTACTAACCAGGCGGAGATGGTAGAATGCGAGTCGGTGTCGAAGATGGTATGGTATGTGCATCGCTGGTGCTGGAGAGTTGAATTCCTTGCGTACTGACAGTAAGTTGCCTAACTGACCAGCGTTAGAATGACAGCCGGAGGCCTGCACAACTGCCTAGATACAATTTATGCGAGAGTTCATCTAGAATGTGATAGACACGTACTTGTTAACAACTGATCAACATCGGGTCTGATGTAACATGTACATCGTTGTCACTGGTGAGTTCGATTTTGTTTCCAGTGCATCTGCATAACAAGCCCTTCGACTCGACATCTGCAGAACAGCAACTTGAGATGTGGGCAACTACCTGGATAGAATTCGTGAGGACGAAGTTAGAATGCAATGTGACACGTACCACATTCTTATGAACAGCTGATTAGAGTTGGCAGGCACCGTAGGATCGTAAGAAAACTATTCAGCTTGCGAAAGTGACATATGAGCATGCAGCATGCCAATGTAATTTCTGTGTCTAGAGGAGCATGGTCATATGGAGTGCGCGCTCAAGGATCAGGAATGCCAAGAACACCCTAATGGCACTCGGGGTAAGCAGAGAATCGTGAAACCTCAAACCTGACTGACTGGATCATATGGGACAGTAGCAGTAGCATATCGACGAGATATGTCAATAAAACACGCGTTGGTGTATTTCAAGTCCAAGAACGATCTGAGCTTATCGTTATGGCCCGAAAACACCCCAACACAAACGATACGCCAAAGTGAGAGCTACGAGAAAAATTGACGCAATTGACCCTTTCATGTTGATGAATTCAAGCTACTGCAGATCAAGAGGGTTTCAGTGAAAGAAAGCAGGTTTCAGCTCCATCGTTAATGATTGAAGAGAATATCTTCTGCTTGCTTTGATCGGTGTTTACTGTTGTTTGGTATACAGGATGGGCCCGGGGTTTGCCCGGCGGAGTGGTGTTGTCAGTTGATGGTCCAATACTGAGCCGTATTATGTATATGTACCGTATACATTGTTGCTTGATTTCCATCATCTGGCTTAAGTCTCTTTATACCGGAGAAAGATTGAGATCTTATTCAGATCAACTTTGAACGTTTTTCTTCAGCGTTTGCAGTCTTCGGTCTCTTCGCTCACAAGACCACCCAACGCCAAACATCCTGGGCCTCTATTCCCCACACGGGGTTCGTCCTAATGAACCTCTCGCTTAGTCAATCGTCCAATTAATGCCTCATAGCTTTTGAGCCCAAGTCCAAGGTAACCCAAGAACCCTATACTCACATCCTCACAAAGGTTCTGTCACAAACACTCACCTCCTAACGTACACGCACCATCGACATCCACTTCCTCTGCGCCAGTCACCACCATCTCATTACGTGCGCTGTCATGCCTCTGAACTTCTAAACACTGATACGCCTAGCAGATTCATGGTGCGAGACGCTGGGGGGGCTACGAAAAGGGAGAATTGAAAAGCAATGGGTGGTGTTACAAATGGGTGTGGTGGGAAGGAAGACAGTGAGTGTTTTACGATAAGTCTTAGCCACCTTCATCCAATGACGCAGAAGATTTTTACCCAAATCCTACTTTCCGAGTCGTCAATCCCACGCAGCCTCTCCCACTATAGACGACGTTTCCAACACGTGCACAGATCAAGAAAGCATGCAACACCGAGTCACACTGCGGACAAGACGATACCTAGAGTGCGGGTAAGGGAAAGGCAGAGTTCTCACTAGCGAGAATGAGTTTGACGGTGCGTGAAGGAATTGGAGAAAGAGTAGGTTCTAAGTCGATTGATAGGACATATCCGTGTCCACAAGTGCTGTGGCATTGACTCGGACATCCAGCTGTGAACATTAGACGCCACAGGACACCAAAATAAGGAAGAAACGGCTACCTTCGATCAGGATTGGTGCTCGAACCTGAGGCAACGGTGACTCATGTATACATATATATTTGAGACGGAATTTTTGAGGACTTGCGCCTCATCGACGATGCAAGTATCAATGAAGCTGTTAGCCTGGGAGCTTCTGAATATCCTATTACTGCCTTCTCGTGTTTGGAATTTTGAGTATGCTCGATGATCGATGAGGAACTGACCATTTTGTAGTATGTGCCTGTGAAAAGTTCACGGTGAACTTCACTAACGATTCGGCCCTACACACAGGAGACCTACTCGTTGCAGAGACTGACGTGTCAAAACACAATCCTCAATCCTAACCACATATCATCGTGCCGCCGACGTGTTATCCCATCGTATACCTCCACATTCCTAGTCGATTTGACGTTGTATCTCAAACTCCTACCATACCTACATTTTTCCAGGACCATCGAGGCTTGTCCATGTATGTTTGCGACGACCTCGATATAGTTAATACGAGTTTCTTATGCAGGATCATAGAAAAGGATGGGGCAAACCGAGGGCCGGCGTATCAGGCTTCGAACACTGTCTAGTATAAGGGACCCCTGTAAAATCAACAATTAAAGGGTCATTCGCAAAAGCAGTAGAAAGCCAACCGATTGTTTCGATTAGCACGTAATGCCGGAGCTAGTTATCACAACAGGGAGTGCCCACCGGACCAAATCCGGAATCGATGCAAAGTACGGTTATGACCAGGATAAACTGTGAAAGGAAGGAAATGTTATGGGAGCAGTTCAGTAGGAGTTATGAGATGAAAGTAGCCCAGGGTCCGAACGTTGGAGATGTTTGTCTGAGTCTCAGATGATCACGAATTTGACGCAATCGGGTAATTCAGACAAGCCAAGGACGTCTGTCAGAATTTAAAAAGAAAACAAACGACGAAGAGCGTTACACCAGGGCGTGGAGCAGGTCCTCGCACTCCCGCACATTCATCTTTCATTGTGCAACTGCGGACGGTTGCATTTGGGGAGGGGGGAAATGTAGTGTGGAGCGCCAGGGGTCCTGGCTCGTAGTCGGTAGTCTCGCGTAGCGTGTCAGTCGGTCCTCGATAGATGGAGCCGTAGCCTCCCGTTATAGAGGTTTGGCCTTGGGTTCCCTTGCAGTCCGTGCCCATTCCAGCGTCCAGTATCAACGTTTTCTTTGCAGGCCAGTCGTCATCGTGCCATCGAACGAGCAAGGTCCATCAAAAAAAGGAGATGCGAAAAGTTGCCTGAAGATCACACATTGGCTGACTTGGCTGAGTGGGCCTCAAAGTGGACTCGAGAAGATCGGGGATCAATCGAAACTTGAAGGGGCCGCACAAAAATCAAGGGAAAACAAGATCGTCAAAACAAAGACACAAGAAGCGGAGATCGACTTGGAGATCGATGTGGAATAGTAAACAGGAGAGTAGAAGGGCTGTGCTGAACCAACGAGGGACAAAGAACAGTTGGAATAAAGATGCTCCTCTTGGTCGAATGAAGCCTGACCTGGTGAGAGCGAGTTCTGTTGAATCTGGATCGCATACTGGATCGAACCAAGTTTGCAGATTTGAACTGTGTCATCGAATACCATAGAAAAAGCATCGAAGTTCGAAGCCCAGATGGACAGGAGCCTTTATGGTCCAAAAACTCGCCAGATAAACGAGATCGTCAGAATCGGGTCTACTAGAGATGCGGAGATCGGATGGGAGATCGACATGGAAGAGATTGATGGTTAGGCGGGGCTCGGTATCCAGCTCGATTCCAAGACAGCCGTGTAGTCTAAGTCGCATGCTCGAGACTCGTTAGATCGCAAAATTTGTGGTGAAGTGTGGTCCAATCGAATACTACAATCGTTATATGAAGTTGGAGGTCTGAACGAGTGAAGGTAGAAAGCAGGCAAGATCAATTCAGACGGCCGTCTTATATGTGAGAGAAAAATTGTGAGACATCCGAATTCTGACGGAAACAAATGTCTCACCTAGTCCGTGATGATGTAGGATGATGTCATTTCGATCCTGACCAGATCAGTGAGGATGAGTAAGTATCATAATCCGATTCACACATGTTGTGGGATTTGGAAGATGTACTGAGTATCGCAGATAGCGTAGAACTGATATATAAGTGAAGCTATCAGTTATGGAGGATACAGCAGTAGACAAGTGTACATAAAGTTAACTGCGACCATGAGCACCAGTATGGCTGCTATTTGCTGTGTCACCCTGACGGGGTATGTCAACCCGCTCCAACCGCCATCGCGGAGGCATCCTCAGTCTACCATGAGACCAGCACGAATAATAGCACAGGAATGCCTTGCACCAATGCACGTCTGGGAGCGAATCGATATCAGCTGAGTCATTTTCCTGCGGCATGGTAGCCTGCTGGCTAGACGGATGTCGAGTATCGTCTACTTTCTTATATTCCGGTAGTTTGGCAGCAGCAAGTCGCTGTAGGCCACAGATCAGCAATAGGCACCGAGAAGTAAGGACATTACATTACAGTGACCTTCCGTCCCGGTGCGACTTCAACGACTGGTGGCACGAGACTGTGTCTTGGCACGAGGAATGAGAGACGCTGCCGTAGAAACTGCGTGACTCCGTTTGAGGGGCGAGGCAGAGAACTCATTTCGAACTTGATGCGCACTCAGTACTAGTCATTATGCAAATTCACTACAAATTGAAGACTGACGTGATCAAACTGAGTTGCGGTCCGCCCAGGGAGAGAGGATGGTAGAGGTAATGTAGCAGGGACCTGTGGTTCCAAAGTCGAGTCAATTGTATAAGAAACGATATGTACGACTTACATCTAAGGGATTACGAGGTTGGGCAGGGGGTGTTACGTTCGTGCGAGGGGAGAAGTGAAGAAGTTTGCGGATGCGAGCAAAAACAGGTTGCTGTGAGTCGATTGTAAGCGGAGGTCTTTGCGGGCTTATCGGTTGTCTGAGGCGCCCCGCAGGAGGACGACGAGTTGCGTCAGACTGCAGTTATAGCGATGGATGAGTGGTGTAGTGAGTAAAGGAATGAGATACATACATGTAGAAAATCATTAAGGGTCGACTTTTTATGTGCACTGATCTGTAAGAGAATGTTAGGACACGAACAATAGACGTTTGCGGTGAATGCGTACACCAGCCTGAGCAAGGACATTGAGTGGAGTGTTGCATATGTAAATCTTGTAATCATCTCTGTTGTATGTCACATACGCTAACTGGCGCGAGTTTAGTGAGAAGGTAAGGTTGCGGATATTATGAACATCGAAGGAAGCGAGGAGCTGGCGGGACTCGAAAGCCCAGAGCTTGATGGTGTTGTCATCGGCGGAAGCACTGGCAAGGAGAGTACAGTCAAATGAAAGTGCCAAACTTTCAATGGTCCCGGTGTGCCCTTCGAAGGAAGCTCCTACAGTCTCCAGTGTCGACGCATCGAATTCATAGATCGTCCAGGCGACGTCAACCGTAAAGGTGAATGCGGTCAAGATGTTTTTGTTTCTGTTTGTCCAGAACACTGGCACAGGTAGGACTCCGACTCCAATCAACTTCCCTATCCTCACATCCAACTTTTGTTTTTGAACATTCCAGACCTCAAGGCCTGTTCCCCTATCCAACCTGACTGCGAGCTTCTTTGAGTCTTGCGAGAATCGAACTGCGCTCACCCAAGCGACGCTTTCGAATGGACCGGCTACGAGTTTGCCAGTGTCCAAGTTCCATATTCTCACTGTGAAATCTTTAGCCCCGGTCGCCAGCAGCGTGTTGTCCGCAGAGATATCAACACAGGTGATCTGACTCGAGTGTCCTTCAAATATTTTCACAATCCCAGTTTCGACCTCACAGACTTTCAGCTCCACACTATTCCAATCTCCACCAGCAGCGACAACCCATCGACCATTCCCCGATACTGCCACTGCCCATACATCCCCTTCGCAAACACTCCGCGCTCTCTCAATCTCTTTACCCGCCTTCAGATCCCATTGCCGAACGGTTTTATCCTCGGATCCGCTGATCATTCGCTCGCCATCTGGAAAGTAGGATATGGATCGAATCGACTCTCCATGACCTTCGAAAGTGACCGACGGTGTCAGAATCGATTTCATGGCGGCCGCCTTTGTTGTTGTAGAAGCCATGCGAGCAAAACGATTTTGTAGCCAAGGTCTTCGTTGGTGGACAGAATGATAAAGAGGGAAGAATCTTATAACGTGGGTGAAGTCATTATCTGTAAGATGTGCTATTTATTCTTCGATTCGATATTCAGTACTCAGTTTCTGTGCTAGAGGATATCAATTCGTTGTTTATTCCCACCTGTGCTTTCTAAGTCTTGGCGTATCTGGAAAGCCCCAAAATGTTGTATATGCTATGGTATCCAATTTTAGCATTCGACTTTCTTATTTGCTCGCTCTTCATCACAGTTTCGCTTTGGACGCCAGCCGACGCTTGCAAGCTTGAACAGTTGTTATTGATACTGTGGGACAACACGGAGATCACCTTTCCTCAATAATATATGTTCTCAAATACACGCTCATCCAACTTCCCTGATAATCCACCAACCACAAAATGTCGACCATATTGCACGCTCTGATCACCTGTGAATGTTCCGGTCTCTGAATGTCTCTGGCGCTGAGATCAACACGTGAGTATCCATACCCAGAATTTAGAAGGGCCAGAACGATGCAAGACTTATCATGTTATGGCCGCCACCTGAGACCCGCTCTCCAGGACCACTGCTGCGAAGCCTCACATACAACGAGGGTAGCATGCTAGAGGCATACGATCAGTGAGGTTGTGACAACAGCGCTAGTACTGATAGGATACTCTGCAGGAATACTATCAGTCAGCTTGCGCGAGTGAGACTACATGAACTGGCCTTGACTATGCGTTGTGGCATCTAAGGGCATTGCACATATCAACCAATCAAAATACACGCAGTGTTCGTCGATATCGGCAGCCCTTCAAGTCTCCTCGAGAGAACGCAACTACTGATTCATTTTCATTTTACACAGAAACAAATCAGAGATGGGCGAGCGCAGTGAGACGGAACAGAGAATTTACTCATCATACAAGCTAATTCTGGTCGACGGCGAAGGTTATCCGGGAATTTGGATCAGAGATTGGACCTAGTCTCTGACTCTGGGGTCGACTTGCGCGTTGGGCTGCAAAGGGAGCTCTTGCATCTGAAGTACAGCGCTCTCAAGAAATGTTGAATAAGAGCGCCCTGACAACAACCATAGTCAGTATAGCATCGCAAAACCTCAACCCATCTCTTAATTAGACGCGATCATACAATCAGTAACAGCGAAAAACACTGACGAGGTAGAATTGGTGTCTGAGGCCTGAGGCCCAGTGAGAACCGGACCTCACCGTATCGACGGAAAACGATGGATATATTTACAAATATTGTCAAAGCTACGCAAATCGTGAATTCAGCATATTATCGAGAAAGTTGACGTGCGTCGTCTCGATCAAAAGAAGCAAACACACAATTTTGTCAATATTTTCTTGCACATTTTTGCAGACATAGGTCAATCAATCAATCGAACACAGCGAAATTCGAATCACTTGTCACTTGTTTGTGTTGTTTTTAACTTGATAAGTGTACGCGATGCGCGTCCTTACTTTCAACTACATACTAGTACGATGGCTTCATCCCAGGTTGATCTGGTCCTGGGCCCGTGTCTCTTCCTGTGCCCTGTGTTTCGCTGATTATTGATTACTCATGACGCGAGCAACTCTCTGGAAGCTTCATACATGCAAACACAGCAGATACCACTCCCCAAGACCGTCTCGATCATGGCAATGATACTGTCGACACGAGCACCGAGGACACAGAAACACCTGTATAAGTAACATGTGCAACCATGGTAAGTCGCCAACTCGTGCTTGTATTATGTTCACAGATACTGATGGGATTGTAGACCTCCTTCCCCATAACAAGAACCCTCTGTAAGTCTTCAAAGACCTTGTTCAAACTGGCACTGACTTGGGTACATGCAGTGCGAGGCTTGCTGAGCGAAAACGCGAATCTACTGTCCCCAATCCTGCAGTGACCCAGTACATCGAAGAACGGAAGGTATGTCATGTGTCGATCTAGAACATTGTATCAACCTTTGACCTGGAATTTTTGTGGTGAGTTGATACGAGCGGGGGACACACGGGACGCTAAACGATGAATAGAATCTCAGTATCTTTGATAGAACTCCTTGTGCTACTTGACAAGTACCTAAACGATGAATAGACTAAGTCCTTTTGTGAGCCGTTTGTAACGTAGGTAGAATCATATGCACATACATCTCAGTATCTTTGATAGAACTGAGATGTCATGTCGCTCGTACTCGAGTCTTTATAGTAGCTAGCATAGGAACGAAAATTTTCAGTAACATATGAATATATTGAAAGTATAATGAAAATGATATCGGCCGACGTGTCACGTCATCTGCGTCACGGCTCGCATTAAGGTTGCGCTCGCCTATATTCACTCCTCTCCGTGTTCGGCCGTTTTGCATCCCAACACTCCCCCTCGAGCGGAACCTAGCGCCATTGAAGCTCTCAACTTCTGAGGACATCTTGATCCTGGAATATCCGGCCCATCTGAACATCTGACCCATCCAACCCAAAGTCTTGCATGTATAATAAATATCACGGTCACAACTTACCACGTGACTCACAGCGCCGCCGCGCGTGTTGCGGCTGACACCGTGACCAACTCTCAAGAGCCTTTTTAGAATAGGTTGAGGCCCAAAGGATGAGGTGGAGAGGACATCTCGATCCTGGAATATCAGGACCCATTGTAGTATTCATTCAATTATGAGTATGCGAAATATATAATATTTAATTACATGCAAAAGAATTATTAAAAAAAATATGTGAAAATGGTAAAATAATTGAGCTCACTGTGTGCAACAGCGAGCACGAAGGTTTCGGCAATGCATGCAGTGAGCGCACGAGCGTGCTTACCTATTTTGGTTATCATTTACACATCGCTGTCGTATCAGGTACGTGGGAACTACACGTGATGCTAAGTCAGCCATGGGTCAGATGTTCGGATGGGCCGGATATTCCAGGATCGAAATATTCTGCAACTTCTGGAGGCGTGGACGCGGGAGGGGTTTCGTAAACGCGTCAGCTACGTTCTTCTCCGTCGGACAATACAGCAGGGAGAAGGTACCGTTTTTGATGTGCTGGCGGACGAAATGAAAACGGATGTCGATGTGTTTGGTATGTGCGTGAAACTTCGGCTTGGAGGCAAGGGCTATAGCAGCCTGGTTATCGCAGTAAACTGGAGTGGGTGTGCAGGGGACGTCATAGAGTTCTTCGATCAGAAGTTGCAGGTACAGTAGCTCGCGCGTGACTGTGGTCAATGCTATGTACTCTGCCTCGGCAGTGGATAGCGCGATGAGGGGTTGCTTGCGGGCACTCCGCGCAATGGGTCCTCCATTTAGCAAGACAACGTACCCTGAAATCGAGTGACGATGCGGCTGGGACGCCCAGTCCGCATCAACGTAAGCTTCTAACCCTGCATCTGTTGTGCCAAGGGTGAGCATATAGTCCGCTGTCCCCTTCAAGTATCTCATCACGCGCTTGGTTGCCTCCCAATGCGTGTGCCCGGGGTTCCTCATAAACTGGGAGAGAGGGGCTACCGAAAACGCGATGTCTGGGCGCGTACTGGTCGCTGCGTACATAAGCGAGCCTATGGCTCGCTGGTACGGGACATCGCGCATCGCATGGTGCTCTGTTGGAGTGGAGGGAGATTGGTCAATGGTCAATACGGCGCTGGTGTCCATGGGCGTCTGGGCTGCTTTGCAGTTGGATAGGTTGAATCGTTCGAGGACAGTGTTGACATAGGCATTTTGAGAGAAGGTGATGGTGCGTGCGACGCGGTCTCGTTCTACCTTTAGTCCCAGTAGCCAGTTGAGTTGGCCTAAGTCCGTGATTTCGAAGTACTTGCGCAGGTCAGCTTTGAAACGGGTGATATGGGTGAGATGCTTTGAGGTAACTGCCATGTCGTCGACAGACACGGTGACAACCATGTGCTCGTCGTGGTCCCGTTTGTAGAAGACAGCTTGATCGACCTGTGAGCACGTGAAGCCAATTTTTCGGAACACACCAGCAAGTTCTTCGGCCCACTCGTACCCTGCTTGCTTCAACCCCGGCAGACTTCTCCTCAGCCTCAAAATCTTCCCCTCGTCACCTTTTTTCAGGTACCCTGGGGGTGCACACATGTACTCCTCCTCCTTCAGCTCCGCGTACAAGTACGCGCTCTTGATGTCCACTTGGTGGATCTCCCAGTCGCGTTCGGCGGCCATGGCGAGGACAGTCCTGATGGTTGACATGTTGGAAGTGGGCGCAAATGTGTCGAAATAGTTGACACCTTCTTGCTGACGTTGGCCGTTGGCCATGAGGCGGGCACGGAGTTTGAGTTTCTGTCCATCTGGACCGCGTTTGGTGGCGAGGACGAAGTGGCATGGGATAATGTTAACACGTGAGTGCTGACTTACTATTTCCCATGTTCCTAACTTCTCCAATTGGCTGATTTCATAATCTATTGCTTCTTGCCACTCAACAGCGTCTGGGCCGTTCAAGGCCTGCTTGAGCGTTGGTTCCGGTTCTGCGGCTGCTAAGGCCAGATGACAGGTGCATGCTTCTTCCTCATCATGCGCTAATTCTTCTGCCTCCACACAGGACTCTACCACCAGACTTACACTCTCCCCCTCATGTAGGGCGGAGTAGTAGCCTATTGGAGGACGCACGTGGGTTGTCCTTGGTGCAGGAGGGGTTGTAGGTCTTGCGGGTGATGACCTTGGAGGAGTAGTAGGTGCTGAAAATGTCTTCGGTATGGAGGTGAGCTGAATGTTAGGTGCATTAGCAGTTTTGACGGCGCTGACGGAGTTGTCAGGCTGGGACTCCCCCTCATTCGGCACATCCTCTGCTACCACCACGTCCGCCGGAGCAAACATCACGTTTCGCTCCACAGACACTCGCCTCTTGGACGGCCAGTACACCCTGTATGCCTTGCTCTCCGTGTCTATGCCCACAAAAATGGCTTCCTCCGCTCTGGGCTCCAGCTTCCCTGCCTCCATCAAATGGACATAGAGCTTGGACCCGAACTCTCGTGCCTTCCCCAGGTGTGGTTTTGCCCCGCGCACCAGCTCAAACGGTGTTGTTCCCGGTGTTGATCTCGACAGTAAGCGATTTTTCAGCCAAGTGGCGTAGTTGACAGCCTCCGCCCACAGGTATTTTGGTAAGTCCCTTCCTAACAGCATGGCCCTGGCATGCTCAACCAGGGTCCGGTTCAGACGCTCTGCCACTCCATTCTGTTGGGGAGAGTGGTGAACGGTAAGCTGTCTTTCTATTCCATGCTGCGCAAGGTGCTTATCGAACTCTTCGCTGAGGTACTCGCCTCCTCTATCGGACCTAACCTTCTGGATACAGGTACCAGGCTTTTGCCGTGCCACCCATGCCTCGTATTGCTTGAAGGCCACCAAGGCTTCACTCTTGGCCTTCAGGAAACGTAAGGTCGTTTGCCTGGAATAATCGTCCATGAAGCTAATGTAATAGCTGCAGCCTCCAATGCTCATCGTTTGCGCCGGACCCCAGAGGTCCGTGTGCACTATTTCGCCATAGGCCTTCACACGGTTCTTCGTCTCCTCAGGAAATGGTCTCCGAGTGGACTTGGCCTTGACACACGCGTCACAGAATTCCGGCTGGGAGGTGAGGTCAACTTCTACTCCCTCAACTGTACCCTTCCTCACAGCCTCCAGTACAGCAGCATGTGAGATGTGCCCTAGCGCACGATGGGCTTTGCTGATGGTAAGCCTGGACTTCGCTACGTTCGCATGCTCTTCGTGCTGATTTCAAACACTATAGAGTCCCTCGACCTGAGGGATCTGGGCTATGACTTCGCATTTTGGACCCTTCGACAGGATCTTGCACGTTTGGCCTTCAAATAGGACGGCTAGGCCGGCGGCTGTGATTCTGTTGGTCGAGATGAGCGTGAACGCCATCTTCGGCGCATAGAGAGCATTTTTGAGTACAACGCTGGTGCGCTTGTCACCTAACGGTAAGCCTATTTTGACGTCTCCACGTCCTACGGCACTAATTGATGTTCCATCGGCTGTATGCACTGGCTGGGCAGGTATGGCTACAAAGTTCGAGAATTTTGACCGGTCGGGACAGAAATGGGACGTTGCCCCCGAGTCCATTATTGCACCTCGTTTGGTGACAGGTACGTTCAAGTCCTTCGCTATGGTAGCCAAATCTGATGTGACAAAGGCATATTGGTCTTGGGGCTCCGGCTCAGTAGCGGCAGAATTCGCTGCCTGCTTTTGACCCTTATTGGCCCTCTCGCCTCTCTTCCTCCTTTGGTTTGGACCTTGGCCCTCCTTTCCCCCTCCAGCACGCCAGCAGTCACTGCTATAGTGGCCTTTTCGCTCACAATTGAAGCACACGATGCTGGGATCCGGTTTGGTGGTGTTGGTGCCGGAGGCTTGGCCTCTGCCTGCAGTTCCCCTTGCAGAAAGGGCAGTGTTTCCTCCCCGTTTGGTGGGACGCCTATTGGTGAGTAGCCGGTGCTCATACTCTTCCGTTATGATAGTGATGAGTTCATAGGGAGATAGCAGGTGTTTTGGTGATTTTGGCGGCTGCATTCATGGATGAGAGGAGGGGCCGGTAAGATTCGGGCAGTGACCCTAGAATTATAGCGTGGAAGTCGGTATCGACTACCGTTACTCCCATCCCCGCCAAGGACTCTCGTAGGCATAATAGCTTGGAGAAGTGCGCCTTTACATCGCCTCCTTCGTCACATCTCGTCTCCTGGAGTCTGCGCCTCAGGTCTATCTGGACCAGTTCTGTTTTTCCCTTGTGAATCTGACATCTCTTTCCAGATTTTGGACGCGGTCCCCAGCTTCTGGACGTGCAACAGCAGCCAATCGGTGATCGTGCAAAATATCTGCTGTTTAACGAGTGAGTTCTTTTGATGATATTCATTGATCTTTTTGTCGAGCTCATCTATCTCCGTTTGCGTAGGCGTTGACCCGTCCGCTTTCATAATAGCCTTCATCGTAGGATTTACGACGAAGGGTTTTGGCTCAATAGCCCGACCATCGGTATATCTCGTCAGTCCTCGCGCGCCTATAGCTGTTAATGTCCGTTCCTTATAGGTTATCCAGTTCGAGCCGTCTTCGGCAAGCTTCGGGATGTTGAACAAGCTGGAGTTGGTGCTGGGAGTCGACGAGTCCATGATCGGGTCAGGGCTCATAACCTGTGGTGAGTTGATACGAGCGGGGGACACACGGGATGCTAAACGATGAATAGAATCTCAGTATCTTTGATAGAACTCCTTGTGCTACTTGACAAGTACCTAAACGATGAATAGACTAAGTCCTTTTGTGAGCCGTTTGTAACGTAGGTAGAATCATGTGCACATACATCTCAGTATCTTTGATAGAACTGAGATGTCATGTCGCTCGTACTCGAGTCTTTATAGTAGCTAGCATAGGAACGAAAATTTTCAGTAACATATGAATATATTGAAAGTATAACGAAAATGATATTGGCCGACGTCATCTGCGTCACGGCTCGCATTAAGGTTGCGCTCGCCTATATTCACTCCTCTCCGTGTTTGGCCGTTTCGCATCCCAACAATTTTGGGCTTAGGTCACTCTGCGCACACTGATGGTTGAAGCAGATTGTCACAAATGGCTCATCAGCCAATTTCAGGATTTACTGGTCTGGCCTGATGAAAGAGAAGCAGCTGGTATGTACTCCTATGCTACATGTTTCACATGATTGATTTATGTCTTGCAGGATTATGATCCCGACACGCTGAAGCTGGTAATGAACTCAACTAAATGTGCACTCATCCTGATACAGCTGTTTACATTTTTTTTCTCAGGTCAAGGACAATATATGGAATGGCAATACAGTCAACATCATCAGCAAGATCTCTTCCGGCAGCCTATACTACTTGGCATCCACCATGGGTGCAGTGGTTGACATCAGGTGGGTTGCTGGCGAGGACCAGGTGGACAGACTGCAGCAGGTAGTATAGTTATGTATATTTCATTTTTGCGGTGTCATTCGTTTGTTCTCACAATGTATATTAGCGTCGTTTTCATGCGATTTCCGTAGTTTCATTGTGCAATACGACTACATTTAAGAATCTACGATAGTCGACGGAAATATCATATGCGAGAATCGGTGCGAAATCGTGAGATCTCCGTCGAACAGCGTCGCTAGAAAATCAACTATAAGTCCCATTCTCTATGCTCATCTACGGAAATCTTACGTCTGTGGCTCATCAATATTTCGGCCGTTTTCCGTCGATATGGTGAGGTCCGGTTCTCACTGGGCCTGAGGTCTAACGATGATTTACAAAACATCCTAGCTCCCTAGACACTCCAACGAAACAAGTTACTTGGAGAAGTATGGGCTGTAAGTTGTCCCGGAGGTAAATCCTCCGGGACTCGTACCGCGCGGACACTCTTCTATTCTTATCGCCAACAAGACACTCCTAACTGTAAGTCACCTCATGTTATTATGCCCCTTTTGCCACTGTAAACACCTGAAGCTTGACGTATATAGTTCCTGCTCATTAGCCGGGAAGTACGGACATGATCTATCACCTAAGTCGGGATATCTTCGAATTTCCAACAGTGATCAGAGAATATGAAATGCCATTCTGGGCGGAGAACAAGCACATGTCAATTGGTGGTGGGTGGCCTCGGGCTTCCTTTTTTTCAACCTTCCGGTCCGAAGTTGGAATATCTAAATTGTATCACCTGCCCGTCAAAGGATAATGTGACAATATTCACTCTTTAAAAACAAGTCATACTACACAGGTCGGTCATAAAGCTGCAAAACTAGACAGATGAATATTTGAATACTCAGTCCCAGTGAAAATCGGTCCTAGCGATATCTACGGCAAACGACGATGATATAAAATATATGCCAGGAATATTGTAATAACTACGCAAATCGATAAATGTAAACAATATGTCAACAACGCTCGATCAATTATCAAATGGGTTTCAAATACACATTTGACAATGCGCTCAGTAAATGTTGAACATGTTGAAATTCTTTCAACTTTGACTTGACTTTGCTCAATATTTCAACGTTTGAACATTCTTGCGCATCAGCTGCGCATGCACCATCACTTCACGCAATGACGTCAATATGCAGCAGACCAATATTGGGACATTCCATCCCTACTCGCTTCATCTCAGCTTTCTTCTTCCCCTCCATCATCTCGTCTTCCTCTCAGCAAAACCTTGCTGTTGACCTCAACCATCCTGGCATCATCTGACACATAACTTTCTCATGGCCACTAACAAGATAAGTATTAGGCTTTTTCATGGCTCAATCCATTTGCTGATCCCACCCACTTGACCGTCGGCCGTTCTTGTGACAAGTAAGTGCTATTCTATGGAAAGCGGGAGTGATCAGCTTCGTAACAGCTTCGCTAAGCGTGTTTGTTTGGCTTTTACCTGTCAGACCCCCAACCACTGCTTGAGAGAGACTTAATATTAATGTTTCTAGTGATATATTCAAGATGTATTGCTTGTCAAATTATGAGTCCTCCAATGGTTACAGATAGTAAATCAGGTGCTGATCGTACCTTAATGCAATGACAGCGCAATCTGTGACGGAATTCAAAACAACTCGAACGTTCAAGTTGACGAGTGCAGGATTGTGCTCCCAACATTATGACTGATCGTTCTCGGTGCACCAACCAGCATAAGCCATGTCGTGAGTGTTAAGCCTGAATCACTGCCAGTTTCACTTATTTTTGAGCGAGCATAGCTCCTGCCAGGGAAATACAAGATCCGGCTCAGTTTTATTTCAAGCTCAACATGAGTGATGTTGACATCGTGCACCACCTCAAAGATCATTATGACCAGGAGGAATATGGACTCAGGTTCGTATCTTACATATGTCCAGTGCAACTACTTCAACTAATTTATCATGCTAGCGTTGTCAGCTTTCGTCGGATGCGAAATAGCTGGGGCTGGAAACGGACCAGGCAACAACAACATACTCTCAAGTCCATCGAACAGCATGTCCGGGAGATTCGACAACGATTTCCCCACCGAGGTGCCGAGGCCATCAGACGAGACCTGCGCCAGCAGTTCAGCTTTCACGTACCCCGGTGAGTTGCTGTCTACTTGCTAGTACTGTTCACTATAAATTAATGTTTGAACAGCGAACTGATCGCCAAGCTTCTCAAGATCACAGAGCCAACTGCTGTGGAAGCTAGGCGTCGTGGACTTCTCAAACGGAGGCGTTTTTGGTGTGCGGGGGTTAATGATGTCTGGCCCCAAGACCAGCACGACAAATGGCTGCACTTTGGGCTATGGCTGCATATCAGCCTCGATCCATTCACCAGCTGGATTAATTGGCTGAAAGTTTGGTGGACCAACAAGAATCCACGCCTTATTGCTAAATACTACCTTGACTGTTGCCGAAAACTCGGAGGTATGTCACCAAGCCCCTCACATTGATCGGACATTGATCATGTCAATTTTTTTGTGATCTCAGCTGTACCTTTGATCACTCAGAGCGATCCAGGCTCCGAAAATTTTGCTGTTGCCAATGCACAAACAATGATTCGGCACCGCCTAGATCCAGCACTCAACGGAACACTTCAGCACCGCTGGATGCGAAAGCACCAGAACATCAAGCCCGAAATCATGTGGTCTGTGCTTCGCAGGGACTTTGCTCCAGGTTTTGAGAATATCCTGGAGGAAGGTGTCACTAGGGGACTATATGACATTCACAACACTCTGCAAAAGTATGCATCACTTCCTTGCATATGTATTCACTGACAATCTCCATCTACTATCTAGCTACGTGTTCCGCTGGCTTGCAATTCCATGGCTCCAGGCTGAGCTTGATGCATGGGCTCATCGTAGAAACCATAACGCTCCCCGCAGGGACAAAAATAAGATTCTTCCTCACGGCATTCCAGCAATCATTCGTGCGAAACCTCACGAATTCAATTCACTTGACTTCAAAGTATGTCATCCATGACTGCAGCTCAACACTACTTACTCTTCTCAAGGTTCCAGTGCCAAGTGCGCTCTTTGACGAGGTTGAAGCAATTTATGCTCCCTCTGATCATCCTGTCTTCGATCTTGTCCCACCTTCATTCGAGCAACGCGCACAATACCTCTATACCTCACTCGGCAAACCGCAAGTATCGTCGGATTCATTCTGGAATGTGTATCAGATGTTACTGGCGCAGTTCCTTGCAATTGAAGGTGAAGATGACCTGACAGTCCTGCTTTCACAGGGAGTTATGGAACCTGAAGATGATGATGTTCTATTGCTTCCGAGCTTGCAGGACCTCCCTCAAAATGCTGGCTTAGTAGGACCTGCTGGCTATCAGTATATGGGAGGCATGGTGAACCCGCCAACACAAGCACTTCACGGTGTTCAGGACTGGGGATCACAAGGGGAGGATCAGGATGATGAAGATCAACCAGAGTTCGCAGAGTTCACGGATTCTGAGTCCGAGTCTGACAGTGGAAGGGACTGTAGCAGAAATGCCTAGATATACTTTTGGTAATACATTAAGGTTGTCAGCATCTCTCCACTGTAGTGCTGCCGCTGTCGAGGTGAGTCCAACTCGAGCTAAATCTCCCACGGAAGCTTTAAACTCCGCTGGGAGTGGTGTCCTAGACTGGCGAAAAGACTTAGTACCATCTATGTACGTGTATGAATGTACAACTTGTTCAGCTTCGAACTGGAGGCGATACATACAGTGCGGCTTGGAAGCTGGCACGGACGCCAATGGTTCGGGAGTAGCAAGTTGTACTAGTACTGTGAGACGTACAAGTTCTCCAACTTGCCCCCCCCCAAAATTCGTGCAGGTGCAAACTCCCAACCCTAACCCTAAGCTTGATGGCCCGGTTGAATCATTGGTAAGTCCATCACGCTCTTGTTCCTTCATTCACTCCTTTTCGTTATTTATTCATCACACTAACAGACACTTCACCCCAGCCGAAGCTCTCACTCATTGGACCATTCGTGCGACCCTTTGCGAAACTCGCACAGGAACTTGCACCACCGTCAACGCCTCCGCGCTCAGCAGTACTCGCTGCAGCCACCATGCCAACTCTTCTGGCACCCATTTCAGCACACGCGTCACCCATCTTGACGCCATCAGACACGCTAACGTGTGTCCCCAGCCAGCACCCATCACCACCACCATGCGAACCACCAAACACCACGTCACTGGCACCTTCTGTCGCGCCCTCGCCATTCAAACCACCATCGCCGGTACTATGCGCGAACGCCCAGCACACGTCAGCGAATGCTGATGTGGCTCGAATGGACGCGGACAACGAATGGACGCAAGAGGAACGAGTACGGCAAGGAGATGAAGAGAAGGGAGGAGGAGAAAGGAGGAATGAGGAGAGAAGAGGAAAATGAGCAGCAGGAGGAAGTGGAAGCAAGACGATTCATTGAGGAGGTAAGCAGCCTCATACCGGGCCTCGCCATAGCGTCACCACCCGCCCATACTGGCGCCCACTACTTCACCAGTGCTTGCCATAGAACGGCCCAGCACGTCACCACCCGCCCATACTGGCGCCCACTACTTTGCCAGCGCCAACGCCTACACCACCGGCTTCTACCAGCATCAGGTCACCCGCCCCAACCACGCCATCAGCATCCGCGCCAGCTCCACGCAGTCCCAGCCTTCACAGACACAAGGCATTCAGCACCGGTACTCGCCAGCAAACGCCAATGGTACGGACACGCGAGTGCGCAGTTCGTTTCTTGCAGGACTATCTTCCCAAATTTGTGGACACGCATGCACCTGCTGTCCTAGCTGCTGTCAATGCCGACATGCAAGATATCATCGACGCTCTCGATTCGCTCGTCCAAGCCATTTCCCGACAAGCTCACGTCATGATTGCTCAAACTAATGCGCTTATCCAGTATTCAACAGTGCAGTTTGAGCAAAGAGCTCCGGAATTTGAGGCAATCGTGGATGCTTTTAACGCCCGTAATGAGCATGCACAGCATCGTGCAAAGGAGCTCAAGGATAACGGGGCGAAATGGCTTCATGAAGCTGGGGAAGCTCTAATGCACCGTGCTTCACGTGCGAGAGGGAGATCACTCAGGACATGGAGCAGATCTGGGCTGAGTCGAGAGGGTTTCTAAGATGCGTGGCGCACAGAGGCGCGGGCCGAGGAGGGGTTGTAATAATGCGAAGAATTGTAGGGGGGGTTGTTCAAAGAAGTGGTGTGCCGACCGTGTGTCTACGACAAGAATGCCAAAGTAACTAGTCTTTTGAAATATCATCGCGAGTTCCCAGAACCATGCTCTTTTCACCAAAGTCATCACTTTTGTCATCAGACTCTGAGTCTCTCTCGCTGTCAGCAACTTCTTCTGGTGTCTTATGGAACAATGGGGGTATTGGACGAGACCAGTCCCATGGCAATTTGAAAAATTCGCAAAACATGTTGCACCAATGTTTCTCCACAAAAGATGAAAATGCAGATGCCAAGTTGCCATCTGCGAACAGGTGTCCGGAAAGATCACTGATAATTGCTGTCAGCCGCTCATTGATAAGGATAGTAGTAGGGATGTAGATTTACGGAGAAGTCATAATTTGAGGATCAGTTAAAAGATTCCTTCCACCTGTCAAGAACGAATAAGCTATGTGTAGATATCCAAAATAAAGACGAGCCTTGAAAATCTGCAACGTAAGCAAGTTTCTTGGTCTTGATGTATTGGACATGTTGTGCAAATGACAGGTACTGGGCAATTTCACTTGAATTTGCATCAAGGTGTGGCAGTGGGGAAGGCGAGTCGTTGGATATATACTTGGTGAATTTCCCTTGCGTGGACTCGTCAATGAACTCTTCAATTAGATATGTTTTGGTAACACCAGCGTCCTCGATAGTGGCAAGAGCAATATGCACGAAGCGGATATTTGGAATCTTGAAGGGAGGTGTGCTGCGAGTCACTAGTTCCGTGGCAATATATTGCTGAACCTGGTCCATGAGTGCTCCTGCCCATATGCTGCATCTAATCTCTGGCTGCAGCAGCTGTAGTTGCTGAGAATCGGGATAAGGAAACCGCTTGGATTTGTCGGTCTGGTAGTAGCACTGCTTTAAGCAGATGCGAGTTGAATCAGATCCAGACGGTCCAAGGATAGCTTTGTCTAGAAAGCCGAATTGTGCTGCTTTGAATGCTCCATACTTCGGTTTGCTTCGTGGATCGAAAAAAAGAGTAGCCTGCATTGGGGGGGCAGTAGTATTTGTTATGTCAGAAGTGGTTGGATCAGTAATCAGAGCAGATAGTGATATGGGGGGGATTATCCGCAGTAGTGCCTTGAACGTGCGAAGAGTGAGAAAGGGTAAGTTTGGTTGGGATATGGGAATAGCTTGCGCTTGAAGTGCACGGCGAAGTGCACTAACATCCGGAGATACTGCAGCATCCAAAGTCCGAGGCTTTTGAGGGGGCGTGGATGGGACAGGAGGCTGTGTGTGATGCTAATGAGCATAAGGCTGGTACTAGAGTTCGAAAGAATGACTGACCGATGATAATTTGCGCTTGACAGGGTGAGGCGAACATTGGACGCCATTTTGCAAATTTTTTGATGGGGACACCGCAGATAGTACTAATGCAGGACTTGAAAGATGTTGGATGTCAGATGAACTTGCCGCTGTTGCGTGAGGTGTATCCTGGTTGATGTATGCTGTCAGTCATGTAAGGTACCAATAGTCCATGTCGAAAACGAACATCGCGAGACTTGGACTCAGCTACTTCCTCACCATTTCACCTTTGCTCAGCGGCAAGGAACTTTGTATGTGGAATAATGAGGTGAAGTTCGATCCCCTTGCCAGCGTTGAACTGCTGCTTCGTGTTCCTGGTCTTGAGGAAGTGGGATGCTATGGCATTGATGTCTTCTCCAGATGGACGGGGAAGAATCTCCTCGAAACTACTAACAAGACGCAAACGTGCCTCTTCAAACGTAAAAGTAAGACCCATGGACCACTTGATGAACATGGGAAGTAGGGTGAGGTACACCGAAGTTTTAAGGTCATTGGCACCAATACGGTAAGGGATGTTGCTGATCGACTCGACTATATCCTATAGAAGATTCAGTGAAGTCGGTGAAGTTGAATTTGGAATTGTAGAGAGCAACACTTACAGATATTAGAGTTGGTTTTTTAGCCCGTGGAATCATCACTGCAAGGTATGCCTTGACGCATACCACTTCGGGAACACTCGAAGCATAGGCCTGTCGAGCAAGCCGGTCTCGCATCTCTTCATAAATTTTATGTGCATCTTGATAACCAGGCTTGAGTGGCAGAGTTCGAAGAAGGTCTGAGTACACAATAAACTGAGGGTCCCGACCATAAATAGATATGTTGGGCCCTAATGGATTTGCACGGTGGATGTCTGAGGGGCCAGGAGCTGCAGGCCAGTTGGGTAAAGGAACAAATTGATGATTTGCTGAGGCGCGCCTCGGGTGAACAGGACCTGGGATGAATGCAGGTGGAGGCATCCCACATGATATACTAAGCCCCACTGCACGAACAGGAAGTTGGGATTCTACAAAAATAAATGAAGGTTTGTATTCAATATAAAATGCAACTGTACTGGGCGACTCACTTCCACGCTGCGCCTCTGCAGTCTGCTTGTGAACTGCAGCACCATCATATTCAGACTGGCCGAAACCGTGCTTCGAGGTATTTGGAATTACTAAAGAAAATTATTGTCAGACTGTAATGTGACAAAGTCTGCACACCGAGCAATTATTTTACCTGCATCACTTATTTTCTTGGTAGTGAACTTGGAGCGCTGGTATCGGCTGCATTTTTCACAAAGCCATTTACCGGGCTTGCTCGGATCTTTGTGCTCAATATAGGTGATAGCAGGTACAGTGCCAGGATGACCGCTAAAACAGTTGGCATACTCGCAATAGTGCTGGTCAGCATTTGTGGTGAACTCTGCAGCATACATGATGATGGTGGATTTTTGGGGGGTTTGGATTTAAATTTCTGAACCGTCAGATTCAAATATTAGTGCTACTAGAGGCTCGTCGAAGCAAGCAAGGGCCTTTGATATCACCATTTGATGCAAGTCTATGTGCGAGTGATGATTTCTCATGTCAAATTTGCAAGGCAAGAGATCTTAGGCACCACATCAATACAATGTCTTAACCTCATTCTGTACGCACAGCCACATTTATGAGTGTAGTCGGTAAATCCTTCATCGCGTTCAGTGGGTGATTGGGGGTCTGGCAGGAGAAGAGCCAAACAAATGCCTTTTTAGTCCAGCTGATCACTCTCGCCGAAGCTGATCACTCCCGCTTTCCATACTATTCACGGTGCATATATGCACATATTTTGAACATTGTGAGTTATTTGGCATTGTCAGGTTCATTCACTGACTGTTTTACATCATCGCTAGCTCAATACCATTGTCCCGATGATCGACACATCCAGCGGCTTCAACAGATACACCGTTACAAGACAGTCAATTGGTGAGTTCCATTAAAAGCTACCTAATGTACTTTAACTGATATCTATTGCTGTAGAACGAGGCAGCTGCCATCATTGTAAGTACTGTCTACTTGCCTGGCAAGTATATTCTGACAATGATTTGTTTCGGTCAAGGACTCCCATGTGCCAGAAGCTAGTGGACTACATCATCCTGATGCGCGGGTGGGGGTGCTATGGTATATAGAGTATTGTATTTGTAATTTTTCATAATACAATTATTTTTGGTCGATTTGCGTTGATGAGCAAATATGCACAAGTCAATTGGGAACTACGGGAATATACTAGAATCTATGGTACACAAATACAATCGATGATACAATATCTCGCTCGATGCGAGTCGCTAAACATCGACTATAAGTCTCATTTTTCTCCGGAAATCGACGTGAATATTGTCACAATATTTCCGTCGTTTTCCGGAGATATGGCTAGGACCGTTTCTCACTGGGACTCAGTACTCAACGACCACGACCATGCCTCTGAGTGGTCAAGTAACCGCAGGGCGAGACATTCCTGCTCCAGGCTGTGACAGACTAACTATCGTTCTCGAATCAACTTGTCCGTGCTGAATGCTAAAATACTGCGTTAATGAATGAATTGTGAATGAATTGATTGAGTTCACCCTGGAGGAGGCAGGGCAACTGCATCAAGAACATTTTCGTCCTCGAGTTGGTCATCATAGACTGGCAGTGGTTGCACCTTCTTCTCTCTTTTCTGGAACCAGCTGAGGCAAAAGAAGAGGACAAACGGTCGTTCTCCGTTGTCCACACCAACAACATCAGCCTAGCGAATGAAGTGGTCAAACTCACGAAGCCAACAGTATTGTAGAGAAAAAACATAGGTAGCTTGTCCGAGAGCAACATCAATACCTTGCGCAGTTTTTCGATCGGGTTCACGCGCCTTTTTCTTCCCATTGTCTGATAACGACAGAATGGGATTGAAAACGGCCCTGCCACCGGGTAAGGTGGATAATAGATGTTGGATAATGCATACACTGGCATCAGCAAGGACCCCAGAGCTTGATGGTGTTGTCAAAGGAAGCGCTAGCAAGACGAGCATGGTCAAACGAAAGTGCTATGCTGGTGACAAGTTTGATGTACATGTCTGTAAGAGAATGTCAGCATAGGAACCATAGATGTTTGCGGGGAATACATACACTGGCATGAGCAAGGACGTCGGGTGGAGTATCACGGATGCAGATCTTGTAATCATCTTTGGTGTTTGTCGTGTAAGCTAGCCATGGCGTGAGTTGGGTGAGACGACAAGGGCGCTAGGTCTCTGAACGTTGAAGGAAGCAAGAAGTTGGCGTGACTCGTAATCCCAAATCTTGATGGTGTTGTCGAAACGCTAACAAGGAGAGCATGGTCAAATGCATAAAGTGCTAGGCCTGTGATAAGTTCGGTGTGCCCTTCGAAGGGAGCTCTGACAGTCTCCAGCGTCGATGCATCGAATTGGTAGATTGTCCTGCCGTCGTCATTTACGGTGAGCGGCTATGATGTGTTTGTTTTTGTTTGTCCAAAACGCTGGCGCATATGTGATTACTTATTCCATTACCGTAATACAAGAGTTCCCAATATTTCCTGACATCCAATTTCTGTGTGTTGACACTCCAGACTTCAAGGCACCTCCCAACCAACGATTTGACTGCGACTCCTTCTTCGAGTCTGTTGAGAATAGAACTGCGCCCACTGCATCGATGCTCTTAAATGGACCAGCTACGAGTTTACCAGTGTCCAGGTTCCATATTTGTTTCATCTTCTGATCCACTCGCCAGCAACTTGCTATCCGCACAGATATCAATGCAAAAGATCCTCCGTGAGTGTCCTTTGAATGTTTTCATGATCCCAGTCCCAACCTCATAGACTTTCAGCTCAGCATTATTCTACTCTCCACCACCAGTGACAACCCATCGGCCATCCCTTCATACTGCCACTGCCCCTACCTCGGCCTCACAGACATCTGCGCTTTCTCTATCTCCTTAATTGCCTTCAAATCCCATTTCAGAGCGGCCTTATCATCAGATTCGCTGATAATTCTCTGGCTATCTGGGAAGTAGGATACGGACGGATCGAATCAAGTTTCCATGGCCTTTCAAGGTCATTGACGATGTCGGAATCGATTTCGTAGAGGCTGCATTCGTCGACGCACAAGCCATGGTTGCGTCTCCATCAGCGAAACCGTGAAGTAGTCAAGTACAGCAAGGTATTCTTTGGAAGCGTTGAAAGGTGCAAAGGTGAGGTCTCCCAGTACCGCGTCAGTGTGCTGTATAACTGACGTTGTTAGCAATTCGACGATGGGACTCCTAGTAAAGCCAAACGTCGGTCCATCCGCACTGGAGATACAAATGAGAACTTGATGTTACCGAGAAGTTCCGGATAACAGCGATGAATGGAAAGAACGATGAATTCTTGAATGTGAGTGCAACTATTAGCCTTGAGCAGTGCCTTGCGTATATATACACCAATACGCCCTCTCTCCATGACGGCTGTGTATTATGCCCTGCATCCTTCTATTTGCCACAGTTACTTCTCCTCACTTCTCGACTCACAGCCATGGCCTTAGGCCTACACTACTATAGCGTCAATCGAGTATACGCACACGCAATGTTGCAGACACATGTATGTTCCAGCGCCCATTTTGTTCGTCCCTAGGCCTGACCACGCGCCAACCACATTACGAATACAAAGTCACTTCGAACTGATTGATTGACCTTTGAACAATCGATTCAAGGTCAATATTACTATACGTACTGGTATGTGTGTCGAACATCGGAAGCTTGGAGCATAGAACTGCAACGTCTAAAATACTGTCAACAACATTTGATATCTCACTACTTGTAAGTACCAGAATCTGACATCCATCACCCCAACAAATCACAAGGTATCCAGCGCGCAGTCGAGGCCAAGACGGTAAGTTAGATAGATACCAGGGAGAAGTGTGAAAGAGAACAGCGGCATGAGCAAGTCTATGCATCGATAACAGCGACTGGTACCCTGCCGCAGGTTGTCAAAAGTTGGTGGCTGGAGACGCGACTGTGTGAGAGGGAAGTTTTGAAACTCGTCATTAGTACCGCAAGACAAAGGAAGTGCGAACTGAGTGTCCTATGAATAGGGACAATATCCTATACTCCGGGTCTCAAGTCAGCCTGCTTGAGTCAGTATGAGATAGAGATGAGAAACAGGTTGACGTGAACGCTCACAACTTTGAAGCAGACAAAATACGGCACCATATTGTGTCTGGTTCAAAGTTGGATTATGTGAGAAGGGAGCTAGACACGAAGTAAATCTCAGCGGACGGTGAAGCAACGCTGAGGTGGACTGCGTACGAGAAAGAGATTAAGTTACAGTACGAAAGGTCGACAAGTCCGAGACGGAGAGAAGCGACTGATACACGAGGATGATATAAGATGGAGTCGATAATAAGGATCAAGAAAGGAAAAAGGAACACGTAAAGTGTCCCGGAGGTAAATCCTCCGGGACTCGTACCGTGCGGACACACCCTTCTATTGGACTCTCACTTGTCTCCCTAAAGGCAGTCCACACGGGAAGCATCGAACACTATATCCTTCACGAAACTCTTGTACAGCTTCTCAAGAAGCTACAGTTCTCGGCGCTTCGTGCCAATATGCGCATGTGCATGAAAGAAGGTCGAGAGGTTTGATGAGATTCATGCAGCCGGTGAAGATGTTGTGACTGCGAATGTGGGTAATGGGTAGACGGGAGTAGTTGCGGATGAGTGATATGGTCTTGGAGGGGGGGAGTGTGGTAGCGTAGAATGTGGAGGGTCGAGGAGAAGCAGCTGTGTGTGTATATGAAGCTAGTCAGTAAGTATATAAGCCCCATAGTTGAACGATACTTTTGATCATGGTAATGCGAAGGGCGCAGTGTTGAGGAGTATTGGAACTGGCCTGAATGCCAATGTGAACGCGCAGACTCAACTTGAATGTTAATATTGGAATACCAGCCTCTACCTCAGTCCAACTCCCTTGTCTACATTCGACACGCTTGCATTCAAGGAAATTCTCGACAATGTTCGCGTCTGAATCCCAAAACAGCTATATATTGTAGGAACGACATGGGATGAGCTATAAAAAAAAGGCCACGAAAGATGAGTTATAGGGAGTTTCACGAGTTGGGTGGACGCGCTTGGGCTACCTTATCTAGCCCGGCATCTATTCTAGGCCATCCTTCTTTCATCCAAGAAGGTATTTTTGGCGCGCACTACGTCATCAAAGCATGACTGACTCCGTCCCACCCAATGCAACGCCGAATCAAAATCGAAATGCTTACCGTGCTCCCGCATTACGTGCAACACCTGGGCCAAGCGCGTCAACATCAATGCTCAGGTGATCAACGTAGCCGAAACCACGCTGCAGATGCCTACATCACCGAGTCAGCAGCTGCGCCCGTCCCTATGAAAAACTCAACGCACCAATCAACTTCGGAGACACCACAGGGTTCACTTCCGAGATATAGCCTTGTCAGTGTCCACCGTTTACACGATGTTCACCGTCGCGAGGCGAAATTCGAGGAACGGGTACCAATCCGCCTACAAGATCAGCCCCAGACTAGGAATGAAGATAGACATTGAATATCTCGTACCCCAATGAGGTAAAAGTGCGTGAGTGTAAAGATAGCAGGACCCTTTGTAAGGTAAGACGGTATGGTCACAGTGAAGTTCCAGTAGTAACCATAAGCATAAGGAGGCTCTCAGGTGTCCAAGGGCCTGCATAGAGATAAGATCCTAAACCGTCTGCAGGGTCGGGGCATGAACCGTTCTCGCAGTCATCGATTCGCCAACCTGAACGGTAGATGCTATGGATTCCTAGGATAGAAGTTGTCAGAGTGATGCCTGATACTGAGAAGCAAACAAACCACCAACCGGTTGAATAACCTCGCGGTCACTTCCTGACCAAGGCAGAAGTTGTCCCCGTTCTGAGGGAGGCCTAGTTCGATCGTCTAAGCCAAGGTAGCGGATATCCAATCCGTTTTAATGCAGAGCCAGATGCCAAGAGTCGACGAATAAAGTAGAGCAACAGTGAGACCACCCCAAAGCCCTGCGAGTTGCATGTCTTGCTTGAAGGCAAGCCACAATCCAAGGGGAATCCCTGCAGCAAAGACAGCTATGCACTTGAAGAGCATGTTAACGAGAAGTTGACTGCGAGGGTTTTCAAAGGGGATTCTAGGTTTTGCTCGTATGGCAAATAAGGTGGGTAATTTTGTACCTAAGGTGGCATTGTCTACAGCGGAATTGAGTTTCAAATGATGCGTGCATTGCGTCACGCATTGGATCATTGGACAACTTGAGGGATAACAGTAACCAGAGTGAGCGTAAATGTTTAATATATGTGTGCCGGGACCTAGGTTGGTCAGGGTCCGAGCCTGTTGTGGTAGAATTCAATTCCGTATAACTGAATTTGTGATAAGTTCACCTACTAGAATGTACAGCGTAGTCGGATGTATTGGACCTGGCATGGCCTGAAATCCAGATAGTCAACGCCAAGGATATTGAGTACGGCCCTTTAGGCCTGTCATTCTAGCTATAAGTGAACAGAACACAAATTCAGCCACTGTGCGAGATTGAATTCTACCGCAATAGCATCAGATCCTGACTAACCTAGGTACCCGCGTGCTCTGATGCTAATTCTTAAGCTGAAGGAGTAGCCTCTCGGAAGATTGATCCATCATACGATGTCGCCTACACCGTTCAAGTGGTCGTGTCGGTCAGAGCAGCAGAAAAAGCTGGCCGCCGGGTGTTTCCAAATTGGGAAACCCGGGCCTGGGCCCTCGACCTCAAAGGCCGCATCACTAGTACGGCCGCAAAGCGCACCTTTGTAATTAAACGAAAGAGGGCGGATCTAATTCTCGTTACTGCCGCAGCAGAATCGTACAACAGCAGCATTAATGACGAAGTGAATTACTATCATGATGCTCACTCCACTCTGTCTGGACTCAGCATACAGGAAGAGACGCAGAGACATGCCAAACACAACCATCAATAGAGATCCCAAGCGTAAGCACTCAAAGATTTCATGGGGATCGAAGAACGTAATATCGATATTACTGTGGTGAATAGAAACTTAATCTTAATTGACTCAAACCTCAAAGGCAGACTGAGTACAGCCTAGCTCATACCTTTCCGAATTCGCCCCATGACGTACTTTGTACGAGTTCAGCAAGACCGGCTTGTAGTTAGCATGCATCATAGGTTGTATGTCATAATCATAATATATAGTAAGGGTGAAGCTGCAACGATTCAAAATACCTAGAAAAAAAACAAATAATGTAACATATCATACAATGACTCACCCAGAGCCTAGGTGAAGTTGTAAGTTTCATCAAGATGGTTGATACAATATTCAAGCAACTCTTCCGATGTCATATTGTCCATTGGGTGAACACCACTCTTTTCCGGGCTGTCGGTAGACTCTTCCAACTGCTCGTCCGAAGCCGAATCGACAGTTTCTTCAAGACTCTTCTCCAGGCTGTCGGTAAACTCGTCCAACTGCTCGTCCGAAGCTGAATCGACAATTCCATAAAGATCATCGTCAAGCGAGCCCGAAGCCAAATCGATGGCTTCTTCAGGATTGTTGACAGACTCTTCGATCTGCTCGCCAGAAACTGGTTCACAAGCTGCTTCAATGTCGAAAAAGTCGTTGAACCCCTCGTCCCAACCCGAATCCGTAGTCTCGTCAAGACCGTTGTCGGACTTTTCCAACGACTCGCTCGAAGTCAAATCGGTAGTGTCTTCGAAACTGTTAGAAACAAATTTAAACGGCTCGTTCGAAGTCAAACCTTTGCAAGTTCCTTGAGATATCCCGTAAGTCTCTTGCTGGTCGTTGGAACAAGAGTCGCCTGTTCTCGAAAAGTCCCCGTCATTTACACTAGCAAAGATTCATATATCAGCTCCAAAGTCACATTTAAAGGCCTCGTAGTACTTACGCCTCGACATACTCTAGGGATGGGGACCGAGACCTGACCTGCGGGTGCCTCTTCCACTTGATATGATCTTCTATGCCAGCGCGTGGCACTGCAGGCACGTTTTCGCATGGCGACAGGCAGCACTTGTAACGGACCTCACCGTTGTTTTGTACCAGTTCCTGATGAAAAAATAGTCAGCATGATAATTAGAAATAAATACAAAATGGACTCACGAAATCGGGGTAGTCAACAAGGGGGTGGATCGTTTGCTTCTTTCGTGGGGGAGCCTCATCGTCATCCAAGTCCACCGCCTTGCGCTTTCCGCGCTTGACAGCGCTCTCCTCAGCGTCAGCTACTGGTGCTTGTTCCTCCGGTCCTTGCTCCAAATGCGTGTGGTGGGAAGGTTGTGCCGAGGGGGATGCGGAAGGATGTTGAAGCGGCGCAGCCGCTGGCGGTACACCCATACCCTGGAAGGCGGGGGGATACCCACCCAAATGGTGTGGATGAGGGGGAGGGGGAGGGGGAGGGGGAGGGACTAGGTTTGGCGGTCCGGGGACTTGGCCAGTTGCATGTAAATATTGTTGATAACAATATACGTAGACCTCCGGGGGGTAAGGCCTGAACCGCGAGGGCACAAGTGGAGGCCGGGGCATCATTAGGGGGTATGGATGAAACCCAGGTTGAGGCGGGCCTGGGACTGGGACTGGCATTTGGCCCGTTTGAGCCTGCTGGTACATTTGGGGGTAAGGATGTTGAGGCGGGCCTTGGACTGGCATTTGGCCCGTTTGAATCTGTTCCTGGTACATATTTAATTATCTAGAATAGTTGAGATGAAGTGTGTATGGCGTAATGCTCCAGCCTGTGGCAGGACAAGGTGAGCGACAGAAGGTGAAGTACGTATACAAGAGTAACTCACAGTACACAAGTTAGATGGTAGATGCGGAAGGCAAAATGCGATGGATGTTGAACAGGAGGAAAGAAATGCAAGTTGCAGTATTTTAACTGTTGAAGCAACCACTGCTGGCGGATGAATCCGTTGCGCTTAGTCTTAACGCGTCCCTTTGTTGCGTTGTGGTCAACAAATTGTTATCCCGGGCCAAGCAACACAGATGCAAAGCAATGCATCCACTGACCTTGATTCCGACAATAGTATAACACCCGGGCCACCCGGATATTCCCCGACGCGACTGTGGATATGTTTAAATGCGTATTTATTCATAATCGTTGAACACGGTACGTTAAATATTATTGAATCGAGGGTATTCTCCCTTTGACTGAGTATGTTCTTCGTGTATGCGCTCCAGACGTTATCGACAGACTTGATATTGCCATCTGAAATTGTATATTCAAAATCCATTAATATAAACACATCGGACAGCAAGCCATAGTTATTAATACTAACGATGTAGGTATATGGCCAACCACCGATAGAAGGCCGCGTCTCAGGGCTGTCGGGCACACTCCACCAGGACATTGAATGCGAATTCCACACCTTAGAAACTCATGCAACCACTCTCTCCTCTCACGAAATAATGGGTCCTTCAGTGAGCACCTCGCGTTACAGTCTCGCGTATGCTCACCACATCCACAAGTTATCTGCGTCCGAGGAACATGTCAGACGTCAAGGGACTATGTGAGCGAAAGTAATAGACGTACCGTTAAGTCAGATACGCCAGTCTCATGGATCGCCTCACAGATGTCCTGTAAGGCCACCACGCACCTGCGGGATTTTGGTGAGTGCTGATTATTAACTTCACATTCTATTTCACTTGGAATAGATCGACGTGGGAAGACATCGTCTACCCGTCGTGGACATTCTTACAACAGACCGAAGTCTTTGTAATTTCAAGTCCCAATGGAACGGGATAAACGATCTGCATAAGCCAACGTGCTGTGCCCGCGTGTAGTGAGTGTCAGCAGTATCAGACTCAGTACGTGGTGAATAATCGTGACCTTCAAAACACATTTCCATCAGAAGGTATTTCGGCGCGCACTACGTCATCAAAAGCGTGCAAACACATGACTGACTCCATCCCACCCGATGCAGCACTGAGTATCAAGGATAAGAATCAAAATCAAAATCAAAATCAAAATCAAAATGCTTACTGTCCGCGTTAGGTGCAGCAGTTGGGCCGAGCGCGGCAACATCAAAGCTCAGGTGAATATGGCGATTAACATAGTCGAGTGCCATCTTGACCACCTTGCAGATGCCTACCGTCACCGAGTCAACACCTGCGCCCGTCCCTATGAAAACTCGACGCACCAATCAACCTCGGAGATACTACAAGGTTCGCTTCCGAGAATATAGCCTTGTCCACGTCCTGCAACTTGACGAAGATAAAAACCAGTTTAAACTTCGCAAGGACGGAGGCCGGGAATTGATGGAGCACGAGGGATGAAAGTTGAGGAGAAATTCAAGTGCGTTCCGTTTATATCTCCTCTGAGCGGACTGAACTATGTTTATACATCAGCATGGGCGCCTATCAGACGAACATTCTCTGCTGGACTACCACATGTGGATAGAATAGTCATTGAGCCGACTGATATCACACCTTGGGACCGCTAACACTTTTTCGAACACTTCATGTGGAATTCATAGTGGAGACGGGTGAGTTGGCAATGTTTTCAAAGTGATTTGTGCAGTGAGGGGTGAGTCGCAGTTCCGAGTCAAATGGAGCGTCCTTCTACACTTTGTCTCTTCAAACTCCGACAAATCATCCATGCTTCCATTGATACACCTCGCATCCTCATCGATAGTAATGCTTGGGATGGCCGCTCTCCGGAACTTCATTCTCATCCTGCGTTGATTCGTGCGATATATAAATATATCACTGGTCACCAGCACCCATAAGTCGTTTTCTCTATGAGTCGTCGCAACAGCTCACGTACGAGAAGTCACGGTACCCTTCAACGCTCCTGCAGAATATCTTCAAATTTCTCCGTTTCCCACATTCTATCAGATACTTCTTTCAAGTGATCATTTACTTGCCCTAGGACTGTGATCCATGTCTGTATCTCGTTCGGTGCTTTACTCTGAGTCTGATGGTCGTGCTTAGCGAGGGTTCCAATAGAATATCGCAGTCGATGCCTCATCAGTAGTTTGATAGGTACGCCTACGATTTCCTTATTCTCCCCTCATCACTCAGCAGACCCCATATCCTTGTCAGGCTCATTCGCGAGAGAGACGTACAGTCGAGTCACGAGTCTACGTGATCCATTCATTTCATTCACCGTGGCCCATCGCATGGAGGAAATCGCATCTTAGCGCTGAGCACCGCCGAGTTATCAGCTATCTGGCTTCACGATTCGCAGTATCTATATGTCCCGACAGTGCACTGGAACACCAACGCGCAGAATCAGCTGTCCAGGCACTTTTACTGATTCTCGTTGTATTTTAACATCAGTCATCAAGGACCAGTTTGGTTGCTAGTCGTTCCGGACAATTTCACCTTACCACGTAGTTCAAGCACGGGTGCTTCGTTCCAGTAGTGATACAACAAGAAATAGGTTTGCCTGGACCTTTTAAATATACTTCGAAACACAATATATATGTTGAATAAATACCACGACGGATCCTCCACCAAATTTATCCTCCCTGCAGACCACTCCGCAAGCATTTCCCTACACAGTACTGCTAGTTGATACATGTACATGCTCCTGGGAAACAATAGAATTCATGCTAGTTTCTGCGTCGGAGGATGCCACGAGTTTGGCATGATATTCTCAAACGCTAAGAATAAGGCGTGGTCCCAGCACAAACATCTGCACGACCGATAGAATTTCAAGAGTACCAACGAGTATCTGAGCTCCAATAGAATTCGAATTCTATAGAACTGATTAGCAGTGGTTACATGCAGATGTTGGCGACAGGTCAACGCACCGCGATTTCTGGAGAGAGATCAACAAGCTGGAGGCAAGAGACACCAACAAAGCTAATATGTGCAGAACTTGAGCAGAAAAATATAACCGCGTTCACATTACAAGCTCACCTTGCAAAATAAAGAACGTGAGATTGTACCAGCACTCTGAAACAGTCCCCGATGGCCGATCCTGTCGATGGGCCGAGTCGTCGCAGCTCACGGAAGTGTTTCACAGCAACCCACACTGAAAGGCACAGTGCGAGGACCTCCCAAACAGTGTTGAGTATCCAAATGATCGAAATCAGAAGCTGCTCGTCCCCTCCATATTCAACGCCGCACATATGTATACCAGAGAGTATTCTCTCCTCTGGTGTTTGTCCAATGAACCGTGTTCTTCAAGTCGACAAGTAAAGCTTACCTGCTACACCATCGTTGAGTCCTATTGCAACCATTACTCCGCAGGCGATGTTTACAGCCAGGAAGATAATAACAAGGAACATAAGCACTGCTCTAGACCCTTGATACATGGCATGCAACCGAGCAATCATGATGACTTGCATCATGTGTCAGTCAGGTCCATATCACAGAGGTATTGCACCTGGGTCACTTACCGCCCAACATGGCAGCCAAGGCCACATTTATCGCATTCGCTACGTAGAACGTTATAGCGCCTAAAGACTCCCAATTAGTGAACACCCTCGCATTAGCACCAAAGATTCCGACTTACACCTATTGAGTTATTGTGTTGAGTCAAGTTCAATGCTTGGAATCTCACTCACCCCTACATATGAGTGTAGTGATTAGATGGCAATGAGATGGTTGCAGAATACTTACTGCATCTGTCAGCGATACCGATGGCATAGTATCTGTGTCTCGCCGGTCAGAAAAATGAAATATAGCGCATATGAGACATACACAGAACATTGACACTAGTTGTCAGAGATGAGTTATTAGCACAGTGCAGATTTGTTGACCTTGACACACACAGAGAATATGGTATTCCAATATAGCGTATCTAGAATATTTTGAAGTCAGCACAAGTTGCCCACCCCACGAAAGCACAACATGAGTACGAACAATCAAATACAGCACGGTCATCAGAGACCAACGTTGTCTCTGTCATGAATTCAGTGCATGCTCTTGTTTTCTTCTGATACGGGACTCTTGTCACTCACCCAGATGAGTTCAATCTAAGACACCATTCTCAGTGAGATGGCTGCTGCGGCGATAACATCGACGTACCTCTTGTCCGAGTGTTAAGACTGGAAATATTAATGAGAACATCAGCGATTTTCGAACACTGTCCTGCTCACCCCAATCATATACTACCACGATGGCAGCAGCAACTGCACAACCGCAAGTCAACGTTGGATCCAGACATCTTGATGCGACAAACCTGTGTAATGGTTTACACCAATTATTGCACTGATATACGGCCAGTAACTGGGATCGTTTGAGACGTAGGTCATGTTCGAGGGATTGGTATGAGCGAGTGGGGAAGGTGAGTGTATAATGACAGCGTTCGTGCTAGATATACCACCGTTCGGCGTTTCTATCTCCAAAATCAGTATAATGGAGATGTATATTTGATCCTGCCTCAAGACCCTTTGATCAAGTGAAACGGTTCGAAATCAGACATAAGCCCTAGATAATCAAAGTAGAATTTGATTCACAAACCAGTATTGCGCATGCGACACTCGGACACCGGAGAAATTCCAGTGGTTAGTGATATCGCGAACTTATTTCCAATGCCATTTTCCAGTATGGAACCATGTGGCCATCGATCTAACCATGATGTGATCGCAATGAGCATCTGTGTTCTCTTAGCTTCGCTGGTCAAGCTCGAGACTTGCTGTCAGCTGATTGCTTCCTGTAACAAGGTCGCATTCTGTAGTATAGCAAAAGTCAGAGAACAAACACAACAGCGCACTCTATTCGGTGGATTCGATCGCGCACTTGATGCGACGGTGATTCATTGCACTGGCGGATACATCGTGACTCATGCTGTGTGATTGATACCTGTTAAATGTAAGACGCCATACATACTAGGTTCAAAGATAAATCGCACATGGGAGACGAGAAACCTGTAACAGGCACAAAAGCCCGATTTCTGATTGTATAGCCTCGGTCAGTGGCCATTGTGTTTCAGAGATGTTTTGTAGTGCCGAGTTGAGCAGGAGCCGGTAAATGTTGCGAGCTAAAAGTGAGGTCCATCGGATGAGCAAAGAACGCCGTACCTTCATCATGCTCAGCAGTTTCATGGACAGGCTACGAAAGTCGCATGGTAGTCTGATGCTTGTACATGCACAGCCATTGTACAAATACACCGTTGCTTCAGAATCCTGGTTCTACCTTCACGAGGTACGAACAATATTTACAAATTCGAAGTAGTCACATGTCGCAACATGCAGATAGGATCGCATGTTCACACGATGAAGTGCACGGTAATCATTCCATTCTCCATCTTCGCATGGAAATGCTCAGCCTGGACGATGCAATCGTCATAACCTAGAAGACTTCCCATAAAAATGTTGCTGTACCGTATGTCCGCCCTTTGTGTGGTTCTCCGAGCGTTTCAAATGCATAGATATGGTTAGGTGTTTCCCATGAAGAGGCGGGTCTCCATGTGTTCGCGGCCAGCGTTGAAGCTTATCTAAACTTTAATCAAAGCTTGTGGCCAACTTGCGGCGCTACCTTCGGCGTTTGCGGAGTCAAAAAATGAACCAAACCAAGCAACTGCTGTGATAGAATTGTGCTTACAGTACTTTCTGCAAGCAATGCTGTTCCAGAACTCACACGCTCTTGTTCAATGCCTCACTCGCATCGCTCATGGAAGATGAGATATTGAGAATCGACCTGCGCGTGAAGCTCGACGAACAGGCACTATGCCATCGAAGCTAGAATGAACAACTATCGTATTTGGTCTGCCTACATAGCACTCAAGTATAGGTACGAGACTGAAGTGTTACTCCTGTGACAGATCCTCCAGAGACATTCTTCCTCGGGCTCAGAAACATTCTACTACCCTTCTGGAGGCCACCCTTTTTTGAGCTCGGATACATCATAGTGAGTTTTTTCTTCTTCTATCAACTACCTTATCACAGACACGCCACTACTACTAAACGTACCTTTGAGCACCGACCATGACGCTGAAAGTCTTCCACACGATGTTTTCTCATCCTCAAGGTCTTGCTGCGTTTTTGTGGGCGTGAAACTCTTCCCTCGACCCCTCGCTCTGCGCCAGTCTTCGCGCGGCACGGGCAACGACGTGCGCAGAAATGCGATTTTTAGGTCCGAAGAATGAGGCGCAGAAGACGTGCTCCACGGTTTTGCACCACCCATCCACATACTCGGAGCGCATTTTGGAAGGTCTATCAGCTCGAAGAAACGCATCAAGACCACCATCCAACGTCTTCACACAGTTAATTTCGCTTTTGCGATGCTTCCCCTCCCTCATCCTCTTTCCTGGCGATTTTTCCATCCCTCTTATCGAACTTGCTTTCCTCTGTGCCCTTCTTCTTCAAGTGAGTCGTCGTCCTTAGCCCAACGCATGTATGATACCTTTCAGCCCTTGACCTTTAGCTAGGCTCTTGGTTCGCTCTCCTGGCGGCCATAAGGTGATTGGAATGGGTTTTTCCGTGAAGCCGTCTGCATCCATATCCTTTGTAGCAAAATTTTGGATGTACTGATGTACAGTACGTGCAGAGGCAGTTGATCGATAAACGAGGATTCAGCTATGATCGCCGAGCTATTCAAGTCCCATGGGGTGCGTATTGAAATGGGTGACATGCAAAGATGCGAACGATGGGCAGGTGGGAAACGAGGGTGTCGGTGAGTAGCAGAACATTGGCCCTTGGAGTCGACGAAGGCTAAATGTTCGTCTTCACCTTCTTCCATATCGACGTTATCGTCATCGTCCTCTGTTAGCTTGTGCTTCAGAGTCACTTTCCGCAAGCTGAAATTGCGCGCACCTCGGCATCCTTGCCTGGGCAGTATCAGAGAGAAGGTACACTTTGATGCTTCCTACGTAGTTGAATGGTGTAGCACGCTCTGGATCGAGTGAAAACTTGAATCGCACGGAACGGTTTCATCGTATGATGATGTGGTAAGGTCCGGCGCAGAGATGCCGTGAAGAAAAATGTCTAATAGCTACATGATTTCAAGTTGTAATCCACCAGAATTACAATGATTCAACAATTACTTGAAGGTTCAATCGAAAGTGTCCCCGGTAAAAGTTGTCACAGACTCGTATGAATGGTATAAGGAAAAAAACCAACTAGAACGCAGTAGATAGCATGAAAATCGTATGCCTCGTTCAATGGCATGGCTGATTGTATGCATCGCCAGCCTGACATGGATATACTTATCTGTTTAAAAAGAGAAATCAGAGCACTCCCTTAAAAAGCAAGGCAAATACCTCTTACGAGAGGGGTAACAGAGACCCAGCACCGGAACCAGCATAAATGCATTCCATCTTCACATCCGGCAGCGGGCGATCGCTTGTCCCTTTTCAAAAGTGTCAATGCAGCATCATCGTGGACATGCAAGTATCCTACCAGCATGACAGTACGGAATTCCGTCCTCCTTGTGTCCCCACCACATCACAGGCGACCACTCATCCACGAGGTTGGCGAGCGTCTGGAGGTGGCCATATGCAGCTGGTTGGGGACCGCACGGTCGGCGCAGTGCGACGAACGTAAAGAAACAGGCAAATATAAAGAGCGCAATGCATAAGTTCCAGATCTTACAGAATGTGAGCATGTCGTAACAATTTTACATACAGTAAGTACGAACCTGGGCAGTGTACATAGATACGGAAAAAATGCCTAGGGTGTCGTCAGTGGCGTATGTGCCTATGTCGAATGAAAGCCCAAACATCCAGTCTGTGATCGGTGTTCAATAACACCGAGAACAAAATACTAGGCATGAATGACTCACGCAGGAAAGGCTTTGCGATAAAAAGTATGAGACAAAGCGGATGAGTGAAAATCGGCTTCAGCGGGTTCGTCGCCACTATAAGTCCTTGCCTGCTGGTAGCGCATCTCCACTGTCTTTCGTCTCGAATGACATTCACGATGAGCTCCGAGCAATGCAGCCCCAGTGTCAACGGTCCCTGGACTCCTACAATGTTGACAAAGAGCAGAATCCACACCGCAAGTCTGCCACCCGGTAGACCATATGTGATGTAATTGCTATCATATGTTTGTAAGAACGACCACGTTTGTAGGGTCAGAGGAGTGTTGCTATAAGATACGTTGGCAAAAAGGCGGTCCCAGATATACATGACGAGTGCGGCCCATCCAGCGCATGCTGCAACAATAACCCACAGAAAAATGACAATTTTCCGGATGCTAGGGTGAGCATGCCACGCAGAGGGCTGTGTCTCTGGTGGCTTCGCTGGACCTTCATATGTGTCTATATCAGACACACGACGCATGCACCGGAATGCAGCAGGGGTCAATTGTGTGTGGTGGACGAGTGCGGCGGTCAAGTCGAAAGGTGAGGAGCTCCACGTCAGGATTTTGATAGCCCGCATCCCTGACAATGCGATAATCACCTGGAGGAGGAGTGCGACGCCCAAAATGAGGAGAGGTATTCCTGCGATGGAAATACCCTCACGTGGGGATGTTTCTAAGTTATTTTGGTTCAGACATATGACGACTGAGGCCGAGCTGTAGGATATAATGAGGAGGACAGCGGAGATACAGTTAAGCAGGGCGCCATTAGGGTTGTGCCATACACGAGCTGCGGTAAGAAGTCGCAGGTTGGTGTTGAAACGAAGCCGAGCGCAGAGCGCAATGAGATACCGTGTACGAAGCCTGTGGACTCGGTACATAACATGACGATTAAGTCAAGTATCAGTGTCAATATTTCCGCCTGCAGCGTCAATGCAGTAATCTCCTGAGGACCGACCATGTTGAGCGGGGTTACTCCCATGATTCTGTGATTGGCTATAGTGACAATCCCTGCAATGATGCACGAGCAACTGAAGATACTTGAACAGGCCATTCCGACAAGGGCATATCTGCAACTCGTCAAACTGCGGTCGTAGAAATCAGTTCTAGTATCAGCAGTGGGCTTCGCATCGGATATTAATATTGTCGGGTCAAAGTCCTGATGACCCGGGAGTGCGTTATATGCAAGAAGGCTGGCTGGATGGGGAATTTCTTCCGTAGGTTTGGAAGAAGCTGTCATCATTATGGGAGGCAGAGACAGAAGGCCAAGACACGCAGATTACATATTTTTCGCTTATGACCATCGCCTCTGGTGCATGCGGCCGCCTCACCGAAGTACTGTTAACAGTGCCAAGATCGCACTATATCTGGATCACAGCCTTGTCGATTGAGTTTGAATTTCGAATTTGATCCTCACATACATTGACGAATTTAGCCATAGGAATACTACTAGCGAATAGGCACTTGTTCGCCTCCATCTGTTGACTTGGCGCGCTTATCACATATCTAGGTACCTAGGTCGCGACAATTGACATTCCACACAGCTATCGCATAAACATGCAAAACTTCCTCGCCTCGGACCACTCAAGTCAGCGTAAAGTGGAACGAGCAAGCTCTAACGATAGCTTCTGGCGCCACTTGGTTTGAGCTCGAGCGGTCCGCCTTGCAAGGAGACCATTTAGAAGTGGTGGCTGGCTCATGGCCCGTTATCCCATACATCAGCGACCCCAACATCCTGTGCTACGATCTGGAGTACGCACTGCGGCACCACATCTTATTTCACGCTGGTGGCACTCAGATACTGTCGTTCAAAAGCACGACTTCTAAGGCAGCAGACGGAGGATGTATCATGCACGTCATTGTAATGGAGAGCGCTCGCAACAGCATGTCATGTCCACAGTTAGTTGCCCCAACTATTGAATTCATGTACACTGAACCATTTTTCGATAGTAAACTGCTCTCCACTCATTTCTCTTCTTAGGGTCCCTTGTTGGAACTATCCATGGTGACTCCTGGAGATGTGATTGGAATGGGAATATCGCAGCTATCTGCTGGGAAGCGCTTGCTTCGCATGAGCGATCATTTGACTTGAACTTCGAATTTGGCGGTGGATACTTGCACCCGCATCCTGTACCGCTTTCCGTTACCAACCTTGTTGAACGATACGACCCGGATACGTACTTATTCTCCACTCATCACTCAGCAGACCCCATACCCTTGTCAGGCTCATTCGCGAGAGAGACGTACAGTCGAGCCACGAGTCTACGTGATCCATTCATTTCATTCTCCGTGGCCCATCGCATGGAGGAAATCGCATCTTAGCGCTGAGCACCGCCGGGTTTATCAGCTATCTGACTTCACGATTCGCAGTATCTATATGTCCAGACAGTGAAACACCAACGCGTAGAATCAACTGTCCAGGCACTTTTACTGATTCTTGTTCATCAGTCATCAAGGACCAGTTTGGTTGCTAGTCGTTCCGGACAATTTCACCTTACCACGTAGTTCAAGCGCGGGTACTTCGTTCCAGTAGTGACACAAGAATAAATAGCTTTGCCTAGACCTTTCAAATATACTTCGAAACAACATATGTGAAATAAATACCACAACGGATTTTCCACCAAATTTCTCCTCCCTGCAGACCACTCGGCAAGCATTTCCCTACACAGTACTGCTAGTTGACACATGTACATGCTCCTGGAAAACAATAGAATTCATGCTAGTTTCTGCGTCGGAGTGTGCCACGAGTTTGGCGTGGTATTCTCGAACGCTAAGAATAAGGCGTGGTCCCAGCACAAACATCTGCACGACCAATAAAATTTGATTAGTACCAAAGAGTATCTGAGCTCCAATTGAACTCGAATTCTACAGAAATGGTGAGCAGTGGTTACACGCAGATGTTGGCGACAGGTCAACGCACTATGATTTCTGGAGAGAGATCAACAAGCTCGAGGCAAGAGACACCAACAAAGCTAATATGTGCAGAACTTGAGCAGAAAAATATAACCGCGTTCACATTACAAGCTCACCTTGCAAAATAAAGAACGTGAGATTGTACCAGCACTCTGAAACAGTCCCCGATGGCCGATCCTGTCGATGGGCCGAGTCGTCGCAGCTCACGGAAGTGTTTCACAGCAACCCACAATGAAAGGCACAGTGCGAGGACCTCCCAAACAGTGTTGAGTATCCAAGTGATCGAAGCCAGAAGCTTCTCGTCCCCTCCATATTCATAGCCGCATACATGTATACCAGAGAGTATCAACTCCTCTGGTGTTTGTCCAATGAGCCGTGTTCTTCAAGTCGACAAGTAAAGCTTACCTGCTACAGTATCGTTGAGTGCTATTGCCGCGATTACTCCATAGGCGATGTTTACAGCCAGGAAGATGATAACAAGGAACATAAGCATTGCTCTAGACCCTTGATACATGGCATGCAACCGAGCAATCATGATGACTTGCATCATGTGTCAGTCAGGTCCATATCACAGAGGTATTGCACCTGGGTCACTTACCGCCCAACATGGCAGCCAAGGCCACATTTATCGCATTCCCTACGTAGTACGTTATAGCGCCTAAAGACTCCCAATTAGTGAACACCCTCGCATTAGTACCAAAGATTGCGACTTACACCTATTGAGTCATTATGTTGAGTCAAGTTCAATGGTTGGAATCTCACTCACCCCTACATATGAGCGTATTGATTTGATGGCAATGAGATGGTTGCAGAATACTTACTGCATCTGTCAGCGATACCGGTGGCATAGTTTCTGTGTCTCGCCGGTCAGGAAAATAAAATACAGCGCATATGAGACATACGCAGAAGTTTGGCACTAGTTGTCAGAGATGAGCTATTAGCACAGTGCAAAGTTGTTGATCTTGACACATACACAGAATATGGTATTCCAATATAGCGTATCTAGAATATTTTGAAGTCAGCACAAGTTGCCCACCACACGAAAGCACAACATGAGTACGAACAATCAAATACACCACGGTCATGAGAGACCAACGTTGTCTCTGTCATGAATTCAGTGCATGCTCTTGTTTTCTTCTGATAAGAGACTCTTGTCACTCACCCAGATGAGTTCAATCTAAGGAACCATTCTCAGTGAGATGGCTGCTGCGGCGATAACATCGACGTACCTCTTGTCCGAGTGTTAAGACTGGAAATATCAATGAGAACATCAGCGATTTTCTGACACTGTCCTGCTCACCCCAATCATATGCCACCACGATGCCAGCAGCAACTGCAAAACCGCAAGTCAATGTTAGATCCAGACACCTTGATGCGACAAACCTGCGTAATAGTTTATAACAATTGTCCCACTGATAAACGGCCAGTAACTGGGATCATTTGAGACGTAGGTCATGTTTGAGGGATGGGTATGAGCGAGTGGGGAATGTTAGTGTATAACGACAGCGTTCGTGCTAGATATACCACCGTTCAGCGCTTCTATCTCCAACATCAGTATAATGGAGATGTATATTTGATCCTGCCTCAAGATCCTTGATCAAGTGAAACGGTTCGAAATCAAACAAAAATAAGCCCTAGATACTCAAAGTGGAATAAACCAGTATTGCGCATGTGACACTCGGACACCGGAGAAATTCCAGTGGTTAGTGATATCTCCAATGCCATTTTCCAGTATGAAACCATGTGGCCATCGATCTAACCATGATGTGATCGCAATCATGATGAGCATCTGTGTTCTCTTAGCTTCGCTGGCCAAGCTCGAGACTTGTTGTCAGCTGATTTCTTCCCATAACAAGGTCGCATTCTGTAGCATGGCAAAAGTCAGAGAACAAACACAACAGCTGGCGTACTCTATTCGGTGGATCCGATCGCGCACTTGATGCGACGGCGATTCATTGCACTGGCGGACACATCGTGGCTCATGCTGTGTGGTTAAATGTGAGACGCCATACATACTAGGTCGAAAGAGAAATCGCACATGGGAGACGAGAAGCCTGTAACAGGCACAAAAGCCCGATTTCTGATTGTATAGCCTCCGAGGTCAGTGGCCATTGTATTTCATGGATGTTTTGTAGTGCCGACTTGAGTAGAAACCGGTAAATGTTGCGAGCTAAAAGCGAGGTCTATCGGAGGAGCAAAGAACGCCGTACCTTCATCATGCTCAGCAGTTTCATGGGCAGGCTACGAAAGTCGCATGGTAGTCTGATGCTTGTACATGCACAGCCATTGTACAAATACACCGTTGCTTCAGAATCCTGGTTCTACCTTCACGAGGTACGAACAATATTTACAAGTTCGAAGTAGTCACATGTCGCAACATGCAGATAGGATCGCATGTTCACACGATGAAGCACACGCACATCGGGGTGAACAATATTTAAAAGAGGTTTATATGTTGTACAAAATGTGAAGACAATATTTAATATTTAAACTAACATAAAGATGGGTGCACGACTTCAAATTTTGGTGGTGTTTTGTGTGTAATCCAAAATATCAAATATTCACAACCATATTCCCACAGACAATATGTCAATAAACATAAGAAATATAGTCAGATTTTTCATGTCTGCTTCAACTTAAAGTTCAATTTCCATGTAAAACTTTGGAGAAAACTTGAAGTTTTACAGATGACATGACATTAAAACTCGATTTAAATGTCAAGCTTTGGCAAAACTTCAAGTTTTCTCCAAAGTTTTATTTTTAATGTCATGTCATCTGTAAAACTTCAAGTTTTCTCCAAAGTTTTATGTAAGAATCAAACTTTAAATTGAAGCAGACATGGAAAATCTGATTATATTTTACCTTGCGAAGCAAGGTCAGGTTCACATGGATCATTTTATGTGATTTCCAAATAATAGTAAATACAGTGATGCCATACAACGTGATACGATGATGCGAACTTATCACCTACCTCCGATTTCCTTCCAATACTTGTCGTTTTCTGAATAACAAAGTAATAACTTAGACCGTGCAACTCCCTCGCGCCCAGAGCTCCGCCCACAGGGTGAAGCTAGCGCGCTTCCCTTCCAATATTCGTCGTTTTCGGACAACTCCCTTTTTTGTTAATATGTTGGTAATAATGTGATGAATAAATAAAAATTAATCCTATAATTTTATGCCGCGCCCCTAAACATCGTATTTACTATCTATCTATCGAAACACCATGCAACCTAGCGTATTTGAACTGCTAAGTACCTCAGACAATCAATGTGCTTTCATTTTCAGTGAGTATAGACTGAGAATTACTGATATCGTTCTGGATCCCAGAGAGCCAAAGATTGGGAGCAACGCTGTGGAAGCAAAGAGAGCATTCTTGCGTTATCCCCCTGCATTTGTTATCATTCACCTCGACTTCTGCGATTTACCGCCATTGCACGGACTTCTGCCTCAGCACATACCAGTGTTACCTTGCGAAATTAAATTTTCCATGGGCACAGGTCCTTCTACAAGAATCACGCGGCGTCAACTCCCTGTAACACCAGCTTACACATTTACCGACTTTAAAGCACAAGGACAGACAATTGATCACGTTTTAGTGGACATTGGAAGAACGACATGTTTTCGCCTATCTCCCTTCAATGCATACGTCGCACTATCCAGAAGTCATGGCTGAGAATGCATACGTCTTCTCAGAGACTTCGACAATGATCTATTCCTTTAACATCCAAACGAAGACCTTCGGATAGAAGATAACAGGATTGAGCGACTCGCGGAGGAAACGAAAAAGTGTTTCTTGAGGACAGACAGTCTGACAGAAAACAAGGTACCATAGTGCAGTACACTGAAAGAAACAATGCAGTAGTAGCTATATAGTGATGTCAGAAGAAATCCTGGGACGAAGCCAGACTAAACGAGCACGATAGAGCTAGAAAAAGACGGAATGTGAGCAAGGTCCACGTCGGCAACGCCGACCCCTAGTATTATATTTGTTGACATATTGTCTGTGGGAATATGGTTGTGAATATTTGATATTTTGGATGACACACAAAACACCACCAAAATTTGAAGTTGTGCACCCATCTTTATGTTAGTTTAAATATCAAATATTGTTTTCACATTTTGTACAACATATAAACCTCTTTTAAATATTGTTCACCCCGATGTGACGGTAACCATTCCATCATCGTGTGGAAAGCCTCAGCCTGCACTGCAGCTGGATGATGCAATCGCCATAACCTAGAAGACTTGCCATAAAAATGTTGCTGCACCGCATGTCCGCCCTTTTTGTGGTGCTCCGAGCGTTTCAAATGCATAGATATGGTTAGGTGTTTCCCATGAAGAGGCGGGTCTCCATATGTTCGCGGCCAGCATTGAAGCTTATCTAAACTTTAATCAAAGCTTGTGGCCAACTTGCGGCGCTACAGGGCGCTACCTTCGGCGTCTGCGGAGTCAAAAAATGAACCAAACCAAGCAACTGCTGTAATAGAATTGTACTTACAGTACTTTCTGCAAGCAATGCTGTTCCAAAACTCACACGCTCTTGTTCAATGCCTCACTCGCATCGCTCATGGAAGATGAGATATTGAGAATAGACCTGCGCGTGAAGCTCGACGGACAGGCACTATGCCATCGAAGCTAGAATGAACAACTATGGTATTTGGTCTGCCTACATAGCACTCAAGTATGTATACGAGACTGAAGTGTTACTCCTGTGACAGATCCTCCAGAGACATTCTTCCTCGCGCCCAGGAACATTCTACCACTACCCTTCTGGAGGCCACTCTTTTTTGAGCTCGGATACATTATAGTGTGTTTTTTCTTCTTCTATCAACTACCTTGTCACGGACACGCTACTACTTTCCCTTTTCCTTTTCCAGCCCTTCACTCTATGTCTGTTCGTCCAGGTGACTGATGAGGCCATGCTGTGGTAACCTCTTCAATGTCATGGTGTCATCGGCCATCTGGCTTTTATGGATTATTTTGGCTCATTCAAATGATCAGTTGCCTTCGTGATATCTTCTTTATCAGCTGCCTGGGCTTCGACACGCTACTCCAACTTCACCACGAATTGTATTGATGTACGTATATCATAGCCTCATTCGACAATCTACACTAACGGACATGCTACTAGTAAGAGTTCGACAGGCCGTATATGCCCAACGCACGATTCTGCAATCACTGCCAGTTCTTGGTTCTTTTTGTTCTTCTTGCTTCGTGCTCAGATATATGGTAATCCAGGGCATTCATAAATGTGTCAAATTCTCGGATGATCAGTCGTCTGAGCTCGGACACGCTACTTCTACTTTCCTTGGTCCATGGAATAGTCGCATCGCGCCCCACCCGAACGGCTCAGACGGATAATGACACAGTAGATGCGACAGAGCCATTGCGTCGCAAGCCATTCGAGCTTCCATAGATCGTGCGCTCATCTTCTGCTGTCAGTCTTTGTGTTCAAATAGCTGACAGACGGTAATTTTCGCAAGTGTGGAACGTAGCCTATCAACTGTCAAGCTCAGATCCAGACATGCCGCTTATGTACTACCTGGGCGAGCAGATAACGACCTCTCGAAGTGAATTGAATACTGTCTGATGGTTATCTCTTCGTACTAGGGTGACTCTGATTAATATCAGCGGGTGTATTGTATGTATGCATCTCGCTCGGTGCGTTACCATGACAGTCATGCTATTTGGCAGGATTGAAACAGATCGTTGCAAGAGTCCTAATGCACATCTGACACATGATTGTGACCGGTGTAACTCTGATCAAAGTATGTATACCAGGGTCCTAAAATTTCATGATCAGCGTCTCACTGATACTTTTGCAGGTGCGCTTGTGCCTTCTGCCTTGAAGCCCCGAATTTCTTCTCTTCTCACCACTCACTACGTATGGTGTTCTTGCCACACACATTCGTGACATACTCTCGCATCTCCATCGACAGTACTTGGGATGGCCGCTCTCCGGAACTTTATTCTCATCCTGCGTTGATTCATGCGATATATAAAATATCACCGGTCACCAGCACCCATAAGTCGTTTTCTCTATTAGTCGTCGCAACAGCTCACGTACGAGACATCACGGTACCCTTCAACGTTCCTGCAGAATATCTTCGAATTTCCCCGTTCCCACATTCTATCAGATACTTCTTTCAAGTGATCATTTGCTTGCCCTAAGACTGTGATCCACGCCTGTATCTCGTTCGGTGCTTTATTCTGATGGTCGTGCTTAGCGAGGGTTCCGATAGAATATCGCAGTCGATGCCTCGTCAGTAGTTTGATAGGTACGCCTCCGATTTCCTTATTCTCCACTCATCACTCAGCAGACCCCATATCCTTGTCAGGCTCATTCGCGAGAGAGACGTACAGTCGAGCCGCGAGTCTACTACGTGATCCATTCATTTCATTCTCCGTGGTCCATCGCATGGAGGAAATCACATCTTAGAGCTGAGCACCGCCGGGTTATCAGCTATCTGGCTTCACAATTCGCAGTATATATATATCCAGACAGTGGAACACCAACACGCAGAATCAGCTGTCCAGACTGATTCTTGTTCATCAGTTATCAAGGACCAGTTTGGTTGCTAGTCGTTCCGGACAATTTCACCTTGCCACATAGCTCAAGCGTGGGTGCTTCGTTCCAGTAGTGACACAACAATAAATAGCTTTGCCCAGACCTTTCAAATACATTTCGAAACACAATATGTTGAATAAATACCACGACGGATCCTCCACCAAATTTATCCTCCCTGCAGACCACTCGGCAAGCATTTCCCTACACGGTACTGCTAGTTGATACATGTACATGCTCTTGGAAAACAATAGAATTCATGCTAGTTTCTGCGTCGGAGGATGCCACGAGTTTCGCGTTGTATTCTCGAACACTAAGGATGAGGCGTGGTCCCAGCACAAACATCTGCACGACCGATAAAATTTGTTCAGCACCAAAGAGTATTAGAGCTCCAATTGAACTCGAAGTCTACAGAAATGATGAGCAGTGGTTACCCGCAGATGTTGGTGACAGGTCAGCGCACCAAGATTTCTGGAGAGAGATCGACAAGCGCGAGGCAAGAGACACCAACAAAGCTAACATGTGCGAAACTTGAGCAGAAAAATATAACCGCATTCACATTACAAGCTCACCTTGCAAAATAAAGAACGTGAGATTGTATCAGCACTCTGAAACAGTCCCCGATGGTCGATCCTGTCGATGGGCCGAGTCGTCGCAGCTCACGGAAGTGTTTCACAGCAATCCAAACTGAAAGACATAATGTGAGGACCTCCCAAACAGTGGTGAGTATCCAAATGATCGAAGCGAGAAGCTGCTCGTCCCCTTCATAGTCAAGGCCGCACATATGTATACCAGAGAGTATCGTCTCCTCTGGTGTTTGTCCAATAAACCGTGTTCTTCAAGTTAACAAGTAAAGCTTACCTGCTACATCAACGTTCAGTGCCATTGCCACGATTACTCCGCAGGCGATGTTTACAGCCAGGAAGATAATAACAAGGAACATAAGCATCGCTCTAGACCCTTGATACATAGCGTACAACCGAGCAATCATGACGACTTGCATCATGTCAGTCAGGTCCATATCACAGAGGTATTGCACCTGGGTCACTTACCGCCCAACGTGGCAGTCAAGGCCACATTTGTCACATTTACTACGTAGAACGCCGTAGTGCCTAAAGACTCCCAATTAGTGAACACCCTCGCATTAGTATCAAAAATTCCGACTTACACCTATTGAGTCATTATGTTGAGCCAAGTTCAATGCTTGGAATCTCACTCACCCCTACATATGAGTGTATTGATTAGATGGCAATGAGATGGTTGCAGGATACTTACTGCGTCTGTCAGCGATACCGATGGAGTAGTTTCTGTGTCTCGCCGGTCAGAAAAATGAAATACAGCGCTTATGAGACATACCCAGAACACTGGCACTAGTTGTCAGAGATGAGTTATTAGCACCGTGCAAAGTTGTTGATCTTGACACATACACAGAATATGGTATTCCAATATAGCGTATCTAGAATATTTTGAAGTCAGCACAAGTTGCCCACCACACGAAAGCACAACATGAGTACGAACAATCAAATACAGCACGGTCATAGGAGACCAACGTTGTCTCTGTCATGAATTCAGTGCATGCTCTTGTTTTCTTCTGATACGGGACTCTTGTCACTCACCCAGATGAGTTCAACCTAAGATACCATTCTCAGTGAGATGGCTGCTCCGATAACATCATCGACGTACCTCTTGTCCAAGTGTTAGGACTGGAAATACCATGAGAATATCAGCGACTTTCGAACACTGTCCTGCTCACCCCAATCATATGCCACCACGATGCCAGCAGCAACTGCAAAAACGCAAGTCAACGTTGGATCTAGACATCTTAATGCGACGAACCTATCCAATAATTTATAAAAATAGTTTCACTGATATATGGCCAGTAACTGGGATCGTTTGAGATGTATGTCATGTTCGAGGGATTGGTATGAGCGAGTGGGGAAGGTTAGTGTATAACGACAGCGTTCGTGTTAGATATACCACCGTTCAGCATCTCTATCTCCAAAATCAGTATGATGGAGATGTATATTTGATCCTGCCTCCAGACCCTTGATCAAGTGAAACGGTTCGAAATCAGACAAAAATAAGCCCTAGATGATCAAAGTAGAATTTGATTTACAAACCGGTATTGCGCACGCGACTACTCGGACACCAGAAAAATTTCTGTGGTTAGTGATATCGCAAACTTATTTCCAATGCCATTTTCCAGTATGAAACCATGTGGCCATCGATCTAACGATGATGTGATCGCAATGAGCATCTGTGTTCTCTTACCTCCGCTGGCCAAGCTCGAGACTTGCTGTAGGCTCCCCTGATTTCTTTCTGTAACAAGGTCGCATTCTGTAGTATAGCAAAAGTCAGAAAACAACAACAGCGCACTTTATTCGGTGGATTCGATGGTGCACTTGATGCGACAG